ATCAAAGAGTTGGGTTACAGGGAATAGTGGACAGTTCGCTACGAAGGTTTTATGTTGTACGTCACGTTAGTTAAAGTAACATTGCATAAATTAGTTCATTTTATATACCATTTCGGAGGTAACCTATCCAAGTTAAGCAGCGATACCTTAGTTGTGAAACTCTGCGGCAAATCCGTCGGATGCTCTTCAAATTTTAAGCCGGCAGGCAAGTGAAACGCTTCGCCTCCTTTTGGCCCCCATATCCGTAAATGCATTTTCCAGCATTTTCCTCTCCATATGCGAGTGATTTTCTCCGGCGAATAAGGCAAAATAAAAGAGATTTCACTTAACAAGTTTTAGTCTCTTCATATGCTTTGACAAATCCTTTGGCTGCGGCAAGGACTAAGAATGAAATTTGTCTTCGGACAGGACAATTGCTGGTCCACCCGGCAAAAGGAAGAAGAATCAAGGGATGATGCTGGAGAGGGCATTGAGTGGAAAGACGTGTTGGCCAAAAGGTCCTTTTTAGTGGGGGTTAAGTGTGGCAGCATCAGGACAACATGTTCCTGCAGCACCCAATCCTGGGCTCTGATTACAAAGTAAGTTGTTTACTTTGCTGTATCCTCGGCTATAGTTTTGCTTTATACAATCAACTTGGCTCGAGGATACCGTGAATATAGCCTTGTAAACGAATAAATAAACTGTAATAGAAAACGAACGAAGGAGATTAGAGACACCTAGTTGTGCTGCATGAAATTGAATCGTTGCTCAAAGAAAAGACATTTTTTCCAGTATTTTCTAGCTTTCTTTGTATAAGCTAGAGCTTATGAATTAATTTGTCTTTGTTGATTTATTTAAATAAGACTTCATTCTTCAGAAATAAGCCCCCAAAATGCTTCTGATTTAACGCACCTTTAATTTATTTTTGGTATCCTTGCTGCCCATAACGCAATCTTCATCCATCGGCTTTGTGGAACGTGTCACTTCCTGTCCCCGTTCATCACCTTCTCGCATCCTATCGCCGAGTGCCGAGTGCTTTGTTGTCCTTTTGTGACTTTATTATAAACAAATAGGAGTAAAAATTTCCTTGGCTCTCAGCGAGCTTCTATCGCCTGCTGACAATGACAGGGCAAAAAGCAGGATGCACACAAGAAGGCTGCAGTGGCAGAAACACATGCTACTGTGTTGTGTACAAAATCTCAAAAACTTCAACACTCCTTTACGAGATGCAGACACAGTGCGGTATTCACTAACATAAGAATCTATCAAATTCGGAAATAGGGGGCGGTTGCTTTACAGTGTGTGCATAATTGTTTGTTTCTATTATTGAATGATGTTGTCTAGCCTTGCAATTGAATGCTGTAGCCCATTGTTTTCAGTGTATGAGAGAGGGGCGGGGCGGTGGGCGTTGCCAAGGCGCTGAGAGGATGCAGGGCAAAGCAAAATATTGTCGCCTGCAATAAATGCCAAGCATCCGCTGCGACAAGAAGAGCCGGAGCGTCGACGGAACGACGACAGGAAGCGACCGAACCACCAACCGCCATTATGAATGCAGCGCCATTTTGTTTTGCCTCCTTCCGCTCTATCTCTGCATGTGTGTATGTGTGTGTGTGTGTGTGTGTCAATGTGTGTGTGTCTGTCTGTCTATGTCAATGTGTGGGTGTGTGTGTGTCTATGTCAATGTGTGTGTGTGTGCATTTAAGTGCATTTGTGTGTGCTCGCATACTCCCCGATGCGTATACGATAAATAATGCGACTTGGCAATTTTCATTGCCCTTTCTGGGTTTTATGCCTTTATTGGAGACCCGTCCTTAAAGTTTGAAGCTGATAAAATATTACTGAACATGGCACTCCTAGCACGCCACCACAATAATTAGTTATTTAATATACAATTGTACGAAAGACAATCCATTGCAAAATAGCGACTTGGAAATAAAGACAAAAAAAGTGACCATCGAAGAGTGCATCACTCATACGCCCCGTGGGTCTCGAGAGAATTCCAGCCACCCACCTATGTATGAATATAAACCAAACACGCCCCTGACATCCAACAAGTTTAATTAAAACACAAACTAAGAGCATAAACAAATGAATAATTCACATTACGATGTGGCGCACGCCCCACGTAAAGGACCCTTCTCTGTGAACCATCGAAACCAAACACTTATCCTGACCGCAACTAGTCAAAAATTTGCATTGGAAAAAAAGCGAACAAGAACCGCCATGGAAATGGGGAAAGGGGACGTTTTTCTTTTTCTGATTTTGTTTGGTTTCTGGTTTTTGGTTGAGTTGGTGTGACTTTTATGCAAATGGAAGAGAAATATGAAATTTCGTTGCATAGTTTTGGGCGCGTATTTAAATTGGTGCGGATCAACCTTCTCATCCTTTTCTCCATCGCCCTGCACTTGCAGCTGCAAGCCTTAAAGGCTTTAAAAGCAATTTGTCTACAGTTGTTTTTGGCACGTGAAATATTTGGATATTTTCCTCTGCCAATTTGGGTATGCGAACCACGCACCGCGGGTATATCGAAAGGTATACCAATCCGAGTTTAAACTATTAATGCATAATAAATACGTTTTGTTAATAATGAAGCCTGTGAAACCTTCGCGTCTAACATTTTGTTTAGTGGGTAGGAAAAGAAAGGTACAAATATGGACTGAGAATTACAGGATATCGGCAGGTCTAAGTCTTTTTGCAAGGGTTCAATTATTTATCATATTTTTTGTAGCTTTTGTCCCATTTTCTTTTTTGTGTTGACGAGTGCGAATTTAATCAAAAGTCAAAAAGCGCACACACTTGCCGGACCCCCCACCACGCCGGTTGATTTTCCCAAAGCTATCGCTTTTCCCCAGCTCCGCCAGCGCTTTCCACGGAGTTTTCATTGCTCGTTTTGTGCGTGAGCCTCTGACCCAAATAAAAACAAACAAAAATAACAACAGAAGTGGTAACTAAGGTGGGTACAGGACAACGCACAAAAAGACTCATCAAAAACTCATAAATTTGCAATTTTCGACACATGACAAAATAAATTGTAAACAAAGAAGAGCGCGAAAGATTCGGAGAAAACTAACAAAAACCGGGACGATAAACTTGAATGCCTATGGCAATATCTCCTCGTTCCAGACCTCCTTGTTTATGGGAAAGCTATGGAGATAGATGGAAAACGGATGTTGAACCCAGGGAATAGGTTGCTGTTTTGCCAACAAATTGCACCATTAAAATTAATGAGTAGATAAACGCCATAACCATATTATAAGCAGGAATACATTTTAAGTTCCGAAGTTCACAATGCAAATGATTAAATAAAAAAAACGAGAATTTCATCTTATTTGTATTCTCATTACCTAAACTCAATGAATCCCATGGATTGATAAAAATAAACTGCTTTGTATAGCCACTCCACCTAAATTGAGTTTCGCTTTGTTAAACTGGTTTTTTTTTTAACTTTACAGTACAAAAGTGCACAATATCTCCATTGAGTCAGAGTTGTATACGTATATCTGTACATAAAAGCGGATACACGACTTTCGAGCAATTGGATGCCTTTTAATAACGTGTTAGCCAGAAGTCGTCGATTAATCAGATGGGAAAAACGATAAATGACGCTTGGAATTCCCAGAACATTCCGAATGTACCTGATAAGCGATTGGTCAGAGGTCATAAAATACACTTATTTCAAATATTAATGTCTCATATTGAGAGCCAAAAATAATATAAAAAGTTCAATATGTAATATATAGCTCAGAAACCTCAGCTTATATCATCTCAATTGTTTGTTTATTTTAAAATAACAAGCATGCATTGTTGGAGGGTTGAAGGGTATTCACGAATTCACATCACATTGCATTGCCAGATTGATTCGAATGTTTTAACCTTATGGCGCTACATGCAGTTCAATTCAAAGTATCAGTATCACGTATACGTACTCATTTTGTAGAATCATTAGAGAGCGAAGAATTCGCGACACTATTCATTTTTTTGCCGTCTCTCTAAATGGCATGACTTGAGAAGAATTGCGAACCAAATGAGAAATGGAAATTCGCAAGTGTCTGGTGTTGATGGTTTTATTTTTCTTGTTATTGTTGTTGACGTAGTTGAGGGCAGTTCATAAGCTTCGTTTTGCAACCGCAGGAATTGCTCAAATAAGTGGGTACACCACATAACTACCCAGTAAAATAGCAATCAAATTGATATGTGCAATAAATACGAAGCAATCGACGAAATAAACAAGCTAACATTTTTAAGGTGGAACTCTACATTTATTTAGACATGATGATGAAAAGGAAAGTGTGATTTGTTTTTGAGGGAACAAATAGTAAAATTACGTACCTTAGTACTTCGCACCAGAAACTAAACACTGAATTGGAAAAAGATGGGAAATATAAAAAATCTACTCATTGTTCTACCCTTGACCTACATAAGTCCGACCCGCTGATACCCTGTAAATGCACATGGAGGCACAGTACAAAGCCAGCAGTAGAAAAAAAAGTTCAACTAATTAGCGCAAGTGACTTTTGAACGTTCTCGTCGCAGGTTTATTTCTCTTACTCGGTCTTTTATTTCAATTGAACAGCGACATGGAGCGTGAAAAGTGCCGCAACAACGGCACAAAAACGGCTGAGCAATGTAGAAATGTATTTACCATACAACAGAGTAGTAATAATAATAATAAAAACAATTAACACATTTTTCTCCGCCGCCTAACCAGTTTTCATTTCGGTGGCCAGCCAAAGACGATTTATTCATTTTATTCGGAGACAACAAAAAATGTAGATCGCTACTAACTACACATAATGTAGTACGAGTCTCCATCTTTATCGCTCTCCAGCTAAAGCACATAAACGTATCAGATACACTTGCGTTCATGAAATAAAATACCTGTAAATACCTATAAATCGAAATCCTATTGCTGCACAAACTTAACATTTTTGAATAACTAACTTTCGTAACCAATTTGAACTTGAAATTAGCCGACCTTATAATTGCTCAAAAAACCTATTATTTTGGCCCTGACTGTAGCCAGAGTGTTTGCCGTCTTTAATCTTTTTGAATTGAAAGAAATCTCGACGCCACTGGGAGGCTCTGCGTTTTTGTGCCGGCGTCGATTTTTTAGTTCGAAAACGTATGCGGTGCGGTGAAGACAAAGGAATTGATTTTCAATTTTCAATCGAATGAAATGTAGTGGAAAAATACATGTTACATTTTGAAATAAAAACACTGCAAGGCGGTTTGCCCAATAATCCATTTTTTTTCTGTGTGTGTGCAACAAAAGAGCGAGGAAGTGAGAAAAGAGCCGCATACAAATGGCAAATAATATAAGTATATGTGATAGGTGATAATCTCTCTCTGTCTCTCTTTTGCTGAATTTCCACCTCGCCCTTTCGGTAGGCGGTAAATATTTAGGCGGCTCTTATCAAAAACTTGCGCGCTGATAAGCGTTGATAGCAAACTTCGCTCTCTTCTGCGCTCTCAAACTAATTTCCACATTCGCGAACAGCTGTTGGAGGCAACGGCAACAACAAGCTCAGCACAAAGCTCGACAACCGCTGAAAAGGATACAAATTGAACATTTTGGAGTCGCGGAAATCAATTAAAGTCGAGTAACTGGTACAAAATAATCCGAAGCAAAGGCAGTCAAAGTTGCAGAAATGGGAAGAGATCGACTGCCCGAGCTTTTGCAGGTAAGAAAATATTGGAAACGTGGGTGGTTGGGAGGTTGGGATGAGGTAACTGCTAATTAGTTTGAAGCACAGTGGTTTGGCAGCACTGAAACTGTAATAAGAATAAGTAAGTAAGACAATATACCGCAAAAGTTGAAATGCATTTGTTGGTAATTTGCTAAGAAAATGAATCGACTCTTCTGGTAATCAAACTTTTTTGCCGCCAGTCTCAACACTTTCTGACCAAGGTGCTGCTGCCACCTTCCTTACAATTGGCCCAATCTCTCACATTTCTGTGCCCGCTTTTGGCACTATATGTACTTGGGAGGCCAAGGGGTTTGGCGGGTGTAGTGGGTGTGGTGGTTCTCTATGGCATTTATCAGATCGGCCAGAGATAACGACGAAAATGTGGCCACACATCACACTTACGGGGCAACCCCGCGATTCCCACCGACCAAACTTTTAGCACTAAGTGAATTTCAGTACTGAAGTCAATTTTTATTGTTCATTTACACCGCGACAGATTGTGAACACACAAACGTAAATAAACTCAACCAAAGTTGGTAGTTTCTATTGGGTTTTTTTCTCAGTTTTTCGCTGCAGCTCGTTAGGATCGCATGGACCTATTTTGATTTTTTTTTGTTTTTTGTTCATTTTTGTTGTGTTAATTCCAGCGCTCATTGAGCACGAACTCGTCGAACTCGTCGTCGAACGGTTCACTGCTTTTAAACGTGTACAGTGGAACCACGGAGTTCATCATCAGCAACACCGGCGGTAACAATAATAGCTACAGTGTCGTCAGCCAAAACTCCCACAGTAGCAACAATAACAACAGCAGCGAACCCAAGGATCGATCCAGCTCGAAGATGTCGCAGTATGGATCGAATGTGGACGACATACTCAATCCGGTGAGTTCAAGAATCGAAATATGTGTTTTTTGAGGATACTTACTATTTTTAAATGTCGAAAATAATAAGTAATTTATAGAACCTTTATAGTGCTAGAAGTGGCATTTGTTGAATGTCGAATAGGAGTGACATTTTTAGATATCTTGAAAGTTATAGATACTTGGCGGTGCAAGAACGTACAAAAATCTGCTTACAATTAGCAAACAATAGTTAAACGTTTTCCCTCAATGGAAATGAGCGATCAGAGAGCCGGAGAGAGGAAACCCATATTTTTTTAAGGTACACCTATGCATGTGTGCACTTATGAATCAGCTGTATTACTCAATCGCTGCCGGCGTAGCCTGAAAACTCGTGATAAGTCCACAAAAAAAACCTTTTCTCATTAAGTACGTTTTTCAAGTACGTTTTTGTTTAAGAGAGCGCTGAAGAGAAGGGAAGTAGTCTCAATGTAAACAACCTGAGAAACTCTTACAAAAAGCAAATCAAGCACTGCTGCCTTCTAAGATTTTTTGTAGTATGCAATGAAAGTGAAATATACAATTTTAATAGATATTGTACGGTATCCTTTTTAGTACACGGAGATTCGCCAACAACTCGCACACATAGCCGCCAATTTGGAGGCGATGAACCGCATTGCCCAAACCATCAATCTGCGAACTTTCAACGGTGAGAAATTGAACCTACAGTTGTGAATACTTCGACTGCAGCACGGTCTAATCCAAAATTTGCAGAGAACGAGATGGATGAGCTGCACAACAAAAACCTGAGGCTGGGCAATCAGCTAATGACGCGATTCAACGACTTCAAGGCGAATCTGCCGGCGGAAAACGATTACAGTTTGGAGGCAAGGATGAAAAGAACCCTTTTCTATGGACTCCACCAGACATTCATCAACCTCTGGCACAAAAACGAGCTATTCCTGCAGAACTACGAGACCAAGGTCAAAAAAAATCTGAGACTGCATACAAAAATCAGTAAGTGCGATAAAAAAAATAATTGGACAAGTCTGATGAAATACTTCTCAACTATTTAATTAATTTCTTCAAGAATTTCATTACCATTTACTTTTCAGTTAATTCTGAAGCCAGCGAACAAGAAATCGAGTTACTCATCGAGAACAAGACAACCAAACTCTTTGTGGATAATGTGAGTATATAATATTGATACAAACAATGAAGTCTTTTGTGTGGTATTATTCCTTATCAATGGGAATATTGAAATGCCCGTATTGAGAATCCTGCCGATAATATAGAGGTTTCATACATTCATACATACGTACGATGTAAATGTGAATACGCATATATGTACATAAATTTTTAATACGTATGTCATTTAAATGATATTAAGAGGCTTACCAATTAAATACATATTATACAAATAACTTAGCAGATCGCAACTCACCTCGGGTTTATATGTGTACATTAGGTTGACTTAATCACGTCTTCGATTTGCGAGAGGATTATTTTCATATTTATTTTAGCATAACTTTACACAGAAAAAAAAGTATTAAAACAAATTGAGGGATGTGAACACATAACAGAAAAAAAAAAAAAAATTTGGGAGAGAAACTGCTGAACGCTTCGCTTCACAATGCCGGTAAACACTTTTAGCGAATTAGTAACACTTTTCACTTTTTAAACAATGCTAAATTCAACAAACTTAATTTTGCGCCGCGCAGTTTAAAAACACGTGCGTTTATCGATGATCGCGAAAAAGAGGGAAAAGAGGAAGCTGGAACAGAGAACGATCAAGGACTAACGGTAAAGCTTACATACATACATATATATGCACTCTCTGTTACCCGCTGTTGGCTTAACATCCTCTGTTAATTCATGAGGAATGTAATTAAAAGCATTATTTTCTGTAATACAGATTATTACATTGATTAAAATTAAATTATGTGTATAGGTATGCTATACATACAAGGCTACATATATAGAATATGTGTATTTTCAAACATATTTCACCATAAAAAAATATCAAGTTGAAGATAATTTGGAGTAGCACACACACTAACATACAAGCATATGTAAATATGAATGTTAGCATGCAGATTCCATACATACAAACATATTTCGCGCGCGAATAAAAATGCAAAATTAACGCGAATTTAGGAAGGAAAACGTCCAAACGCTTCGTATCTCAATGCCGGTAATCACTTTTATCCAATTAATAACCCTTTTAACGATCTACGCAATACTAAATACAAGCAACTTCGTTTCGCGGCGCGCAATTAAAAAACACGTGCACGATGCTCGCGGCGAAAACTGGAAGAGGAAGACATGCAGAGAAAACGATCAAGGACTAACGGAAAATCAATGTTAGATGAACTTTTACTCGCTGCATTTTAACATTCTCTGTCGATTAAACATAATGTTGCTATTTCAAAAACAGATCAAAAGTGTTGTTATTGCGAGTGCAATATAAATATTAAAAGTTTATTATTGCATAGGATTCCCATTAATATGAGCTAATGAATAATTTTGGATTTTTAGTTTCTGCAAGAGACGGAGAAGGAGCGGCAGACACTGCGCGAAATGATGGAGCGATTCAACGAGCTGCGCCGCCTGGAGAAGTCCATCGAAGAGGTCCACGCCCTGTTCATGCGCATCCAGACCTTGGTGATGGAGCAGAGCGAGGTGATCCAGCGGGTGGAGTTCCACGCGCAGCAGGCCACGCTCTACGTGGACAAGGGTGCCGACGAGCTGGACCAGGCGGAGCAGCACCAAAAGAAGGCGCGCAAGGTGGGCAGAATTTCCAGCGAATCCCGGAAAGAATTCGGTTCTAAGCGATTTTTCCCTCTATTTGCAGAAAAAGATAATGCTCATTGCGATACTTGCTGCCGTTTTGTTAGTATTACTCCTTGTTGGTATTTATTTGTGATGCACGTGCAACACTTTTTTTTTTTGGAATATTTTTAAGATTTACATTTAAGCAAAATAAACTTTAAAACCACAAGAGTTTGCAATTGATCAACAGGTAAGCGAAATCAAGGAATGTGCTCATGCGCTATCAAAAACTTTACTACCAATACACTTTATAAATTATTAGTTGGCTGTTTCATGTGGTTATTTTAGCCTACTTATATTTGGAGTTTTTATTAAATTTACAGAATGTAATTTAAAAAACGGCCAGTACAAAACGTACTCATTTAGCTGGAAAACAGCCAAGAAACGAAAGCTGCAGGTAGAACTAGCCATTGCCGGCTGGAAAACAGCCTGGCGGGCATCACTGTGGGTAAACAAAACAACTTAACAGCAACCACTTTGCGCCTAACAGCACACATTCCACTGTTGATAGCACACTGTTGGCCAACATCAACATCCCTGGCGTCTCGTTAATAATTTTTTTATATAGTCGTTTAGCACCGATATTCCATGTCTGATTTTTAGGTGAGTGCATGTCGGAGCTGCGAAAAGGCTCTGCGATTACTTCTGGCCGGTAGTTGAGCACCCAGGGCTCGCGGCTCGGCGACAACAACAAGCAATTCGACAGTCCGGCGCCATTTTTCCCCACTTTTCCCGGAAGACTACGCAGTTTAATTGTTATTGTCATTGTTAATCCCGTCCAGGAGACAAGCGGATGTGGATTGGCCAACATGGAGGAACTGTGCAAGCAGCCACCGCCGCCGCCGCCGCCTCCACCGTCATCCGTGTCCAGCGAGGAGCCGCCGCTAGCAAATGGCAAGGGAGGAGGAGCAGCAGTTGTGCACTTAATAGCTAAGCTGCCCGAGGAGGAGCTCCTCGGCTCGGTGACCATGCACAATTGTCCGGGTACACGGGCCAGTGCCCGCGTCATCCAGAAGATGAAGCAGGACCAAACGCGACCAATGACCCCGCCACCCAACGAAAGGGAACTGAACAAAAAGGACGAGAAGGCCGCCCAAAAGACGCCCAGCCAGTTGAAAACGGGCAGCGGGAAGACCACCTGGACGAATGTCGAGCGCAACTGCTTCTTCGACGCCCTCAACGAGTTTGGCAAGGACTTCGAGGCGGTGGCCAATTGCATCAACGCCAAACTGAAGCGACGCAATGCCAACAGCGACTATAGTTTCAAGACCAAGGACCAAGTACGCCAGCACTACTACCAGACCTATCACAAGATCTGCAAATATGTGCGCTTCTCGGATGGTAAGAAGAAAAATCGCATAAATAGGGCCACTAGTCTGCCACAGATAGCTGTTTTTGGTTTCATTTGAGCGCCAAAAATGTTGTGCTTGCATTGAATTTCTGTGAATCGCTGATTCCTAGAATTCAACTAGCCTATGGCCTTGAGTTTGTACAGTTTGAAATTCTAGATGAGTACTTATAATGTCAATCAATCGTTTTAGAGCTGAAAAAGCCCGCCCAGGAGTTGTACACGCTGATTAACTACGGCGAGATGCGGCGCAAGCTGCAGTTCCTCACGGAGAAGCACTTCATGAAGCTGAAGCAACTGGTGTACCAGGGCCAGATCACCGTGCGCTGCAAGGGCAAGAACATCCGCATCAAGACGCCATCATGCAAAGCGCTCCGGCGGCTAAATCAATTGGATGGTGAGTTTCCATTCATGCAGCATGCGTGCCAAAATAATGCTTGACCCACACTGACAGACTCCCTGGAGGATATCCGGCTGCCCAGCAAGGTGGAGGTGGTGGTGACTCCCGCCAATATGGAGGCATTTGGTCGGGTGCAGTCCCTGGCCCAGAATCCACGCGGCAGGATTATAGTGCCGTTGCATAAGAAACTCATCAGTTTCATCAAGACGTTCGAGTACAAATGGCGCAGCGCCAATCAGCGTTTGCACGAGGAGAAGAATGCCTACTTTCCCAGCAGCCTGGCATCCACTACATCCAACAACAACAACAATAACAATGAAACGGAACCATTGCAGCCGGCAGTGTCGTCGCTAGATCCCTCCATGTGCTTCCAGCCGCGGCCCGGAGTGGCCATCCACCGACCTTTGCTCAGTATCACCGCCTACTTAAGCAGCATTAACATATGCCTGACGGCATACGAGGAGCGCATGGGCTTCAAAGTGCGCAGCGAGACCTTGGCCAACATGGCCGGCATGTCGGTGGCGGCCAGCAAGAGACCGCGCACGGAAAGCGGCTCCGAGAAGCGTTCGCCGGAGACCAAGAAACCCAAATCGGATGCCAGTCCGCCGCTGGAAAAGAGCTTGGACGATGGACCCCTGTTGGAGGGTAACCTGATGAAGATGGAGAATAGCAGCGGTGACGAGCTGGGCGATGAGATTCATGAGTTTCTGGGCGACATACTGGAGGCGACGCCGCATCCGCAAGATGCCACTGTGCCAGCTCTTCCGACCCCTGGTGATACTACAATTGTTGCTGTTGCGCTTGAATCTTCCGCTGATCCTATACTACAGGCCGATCCAGCCACCGCTGATCTATCGCACCCAATGGCGATGGCATCTCTGCTACAAACCTCCTGTGCTGCCGCTCCTGCTCCTTCCACTCCCATATCTGGTTCGTCGGCAGCTCCTCCGGTTGCCCGCTCCAAACGCAAAGAAGCTAAGGAAGCGGCGGCCGCGGCACAGGCTCGAAACTTTAAGCCCCTGCTCAGCGACGATATCCTCAAGCGAATCCGCAAGGGCTGGACGCAGGCAAATGCAGCGGATATAACCATCGGCGATTTGTACGTGGTCTTTGGCCAGGACTCCAAGCTGGAGCTGGAGTATTATTGGTGTGAGGTGGACGGTTCAAGTGCCATGGTGGCACCCAGCATACTATCGATCAACACTGTAGCGCCAAGCTCATCGTCGGTGGCCACCCAAACCGGCACTTCTTCCATCAACGCCAACCAAACAAGCGCATCTTCCAGCTGCGCTTCCAACAGCAATGCGAGCACTTCGCTGCCCTACAATCCCAACGACTGTGATAGCGTGGAACGCGTCAAGGCCGTCACCACAGCGTCGGTGAGCAACAAGCTGAAGCACCTGTTGCTCGTGGCCAATCTCAGCGAGCGCGTGCGCAAGCGCCAGTGCAACTGCGGCCACACATGCGATCGCAAGCGGGACCTGATGACCAAGGCGCAGCAGCTGGCCGAGGCGACGGCAACCGTGGTGGAGGGCAACTTTCGCACGCCCATGCTGCCGGTGAGGCGGCCCATATCCAACATCGATCCTGTGCGGCAGCTCTCAGCGGTAAGTGGTCTTTGTCATGGGCGTAGCTTCGATTCCAAGTGAATGCATTTCGTGTTTCAGCTCACACGGCAAAAGATCAGCCGCCAGGTGCTCGTGCAGCGCCGTCTCCTGCCCCCCACATCCATTGGCGGTCGTCCGTACGATCTGTTGAGTGTGCGCCAACTGCACAGCGGCCTTTTCGAACCGATCGATCGCCTGGATGGCACCAGTTCCAGTGGCATCAGCTCCTCCGGATCCAAGCCAGATTCCAGAATGAGTGCGACGGTGGCTTCGCAGGATCAACGGCCAGAGGATCAGCGGGCGTTGGAGTTCCTCAACGACGAAGCCACGCAGGTCAGCGCGCGGGACATGCCCAATCTGGACATTTGTGTGGCCACCAGCACGACTGGCGTCAGCAGTTCCCTGACCGAGGCGGTCCAAGACGAGAGTACATGTAAGAACCTCCACAGTCCGTTTGCGGTTCTCATAAAACTAATTTCCCTTTTCCCTGGCAGCTCAAAACTTCTTCCATGGCAGCGTAAGTCCGATGCACTTGCTCAGGGACTCCACATCCAATGCACGCTGGCTGGAGGACAATATCAATGATTTCTCGTTGACATCGCTGCTGGGGCATCTGGATGAGATAGATGCCACCAGGGATATACTGGTAAGCCCGCCTCATACATCCTCCGCATTCGTGGCATTCACTTGCAACATCCAACCATCCGTAGGACCCGTCGTCGAGCATGTCGGTGATCAGCGAGAGCAGCGTGGACTTTCGGCACAAGTTCCAGGAAATCGCCGCTCTGCTGCAGCAGCAGGAGAAGGATTAGCAGTGGCCTCCATGTTTTTGTACCCGAATCCGTAGCCTGAGGAGAAGAGCGCAAAGGATGATGGATGCGGATTGTTCAGGCGGAAAGCCACGTGTGCCTCCAAGCCTCATATCTCAATGATATTATTCATACCGCACGTTCTACCCACTAACATTTATGTTTTTACGCGACTTTTTTGTGATCTATACTCATTTTATGTATGCCAAGTATTAGCAAGCACTCACATTGTCTGAACATATATATATATATATTTATTTATACATTAACTCTATGTATCACGCGGCCGAACGCGAAACTCCCACATTTTTAATTCTCAGCCCCTTTGTTTGTTACCCGCTCGCACACTCGTTCCGCACTACTCTAATTGGTTTCTAGCGCCTAAGTTCGATTCGCTCCCCCAAAAAGCAACAAAAAACAAAGAATCCCAAGCGAAACTTCCATATGTATAGAGATTCTCCACCTGATAAACTAAAGCTCACATTAAATCAAAAGAACCCGTCAAAAGCGTCGAAATGTTTGTTGACCATATATTTTGGGGTGGGAAAACAACAAATTTTATCCTAGGGCGTATGTAACAATAGTAACACTTAGAACTTGTTATCATGCAAAGGAACGTACCGAAAATAAAAGCAAAAGTAAACTAAAACTAAGCCAACTCCTGTGCTCCTGTGATTAATGTAACCGATAGCAGCTTGGGCTGGAGATCCACACTCAGGCCTCTTCCTGCTGGTCCCGCCGCTCTAGCAGGACATCCGCTTTGGGGTCGCTCCTCTTGCGCTGCCTGCCCGCCTGGTGCGTCTGCAGGTGGATGCCGAGGGAGATCTGGCGCTTGAAGGACTTGCCGCACTGCGCACAGCCGAACGGCCGCTCGCTGCTGTGGACGAGCATGTGGCGGTTGAGCTCGGACCTGCTGCCGAAGCTGCGCTTCTGGCACACCTGGCAGTGGTGTGGCTTCTCCTGGCTGTGGCACCGCTTGTGGGCGATCAGGTTGCTCGAGTAGCGAAAGCTGCGGCCGCAGACGTCGCAGCCATGCGGCTTCTCGCCCGTGTGCGTGAGCATGTGCTTCTTGTAGCCCGACTTTTGGGTCAGCCGCTTGCCGCAGATGCTGCACTCGAATGGCTTGATGCCGCTGTGGATTAGCAGGTGTGTGCGCAGCGAGGACGCCTGCCGGTACACCTTGAAGCAGGTGGGGCACCTATTCGGATTGTTTAGATCGTGCAGCGTGACATGACCGTCGTGGGCGTTTCGGGTCTTAAACGACTCCCCGCAGATCTTGCAAACGTAAGGCGTGGCCGTGCCATGTAGCTGCATGTGGTACTTGAACGAGTTGCTGGTGCTCAGTTGCTTGCCGCAGATCTAGGGAACACAGGGTTTGAGATCTTCGCATTGGCATCGTTTGCGCGATGGAGGAACAGCTTACTTGACACTGCAGGGAGGGATTGAGAGGTTTCCAGTGTCGGATCCGGCGGGCCAAAGGTTTTGGCGCCTGGTTGGCGCCTGGTTGCTCTGCATTCTCCACAATCTCGTACAGATCCTCGCCAGCCTTGGCCTGCAGAACGGGCTCAATTTGAAGCGATTCCTCCGTGCTGTGGACTTGGTCTTCTCCGCGAATGTGGTGCTGGCCATGTTGCGTCATATGGCACTGAAAGGTCCTTTTGCTGCTCAGTTCTTTGCCGCAAATCTGCCGAATATGGTATGCTATTTTGGGATTACATTACTCATAACTCAGTGAGACAACTCACGGGACATTGCAGCGCTGGTTTGGATTTCCTTGGCCTGCTCTTAGTGGCCAAAGGTTCGCTTTGCTGTGCGGCTTCCACTAGACGTTGCTCCGGATCGTCGACCACCTCGTACAGATCCTCACCTGCCTTGGCATCCAAGTAGATCTCTTCAATTGCGCGACTATGCTGCTCCTCTGGCAACTCTTCCTGCCGTTCCAGTTCATGGGCTGGTCTCTCCTTCTGCACACTGGGCCCCTCCAGCCGGCTCCTCATCTCCTCCTCATCCGACTCCACGACCAGCTGATCCTCAGCATATTCAGCCGCTTGCCGGTCGTCCAGCACAAGTACAAAGTCCTCCGGAATCTCAGGCGACAGCCTGTGCCGAGTATTCAACGCATTGATCCTCTTGCTGCGGCAAAAGTCCGCATGACTCTGCCGCAGAATTCTGTCCATGCGGTGGACACTGCGCTTGAACTCCAGCGAGAGCCGCAGCTTGGCCACGCAGCCCGGGCAGATGTGGTGGGGCAGGAAGAGCTCCGACTCGATGATCTCCAGGCCGCTGCAGTAGCTCAGAATGTTGGCCAAAGTCGCTAGTTTTCCGGCAACAGGGTTGCTGAGCGGCTGGAACAGCGGCAGGCAGCGGGCCGAGGCAGTGTGGCAGACGCGGCACAAAGCGTCCGGCGGCGACATGCTGGTCCTGCGTTGGCCTTTCCGATAAATAACAAACTTTTGTAAATAACTAATTCTAGCGTCCTCGACAGTGATGCGAAGGGCCAGCTGAGCCGTTAGTGATGGCACTGACAACAGCTAGCCAGACACAGAAGCTTGAAAATTGCCCCAGTGTTGTGCGTCACTAAATAGGGGTGCGCGACTAGAGGCTCTTATTTCGGTTTCTTTTTTAATTTAAGATAAACCTAAAAGCGTGCATAGCTAGTGGACAGGCGCAACATGGGGAGGTACATCTGCAAAATCCCGACAGATCTGACTTGAAAACAGCTGATCCACAGCTGCCGAGAGCCACGTGCTAAATGTGCTAACGCCTGGTGTCGACTGGCAGTGGCTAAAGCAAAATCCCTAACGCCAGCGCAGTGCCGGTGCGAAGTTGAAATTTTTGTTGAAAATTTTGTTATAGGAAAAAAATCGCTGCTAGCCGAGCAGTACTCGTGAACGGCGCTATAACTCACATTCGGGAAGGGAAGGGAAACATGAGCATGAGCATGGCACCGGCCACCGTCCTCCAGTTGTTGCGCGGCCTGACCACGCCGCGCGTTCTCACCCGATTCCACCAGCACCGCGCATTGGGTAATCACCATAACCACCACAACCACCACCACAGCCAACACCACCGACTGTCCACTGGCACACCGCTGCCGTCGGCAGCTCCACCGGCCCTCTGCCCCATCCTGCACACTGCGCGCCGCCACAGCAGCACTGCCAGTAAGTAATTCGCGCAGGAGTCCTAATCCCATCCAATACAATCCAATCCGTTTTGCAGAGCAGGAAGCAGCTGAAGGAGCCACTGGTGCCACCGCGGCGGCCCCGTCTCCCGTCTCGAATGCCCCGCTGCTGGCCAAGCTCTTTCCCCAGACCTCGCCAGAGGTGGACACCAACGCCGAGCAGGAGCGCCAGAAGCGCGAGGAGGAGGAGGCTAAGGAGAACGAGCGCGCCTGGAAGCGCATGAAGCTGGGGTAAGCTCTCTTGCAGCACAATGCGTGAGAATACCAATCGTATAACGCTGCTCTTGCTGCAGTTTCGCAATCTTTGGAGGCGGCGGCGTTGCTGCCGGACTGTGGGCCGTGTACGAGTTTGGAAAGCCCGAGCTGGATCCCAACGGGCAGACGATCGAGGACGAGTTCACACACAAGCCGCTGGTGCAGCAGTATCTGCAGCGCATGTGGAAGAGCATTCACTACTATCAGCGCATGATACAGGAGCCGTCGCGGGCCAAGCTGCTGCCCGATCCGCTCAAGCCGCCGTATGTGCAGCCGCGCTATACGCTTGTCCTGGAGATGAAGGACGTGCTGGTGCACCCGGACTGGACATACCAGACTGGCTGGCGCTTCAAGAAGCGTCCCGGCGTCGATCATTTTCTCGCCGAGTGCGCCAAGGACTTTGAAATTGTTGTCTTCACTGCCGAACAGGGCATGACCGTGTTCCCAATTTTGGACGCCCTTGATCCCAACGGGTACATTATGTACCGCCTGGTCAGGGATGCCACGCACTTTGTGGACGGACATCATGTCAAGAACTTGGACAACCTCAATCGCGACCTGAAGAAGGCAAGTCAATGAATCGCATTTGCTTAGCAATCACCTAGAAAATTGAGTATTTTAGGTAATAGTTGTTGACTGGGATGCGAATGCCACCAAGATGCATCCGGACAACACATTCGGCTTGCCCCGCTGGCATGGCAATGACGATGATGGCCAATTGCTGGACCTCATCGCCTTCCTAAAGAGTGAGTTTCGTCGCCAAGAGACTTGGTTACAGTTTAATGGGTAAACATTGCGCCGTGCACTCCCTACAGTTATTGCGCAGAACAACGTGGACGATGTGCGTGAGGTGCTGCACTACTATCGCCAGTTCGACGATCCCATCAATCAGTTCCGGGAAAACCAGCGCAAGTTGGCTGAACAAATGCTGGAGGCGGAACGCATCGAGCAGTCGAAGACCAAGCCCATGGTCAAGCAGTGGTCGCGCAGCATTCTGGGGCGTTAGGAGGCTGGCCACCACGCACACCCCGTTCCATAATCATACCTTAACCTTCCGCCTTGCCCCGGAGCACACTCAGAGATCGGGACAAGCAACAAACAACCTGCAGCAGCACACTGGCCATATTTTTTGTCGACTAAGCGTTAGGAGTAGGCAGCAGGATGGGAAGGCACGCTCCTTCATTTGCTCCTTTGGGCGAAGATGAGGCGCATGTTTTTGTTTTATTAAATAACTAAACTTGCTTGTTTTTGTTGTTTGGCAATGTAATCATAATATTATTATAAACAGACGACTTAACCGCGAAACCAAAAACAAAACGCCCATGTCTATCATTACGCAAGTGGAGGACACCTTGCTGCATTCAACGCAATGGTGCTATGCGTTATCTTATCAAGGTGCCTGGATATCAGTGGTTATCGTGTAGCACATAAAATACTAATTTGCTTATATGGGTAAAAAATAAGTGTAAAATTATATTTATTATGTATACTTCCTAACAGTTTTAGCGAATTTTAAATGTACAAGTCTTAGGCTGGTCTTACATCGTAGAGCCGCACCCACAACTTGGTGCCAACTTGGTGCTTACAGCACCACCACCACTTTGGAGGTGGACACCGGCTGCTCAGGTACATCGGTCAGGTGGAGATTGGATGCTGATCCGCCGTCCGCACCTCCTGCCGCCGCCCGTCGACGGTGGTCGATTGACTGGCCACCGGCAGTGGCCATCACCGGCGTCTCCTTGTTGTGGACGCGCAAATGGCTATTCAGTCGCTTCTTTGTGGGGAAGGCCTTCATGCAGACCTCGCACTTGAACGGCTTTTCGCCGGAATGCAGGCGTACGTGGGCATTCAGGTTACTGGTGAACGTGAAGGCGCGCCCGCAGATGGGACACTTGTGCGGCTTGGCGCCGGTGTGGACCAGCAGATGCTTCTTGTAGCCCGACTTCTGCGACAGTCCCACGCCGCAGATCTCGCAGGTGAAGGCCTTCTCGCCGGTGTGACTAATCTTGTGCTGGCGCAGCGAGGACGAATCGTAGTACGCCTTGTCGCACAGATCGCAGGCGTAGGGCCGCTCCCCCGTGTGGGTGAGCTTGTGGCGCCTCAGATGATCGTACGCCGTGTATCCACGGCCGCACTGATCGCAATTGTAGGGTTTCTCCTCCGCATGAGTTCTCTTGTGCGCCGCCAAGCTCGAGGTGGTGCGATAGAACCGTCCGCAGATATTACACGGATGCGGCTTGACATTGGTGTGGGTCAGCATGTGCTCCTTGTAGTTGCGTAGATGCTTCAGCCGCTTGCCACACTCCTCGCACTCGTAGTGCTTCTCGTCCACGTGGGAGCGCATGTGCTGGTTGAGTCGGCACTGCTGGCGGAACGCCTTCTGGCACACGGTGCACACGTGCGGCAGGGCCTCGCCAGCGGTTGGCGGCGTGGAGTCCAGCGACTCCTCCAGGAAGTCCTCCTCCTCGCAGACCTCCTCCGCCTCGGCCAGCTGTGTTGTGCGGGAATTGAGGATGAGAAAGGATAGCACCTTATGCACTATAACTTGACCACTTACCAGATGCTCTTCGCGCTCATCCTCCTCCATTTCGAGAGTCTCCTCGCCGATGACCTCGTCTATGGCTCCTTCTGCGGGTATCACAATCATCTGGCCATCCAGTATCTCGTCGTGACCGCCGGAATCGTCCATCACCTCGATCTCATCTTCCTCCGTGACGATCGTTTCGAACTCATTCTTGATGGTCACATACTCGACTTCGGCCGGCTGAAACTCGTGCACGCTCTCCATGGTGATGTGCTCCTCCTGGTTGCCCGACTGTGCCTGCTGGTGCTCCTCTTCAGTCAGCTCGTCATCCTGATCGCCCACTTCCTCGATGACGAACTCCTCCTCCTCCTCGGGGCTCGAGTGCATGTGACGTTCCTCCTCCGCCCCTTGTTCATCCAACTGTCGGTTATAGAAGTTATAGTTAGTTCCTTAAAGTTTAGCCTCAACGAAGCTTCTCCTGGTATGCAGGTAAGTTGCACTACCCTACTTTATCACAAATACCTATAATCTCAATACCAATTTCATCATATGTCTGGCAAGGAAATACAATAGGAATACAAGTCTGCCTACAAGAGTGCCTGGTGCGCGCTGCAAGTAATCGCTGACCCTCGACGGAATCGCAAGAACGAGAGTATCACTTACAGTGCCGTTCTCCTGTTCCTCGTTGAGCATCTCGATCATGACGTACTCCTCGCTGTGGTCGCCCGCCTGCAGTTGCTGGTCGTGCTGCTGGCTCTGGCTGTGATTCTGGCTCTGGTTGTGACCGTGACCGTGACTGTGGTTCTGGTTCTGGTGGTGGTGGCTGGTCCCGTGCGCCTCGTCCAGGCCCAGGCGCAGCAGCTCGTCCGAGTCGATGACCATGCGTTTGAAGTTGAACGCCTGCTCCAGCAGCTGCAGGCAGTTGAGGCAGATGTGCTGCGGCATGGCGGCGCCGTCCTGCGGCTCGAACGACAGTCCCGCGCAATAGTGGAGCATGCTGGCCAGCGTGGTGCTGCCCTCCGGGCCCAGCTCGATCTCCTCCTGCAGCGGCTTGTGCTGCTTGCAGGCACGCGTGCACGTCCGGCAGTTGAGGACCACCACCCCGGCCGCCTTGCCACTCATCATCCTGTGCGTATCCGCTGTCCGTTGGCCACTGTCCACTGCCCACTGTCCACTGTCCGCTGAATGCTGAATGCTGTATGGTGTTCGCTGTCCACCGTTCTTGCCTGGGATCGCTGTCGTTGCCGCTTTTATGACGTTTGGCTTCTTTTTTTTTAATTGAAGTTTTATGCGTTTTTTGGCAGATGTTTATGCGATACTATCGGTGCAGCAGGCATCGATTGCTTACGCGGTTCTCTCGAACGGTTAATCGAGTTTAGTTCTAACATCTCTGTTAAACGACGGCTGTTAATTGAAACTTAACGGTTACGGTAAACTTAGCAGTTTATTATTTGAAAGCCTACAGCACTACTTAAATGTTTTCAAACAATTATTTACAACAACATAATATTTAGGGGAAATTGAAAGCACTCGAACATTGGATTTAAAATCCACACTAGCTTACAGATCGAACGAGTGATTGGGCGGGTGAATGAAGCTGGTGATCTGCTTGCGTTTGGCTGATGAACTCCGGAACGAATCCCTTGAATCCTTCAATCGGCGTTGAGTGGATGAGTGCGAGGTTCCACGGCCACGAGAACGTCCACGGACCGAACTTTGGACGGATGATGGGGCCTGGGAAGTCAACGAGCGATTCCGAGAGGCCTGAGCAATCCTAGGGCGGGTATCAAAACAATACAAAAAATGCATTAATGGGAATTTGGGCAATGGAATCCAACTATACAACCTATGCATTTCCGCCTTCCGATTGGCCACTTCCGCTTTTATGTACCGCGACCGCTGCATCAGCTTCTTGCGCTCCACGCGCAGCATCTGCGCCTCCAGGAAGCGTTTCTGGCACACGGACTTGGCCACCTCGATGTCCTTGCACAGCTTTTCCATCTCCATTTCCTGCCGACGAAGGAATACACACATAAATGCTGTTTGAAACCAAGCGATCGCCTAATCGAACCTTTCTCTCCTTGTACTTGTCGAAGTGGCGGTGGTTGCCTCGCTGGAAAGTCTCAACAAAGTCGTTGCCTACGGTGAAGGGTTCCGGATGGAATAGCTGCTTAAAGTGGTTGGGCATTGAGTTGTTCACCTGGCGGCCACGGACGCTCCGCCGGCAGGTGGGGCACTCGAAGATGGGCGCGTCGCTGGGCGTCCGGCCGGCGGAGACCTTGATGCACCGCTCGCAGAATACGTGGTGGCAGGCGAGCAGGAAGAAGGCGTGCTGCTTGTCGCAGAACAGGACGCAGCAGCTGTTGCAGTGGATCCACAGCTTGCGCGCGTTCGGCTCCACCGCCTCACTTGCTTCTGATCGCGACATGTGGCGTTCCGTTGGCGAATTCAACTGAACATGCACAACATAAATTCGATTGAAGTTATTAACAGGATCGATGCAACGAGTTGGCAGCTCTGAAGCAGACGTCCGCTCTGCGAACCTGCCAACTGCTGCTGCGCATAACGGTTCATGCTGGACAAAACATTTATTTATTAAGAGAAAAAACAAGAAATGCACAATTAGAACACAGTTGCTCGGGTTAAAACGTATATCCTACTGGCGACGCATGCGCTCGATGGGCTCTCTGGGCCGGATGCGGTAGCGCTTCGAGGAGCTGGACGGCGACATCGGGCAGTACTGGTTGTCCAGCGTCTGGGTGCGCTTCCTCTTCAGGCTCTGGTGGTCCTCCACGGCGGAGTCCCTTGCACTGGGCCGCACCAAGGAGCCAGCGATGGAGGCGCAGCGACGGATCAGTGAACCCGAATTCTCCTTATTCTCCTTATCCTTATCCGTATCCCTATCCATATCCTTTTCCCGTTCGCCGCGCAAGCTGGCCGGCAGCCGCATCATGGAGGTCATCAGCGACCACAGGCGACCGGAGTTGGGCGCATCCAGCTTCTTGTCGTTGCGCGTGGAGGCGTTCGTGGGCCGGAACACCTCGTCCTCCTCCTCTGCGTCCGCATCCGCGTCCTCTGGCTCGCCCACATCCTGCACACCGCTATAGACCCTCTGCTGGCGACATTCCCGCAACGGAGGACGCGCCCTGGGACACTGTAATGGCGGTGAGATCAGGGCCAGGACCGCCAGCCCCTTATCCCTGCACTTATCCTTCTTAGGCGAAAACTCGCCGCTCAGCTGGCGCGGGACAATCGCCTGGCGACGCCGCTCTGGCAGCTCCGGCGTACCCGGTTCCGGCGTGAAAAACTGATCCTTGGTCTCGTCACCCTCGCCATTTGGTCGCATCTGCTGGTTGCTCTTGGGCGGCGTCTCAAACTTGATCTGTTTCTTGTTGATGCCGGCACCGGTGACACGAATGGGCGTGATGGCCGGCACATGGCACACTTCCGCCGATTCCGAGGTGGAGCGTATGATCTCAACGCTCTCGCAGGAGTTGTACACCGTGGAGGAGCTCTCCTGCGAACTGGAGTTCGTTCGGGTGATGATGATCGACTCGGTGGTTAGTTTCTGGGCGGACAGCAAGAATTGCCGCTTGCATTGATTGGGATTTCGTGAGGAACTGGAGCTCGAGCCCCCACTGCCACTGACCTCCGAGGCGCTGGACTCGCTCTGTGTGCGCCGCACAGCTGGCGAGAGTCGCAGGTCCAGAGCGGACGAACCGGCTGCCTCGAAGGAACTGTGCTCGCTGAGATCGAGGCGCACTCGACGCTGGACTACTCCGGAAGGGGGCTGGTGGACCATCATGCCGCCGTGCTCCACGAATGCCTTCTGAATGCTCTTCGACATGACCTGGCGCAGCGGCGTTGCGGCGCTCATCTTGTTGCGGGCGCCCATCTTCCAGGCGCGCTGCTGCAACGACTGCTGCTGCTGCTGATGCTGTTGCTGCTGCTGCTGCTGGACGGGATTGGTCTCGGGTGCCGGACTGGGCTCCTCGTGATAGATACTTGACACATGACCGCCAGTGGAGGCATTGAAGGTAATCGGCTCCTTGGGCTTGGCGAAAACAGACTCCACCTGCAGCGGCGTCGACGTTGATCGTATCACCTTGCCCTTCTCCACAGCTTCCGATGCATTCACGCCCAGGTGGCCGATAGAGCGACGAACGGAGCTGTTGCTGAACGACGACAGGTTGCGTATGGAGGAGACGCTGTCGCTGATGAACTCCTCGTGGGTGACGCGGCTCTTGGCCTTCCAGCGCATGTTGATCAGCGAAATGGGCGTCACGGCCGGCGATGTTTGCGTGGAAATGGCTGTGCTATTGGCCGCCTTCTTCAGCGTCGCCTTCGATGTCTCTGTGACGCCGGTGGCATCAGTGCAGCTGGCCGCCGCGCAGCTCTGCTGCTGATCCACACACTTGCTAAACTCGCGCAGATCGTCGACGCGCGTGTAGTTGCGCTGGCACTTGCGGCATCTCAACGGCAGGTGACAGGTCTCGATGTGGGCCAGCAGCTCGCCGTGCATCTCCTCGCGAAGCAGCAGCGGTCGCCGCTCGCAGATCGGACAGAACACATAGATGGTGACCGCCCCGGACTCCATTTGATGGCGGTGCTCGGCTATGCCGCCGCCCGCCGCTCTCAATCCCAATGGCTCGCGCACAGCAATGGCGTGGGCTTTGAACTGGTGCATCTGGCGGCATTTGCCGCAACAAAAGATCCGCTTACAAATGTGGCACTTGCCCTGGAAAGCAAGGTAGAATTGGCACTGGCAGAATTGGAAACTTGGATGCGTTTGGTGCCTACCTCATCGGGCTGTCGCATGATTAGGACATTGGAAAACGACATCAAACGCGCGAGTTGCGAATTCAACACATGGACGTACACCTTCACACGAAAATGAAACGGTTCTTCAGTTAGATATGGCAGGCAACCTCATCTGGACTAGCCAGTCTCATTTATATCGATTGTTCGGTGCAATGGGTTAATTATAGGTACCACGTTCATTTATTTGTTTGGGCACTAAACTTGCGCGCTTAGGTACATGCAACTTATTTGACGTTAGGAATCATTTCGAGCATAGGAACAACTATATAAGGAGCAAGCTCTTCAGCTACGTTGAGTGCGAACGTTCATTTACCACGTTCATTTATTTGTTTGGGCACTAAACTTGTGCGCTTAGGTACATGCAACTTATTTGACGTTAGGAATCATTTCGAGCATAGGAACAACTATATAAGGAGCAAGCTCTTCAGCTACGTTGAGTGCGAACGTTCATTTACCACGTTCATTTATTTGTTTGGGCACCAAACTTGTGCGCTTAGGTACATGCAACTTATTTGACGTTAGGAATCATTTCGAGCATAGGAAGGAGCATATATAAGGAGCAAGCTCTTCAGCTACGTTGAGTGCGAACGTGAACGTCGAGCGAGGAAGGCGCAATGTTTGATTACTCATAGGTTTGGAATGATCAAAGCATCGTTGGAAAATGTACAGGTATGAAATAAAAAAAAATTGATTTGGTTTTGTGTGGAAACCAGGTTCGCAATAGAACCATTCCATGGCGAACCTGCCATAAACAATTGCTTGGGCAAGCAAGATTGTATATAACTAGGAGCTTGGTGGGAACTCCCTGGCGCTCTGGACCATCGCCGTAAGCTTGTCCAGACAACGCTGCTCGTGGTGCGCGCGAAAGCGATTCGTGACAAAGCTGCTCAGGTCATTGCCCTCCTCGTCGTGCACGTCGCGAACGAAGATCGTCTGCTGGATGGTGGCCTGTATGACGGCATGGAATTGCCTGCTGCGATTGTTCTGCCTGCGATTGAAGAACTGCTTACGCACCATATTGCGCACGTCCTCCGGCCAGAGGCGATCCAGGCTCTGGGGCTCCAGGCCAGTGATCCTGACCTCCATCGCCTCTCTGGGTTGTTCCTGTGAAGCGGCATCAGTCTACAGGTTGTGCCTCTAAGTGGCAATCTAATGGCAATCTATCCATACCTTGAAGAGCTCATCGCAGATGTACACCTGGCTGGCATTGGAGGAAACCACTTCGGTGGACGTGTCCAGCAGTTGCACCGCAACCTTGCCATTGTTTTCCACATTCACAATGTCCGCCCGCTCGTAGCGGTTGAGATTCTTGACCACCGCTCGCTCGCCGGGCACGGGATTGGGATGCCTGCGCCGGTTCTCCTCCACTTCGTAGTGACGCTGCACGTCCTTGCCGAGCTGGGTCATCGGAACGTTGAGGAAATTGACCACTGTGGGGAACTGGTCGCTCAGACGCACCGACAAGGTAGCGGGGCTGTTGCACTGACAAAGTTGAAGATGTCACTGGATGGACGGCCTTTTAAGTTATCATATCGAGAATACTCACAGTCAGGACCGAGAAACGAATCTGTCCCGCGGTGGGATAGTGCTTCGGTGGCAGCACCTCATGTTGCCACAGCACATGGCGGTAGCTGCAGGTGTGCCTCAGGCAATCCCCGAAAGCGGTCAGCTGGCGGCAGAGCTTCAGTTGTCCCCGCGGTTGTTGGGGCTCGGTCAGGCGTCGCTGCGAAATGATATCCAGCAAATGGATGGGCCTGGGCAGCTCGTGCTTGAGAAGGAAGTCGGAGAGCATCCAGATGCTGTCCACATCAGTGCTCTTGACGAAGATCACGGACTGGCCGACCGAACGCGGCGCTTGCAATCTGAGGTTCTCGTAGAACAGGACGAAGCGGTGCTTGAATCGCATCCAACTGGTATCCAAGCTGTAGTGGATGAGCAGCGTGATCTTTCCGCATCTCAGTTTCGGCACCACTTCGTCCGTGATCAGCAGCAGCCCGGCCGTGGACCACTTGGAGTAGCACGCCGAAGAGACGATGGTCTGCACATTCACTCCTCCCATCGCGTTCAGCTTACGGCGGAGATGACGTACCTCTGTCGAGCTGGAACAGACCACAACGGCACGCTCCTCGACGAACCTGTTCCTGCGTTCGATCAGCCGCATCAAGTGCTCGATCTTCACCTCTCCCTCCACCACCTTTATGTCCAGCTGGACGCCGCCATAGACACTCGCCTCCAAGGCGTCTTCGAAGAGAATGAGAACGTCGGGCGGCATCAGAGGCAGGATGCGCTGCACCATCAGATCGGTGTGCCAGATGCGGCCGGAGACGAAGACATTGCACTTAGTTTGGCCTTGGGTGAGCTTGATCATTTCGGGCAATCGCTTAAGCAGCTTCATCGTAGCGTCCGGCAACAAACGAATCATGTCATTCAGATTATCCAAGGCTATGCACTTCACCGCCTGGGCATCGAAAATGGGCGAGTTCCTCGTGTGGTGGCCCAGCAGTTCCAACAGCGAGTCCACGCTGGTCAGCAGGATGCCAACGGGCCGACTTAGACGGCAAACGATATCCGCCACATGGCTCTTGTCCCAGAGGGTGACCACATCCTCGAATGCCACCTCACTGCCCAGCGAACGGAACATCGTGGCCATCCAGCGGCCGATCGGCTTGCCCTGCGACTGGTTGGGACACACAAAGATGCAGCTGGGTCCGTGGCCATCAGCTGGACGGCACTGCAGTTCCTTGTGGCTGCTCTGGCACACAGTGGGCAGGTAGGACCACGTCTTCCCGATCTGCATGTTGCCCACAACTATCGCGGATTTGCCCGACGATACATGTGGCCAGGCGAATCTCTGGACCGCCCGCGCACGAAACTTGGCCACGCCCAGCTGAAACATGGCCTGCCTGATGGCGGTGCTAATTTCCGGCGCTCCGCCCAAATCGTAGCACGGCACAACCAAGTGGCGACTCCAGGTGAGCACGCCATAGTTATAGAAAAGTTGTCCCGCTGCAGAAGAGGGTTCCACTGCGGGAGAGGCAGGATAATCCTGCACAGTTGTAATGGAATCCAGCGAAGTGGTGTCGTCAACGACGCCAAGATCAGATGTGGTGGTATCAGGCAGCTCCAGGCCGGGCGGTTTTTCAATGGGAAGAGAAGGAGGAGGCGGTAAGGCCATGTCTTTAGATGCGTTTCGCAGCTTCCATGCCTTTAACTTTTGGAACTCGGCTTCCGAAGCCCCCGTTGGATGTTCAGCATTGAGATGAGCGTCTCCAGGAGCGTTGGGCTTGCCAGCAGCTAGAGAGGATTCGTCCATCGCCAAATCTGTGTTTTTCACCTCAAGAGAGAGTTGGTCGAGCTGCAGTTTCTCCAGGGAATTGGAGGTTTCTGGATTTGTAGACTCTAGGCGCTTTTCCATAGTATCCCTTACGCTTAATGACATCCGATGCTCTTCATCGTTTTTTGAAATTGTCGCAGTTGTAGAATTTGGCATAGTTTCCTTTGTTTCATGTGTCTTCTTGGAATTTGGAGGAGCTACTTTGACCACTGGCTTGATGTCTTTCAGGGGCAGCTCGACCTCATCCTTGCCTTCTTTCTTATTATCCTCCTCGTGGCGCGGAGTGATGACCATCATCTCGGCTTTCACCTTCAACCCGCTCAGCCACTTCATGCGTTCCTCGAACGTGTTCAGCTCCGGCAGCGTTGTATGGATGACCAGGTTCGCCTCGACGCCCCCGAGATACTCGAGCATGTCATCGCATAGAATCAGAGCCTGGTGAATGTACTGGAAAAGAGGATGAAGTGTGGACTTTAGCGCCCGTTCTTCTAGAGCCTTCAAACTCTTCACTCTACACTCAAACTCAAACTCACCCCCTTGGACCAGAGGAGCAGCACTTGGCGGGCCATTGGATCGTGCGTTAGCAGGAGAATCGATTTCACATCCCGTTCGGCGAGCTCCGATTTCAGACGCTCGGCCTCGCAATTCTGCTGACATATCAAAATGGTTCTACATTTGTGGGCGTCTCCTTCTTGCAGGGTGTGCGCCAAGAAGTCGTGGGCAGCTGCTCCGGATCTCGGGCTGGCGTAGGTGATGCAGGTTCCCCGGGACTCCACCTTGAAGCTGGGCACTTGGTGATCTCCAATTGGCTTCATGGTGCGGCGGCTACACAACGAGGCGTCACTTTCGAGTGTCGAAATACGGCGAGAATGTCACAGCATGCGCATTGGAATGTAAACAAATCCCGGGTTTTATGGCCCTTTTAATGGCTTTTAATGGCTGGCACAAAACTCCTAATGCCTTGGAAATTTTGAACCAACTGAATTTTTTTGACGTCGCCGTTTCAAGTTCGATTACTCGTGTCCATACCAACAATCGAACCGCTCCGACCGTCTGGCAACTCTTGTACGCAGGCTGTGACGTCACAAGCTGAGCTTTCGTGCGCCACCTTGCCAAAGTGCTGCCACCTTGCGCTGCACGAAATTCGCCTTAAGTTGTATTTTTGATTAGCTAGGTAAATTCCCTAGGTAAATTCGAGTGCGGTCAAGTCGGCGAGATGCTGGACAACGACACCAGCAACAACAATAACTGCAACCCACAGAAACTGCCGCTGGGCGACCTGAAGTTCGCGATTTCTGGCCAGGATGGGGTGCGCCGTAACGTTCCGGCACTGGTAAGTGGACACGATGCCGCTTTCGGCGAGATAACAATATCCATATGTGCATGCATCGGTAGGACGAGCACTGGGTGCGACGCGAGAAGCCCTTCGCCAGCTACGTCTGCATGATGAGCTCCTACGGCCGCCTCAAATCCGGAGCTGCTCTGGAGGAGTGGACCTTTGCGGCCAACAATTGCCGCCAGGACATGGAGTTCCTGCTCAGCCTGACGCAGCACGAGTAAGTAACATCGTGTACGGCTCGTTATGTCAAAGACATTACCACATTACCACATCCTCGCCAGATTCTGGTCCTACATGGTCTACGAGGAGTCGGCCATGGCGGCCGTTGTCACATTCCTGCAGCGTGCCAATCCCTACTACAGACAGCCGGATGCCAGCCCGGACAAGGAGTTGGAACAGGCCAACCGGCTGTACGGACAGCTACTAGATCTCGTCGTCCGTCTGATAATGCGACTGTGCACCGGCGAGGAATCCGACTCGGAGTGGATTAGCCCGCAGCAGCACAGCAGCCTGCTGTACAGCAACTACCTGATCTCTGTGCCAATGCTCTTTGATCTGCTCATCTGCGTTGGCGATGCAGAGCCGACAAATGTGGAGCTGCTGCGCCAGATCTTCCACAAGGTGCTGAATTTGCAGCCGGAGTACCGAAAGGATCTGAAGGAGGCGCTGATCTTCTACGAGAGCGCCTTCCTCAGCATGCAGATCCAGGTGGAGAACGAGGGCTGCGAGGGGGCTGGCGGCGGTGCGCCTCTGGACGCGGACTTGGAGACGCCCTACGACGATGTGGTGCTCTACGCCATGGATTCTGCCTACACGCTGCGCCTGCTGCTGCTCCTCTGTCCCGAGCTATTGGAAACCATCGAACAACTTCGTTTGGCTCAAAGGTGCGCCGCGTTTCTAATGGGCAGCAGTGATCGGTGGCCTGTGTGATTCTATTGCCTTCCCTTTCGTATTCGCAGCATCGCCAATTTCTACGATATGACAGTGCCCATGTTGTACAAGAACATCTACATGGTCAACCCGGGGGCACAGTCGCTGCGCTGGCTAAACGAGACGCGTCAGCAGTTTCTCGTCGTCATCCGTCGAGTGATTTGCCTGCAGATGGAGGCGGGACGGGGCCAGCAGTTGGTGGAAGTGATGCAGGAGTGCCTGTCCGCCCAGGCCTTCGTTGTGGACTACCAGCGGCAGTATCCCTTGGAGCACGACATGGCGATGCTGGTCAAGCGTTGCCCAAACATGTGAGTTGTCTGCTGTACTGTGAGCTACTCAATGTTATTCGCAATCTCTGCATCGCCAGCAAGAACTACAAGGTGGATTTTGTGGTGGCCGGTTACCAGAAGGCACTGAGCAGCTGTCCCAACGGCATAATGGCCGACGATATGGTCAGTAACGTGGACACCGAGGAGGAGGACGGGGAATTCGAGGACGAGGATTCCTCGCGAACGTCGACACAGCCATCACCGGCGGCCAACGGAGCCACCGCCAGGGATATCGACCTGGAGGTCACCGCCGTGCTGGATGTGCTGCCCGATCTGGGCAGAGGCTTTATAAGGCGTCTGCTCACCCGCTACGAGAACAGCGAACAGGCCATTGCCGCCATTCTGGACGACAATCTGCCGCCGGATCTGGCGCAAATGGATCGACAGGAGGTGTATATTCCGCCCGATCCGCAGGACAAGATGCAACGCCAAACGGGGCTGCGGCACTTCAATGTCCACGATGGCGATCGCTACGATGTGCTGACGCGGGACCAGCCCGAGTGCATTATTAAGCAGGGCAAGGGATTGCCCGGCGCGCCGCGCAATGCGGAACAGCTACTGGACGACAAGCGTGATCTGAAGCAGCTGAAGGAGCGCTACCAGCACTACGCCATGGTGGAGGAGACGGCGCTCGAGAGTGGCGAGTATGACGACGAGTACGACGACAGCTATGAGGCCCTAAACGATGGTCAAGCGCCGCCAGTGAGCCTGCAGCGCGCGAGACTCCAGGGTGCTGCTTCCCATGCCGCCTACGAGGCACAGGACGAGGTGGACGATGACGAGGAGGAGAGCTCCGACGGCGGCTCGGATGCGGAGCCGTCGAAGCGCAACAACAGAGACTTTTGCGAAAATCCAGAGGTTGTACGTGCCCGCTACCAGCAGCGGCAGATGGCCAAGTACGGCCAGAAGAGCGGTGGACAAGGAGCTAGTCCCGCTGTGGTGGGCGCACCCAAGGGCCAGGGCCAGTCCCAGCAGACCCAACGCAGTCGTGGGCAAAAGGAGGCCCATAAGTCGTCCCGTGCCAATCACAATCGCAAAGCGGGTGCGGCCTTCAAGCGCAGCAAGGGAATGATGGGTTAGTTGCGGCCCAAGGAGCCAGCCCACTTGGAGGGAAGTAAATACATTTCGAATTGGTGTACTTGTATCGTTGATGTTTTTATTTTGGGGCGCCGATAACAAGTGGGCGTACAAAAACAAACATCAAACGCAAAAAAACGACTTTCATTCGAACATGTAACAATGATTGTTGCTCATATTAAAATAGCTTTGATTTCTCTTTTGATTTCCATTGAAAATAGCGATATGCATAGCACAGCGTATTTCTCATAAGGCCACCAGCGTTCCCGTGGTACTAAGGTTAGTATTCACATGTAATTAGTCAGTTAACATAAAGATATATACCTGTCTATACACAGTATAGACAAGCTGCCGAACTCGTTGTAATCCGGGCCAGTGCCATTGTACAGGTTGTAAGGGTTTGTATTAAATGTATAAGTTAAGTAGGTCACAGCGCGTTTACAGTGGGCTCCTGCATTCATGTGGTGCCCAAAATGGTTGTTCGTATAGTACTTATAAAATATATTCTGCAAATTGTCAGAAGTGTCAGCAGCTAGGCAGCTGCATTCTAATCCCTCGTTGCGTTCATCTTCACGAACTCCGCGTTGAGCAGCGCCATCTTCGAGGAGTGATTGGCGCCCCCCTCCTCGCCCAGCTTCAAATACTTGTCCCGTATGAAGCACTTGAACGGTGTCATCGTCGTATCCGACCGGACGCCGTCGTACATGTTTTTCTTGCAAAAGGGCTTCACGGTCACCTCGAACTGGCAGTAGTAGCAGCGCAGTTTGTGCGATTTCCAGTCAGCCACGCCGTAGGAGCAGCGAGTGCACATGGTGCACGTATACTTGAAGCTACCAATGCAGTCGTCGATGGTGGGTATCTCCGGGAACGCCATCTTCGCCTGGTAGGCCCTGAGGAAAGGAAGTGGAGACACACATTAAATACCATCGGCAAGAGCAAAACCATTTATGTAGGTTCCCCGCCAATAATTCAGTATGTCTCTTAAAAGTGGGGTCATGACCAAGAATCTTACCATCTGCGGCAATTGTCGCCGTGACCTAGCTCCCGGTTGAACACAAAAGCCGCCACATGGCACATCTCATGCAGCAGGGGCTGGATGAGCTCGGCCGCCGTATCCAAGCTGCGCAGTAGGAGAATCTCTGCGGTGCGCTTGCCGGAGGCATCGATGGTCAGCTCGCATTTCCAGCGCGTGTTCATGGAGTGCTTCCAAACAATTGGCACCTGCAGGCCGCAGTGGAAGATCGCGTGGTTGAACATGTTGAACAGCGCCTTGGCCAATGGCACTTTGCATTGGATGAAATCGGTCTGTCGGTATTTGAGCGCCAGTGGATGGCACATGTTGATCGAGATCGCCGGACTGAGCGACTGAACGAATCCGTAGAAATGTGGATGTCGCTCCAGGCAGGCGACACTGCTCTTGTGGCGGCGGCAGTTGGTGGCTATCTCCTTCTTGTTTGGAAGATCGCTTAGATCAATGGGCTCCTTGACCGAGTTCGGAGTGTCCTCCTCAAAGGAGTGGACAATGGCATTTAGCACAAAGTCATCCCTGATTTTAGCCTGGCGCTCCTCCATTGTCGGCGTGTGAATATGCGATAAATTCAGCTTTGACCAAGTGGGTGATGGAGTAAGTGGACTTGGTTCAGACGTGGGCGATGAATAGGCCATACGAGTAATCGATAGGTTGACTTCCTTCTCATTGTTCTCATTATTATTCTCCGGATCCAAATTACAATCCTCCTCAGGATTGTAAAGCTTGCGACGTGACGCAATCAGACCCAAAAACTTGTGCATCTTCGTTTTGAGTTCCTCATCGTCTTCCAGTACGATGTTGGGCTGTGGCGCATCCCTAACGATCACGACCTTACCGCCCAGTTCGAGATAGACCAGCGGAGGCACCGTCTCCGGCGACGAGTGGCTGCCATCGGTGCTGCAGGCACTGCTGCTGCTGTTTCTTAAGCTACGTCGTTTGCGACCCGTCCACTTGGGCTGCTCGAAATCATCTCCCTCATACTCCTCGTCGTCGGCATCCAGCGACAAATCATCGGAGTTCTCCTCGTCATCGTCCTTCGACTGGGAGGATGAGTAGACAAACTGCTGGTTTGTCCGCGAAACTACAACACGACCACTGCGCGTCACCACGGGCGGATTCGAGGGCGTGGGCATGTCGTTCAGATTTCGGTAAGCTGCGTAGTCAAGATTTCGAAAATAGTTTACGTTACAGAGCATTTCGACTACGCAATTCTTGTCAGGCTACCCTCACTTACATTTCCTTTTGGCCAACCCATCGCCGTTGGTCACCGGCGGGTGACGCTTCACGGCTGACCTCGGCGTCTCCATGTCGCTACTCTCGGAACGAGGAGCTATTATTGCGGTCGGAGTGTTATAATTAATATTATTATTACTCATTGTTCGGCACTCACTGCGGTTGTCTGAATCAAGGGAGAGTTCGAAGTATGACGAGTCCTTGACGAACTCCTTGGCCAGATCCTCGAATTCAGAGGAGTTACAAATCTCGGACGAGTGGAGGAAGCTGCACGGCGAAGCACGGGAATCATCGGACAGTATATTGCTTCCGCCGCTGATGTCGCCGCTCGCAAATGAAGCACTGTGATTGGGCTCCACTTGGGCCTGGGATTGGGGCGTCTTGCACGGTAACATGAAATGAACCAGTTGGAATTCAGTTTGATTGGCCGGGCTGACCGATGGGTGACAGCTTACCTGTGCGTCGCCATTGTCCTCCAGGTTGCAGTCGTTAATCAACTTGACCAGGCTGTCCTCCGGATTTGCGCTCGCTCCTGCGGACATCTCGGATGCGATATTGTTTTGGTAATTTTGTTTGCGGCTTTGACTACTTGCGATTTCAGGCGTCGATTTTATTTCTCTTTCGTATATCGATACAAATCGCTCAAAGAGCAGTGCTGGAAAGCAGCGGAAAAAGAAACTGTAAACGGCCATGTTGACAGATAGCGGGAAAATTTAAGGCCTATTCTTTGATTGAGTTAAATCACAAGAATCATTGCCTGCTTAAATTAAGCTTGGGTTGTCGAATATAAACTTGGCTAGGCTAATTTGCCCAGCCAACCACTTACCTTTTTTGGCATCCGGCTGGTCGCCATTGCATTTCGGGAAGCTCCGCTTTTTGGCCAACTTGGGGGTCATGAATTCGCCTTTAATGGAGCCAGGGCCTGCAGCAATCGGAATAGAAATACATGTGTCAACCAAGCACTATTTTTATTACCTCTTGCCCGTAGTTTGCGCCTGTAGGGGTTCTCGAAGTCTGCTCTCTCTTCGGTAGCAATGACTCCTTGGGCCCCGTCCTGCGAGGAGGCAAGAGAGTCCTCTGAAATCCAAATGTCGCTTGTCGTGTCAGACGGCTTCTGTTTGAGTGTTACATGGAGTTACATGAAATGAACCAAATGGGATTAGGATTGACTGCCCTGTCTAAACTGTGACCCAGCAGCCTACTTGTGCGCCATTATCGTCCAATAGTTTGTTCAGCCCTTCGCCCAGAATCTTAAGCTGATATGCAAAAGTCTCGAATGCCATTGTACTGGCTATTTCGCGTCTGTAAATGTATCAACTAATGCCGTCAAAAATCGCGGCTATCGTTGTTCTAATACTGGCCAACGGGCAGTGCTGGAAAACATCAGGGATAAACTTAATTTTCGGCTAACGTGCTTCAAGTTTTGAAGTATTTGTTGTTAGCTTTTTTCCCGTCAGATTTTATGGTAGCTGTTCGTGTCACACTTCCAACACTAGTGTTTACTGTCGCCTGAAGCTATCGCTATTTATCGTAATCAGCAGGCGCGTGTATCGGTCTATCGTGCTGCGGCAAAATAAATAAATAAATATAAGTGATATTATTAAAGAAAATTAGAACGTAGGGCAGGAGGAAACGCTGGTAACAGTATTGAAGTGCCGCCGGTTAGGTGTAGTTCTTTGTTTTAGTCGCAGCCACAGCAAATCGCCAGCAAGATGGGGCGCCGCTCCATTAACACCACCAAGAGTGGGAAGTACATGAATCCCACGGACCAGGCGCGTAAGTACGAACCTTTCCATTCGATTTGTTGAGCCCACCTAGCCGAACCTTTCAGGCAAGGAGGCCCGCAAGAAGGAGCTCAAAAAGAACAAGAAACAGCGCCAAATGGTGCGGGCCGCCGTCTTAAAGAACAAGGATCCCTCACAGATACTCGAGGAAATGGAGAAGATCGACGAGATGGGTGAGTACCGTATAGAGCACGCACGGATTCGTTCCAACCACTGATGCAGTGCCCTTCATTTGCAGAGTACAACGTTCTGCAACCATCGCCGCTGAACGAGAAGGTGCTGCGCGACAAGCGGAAAAAGCTTAAGGAGACCTTCGACCGCGTAATGCGACTCTATGTAAGACAGACTCGGCTGCCAGACAGCTAGTCCAGCCTATAACTGAAATATCCTTCTTCCAGCACAATGACGAGCCGGAGCACTGGGCGGACCTCAAGCGCAAGGAGGTGGAGTACGAGAAGAAGCGTCTAAAGAAGCAGCAGTACTACGAAAGCGTTAAACACGCCCAGAGCGTCCAGATTGATGAAATTCCGCTGCCCGCTCCGGTGTCTGCCGTGCCAGGCGGACCTGCCGGATCGGCTGGCGGTTCGGTGGCTGGCGGATTTGTAGGAACCGGTGGCATACGCCTTCCCCCACCGCCCATGACAATGGCCTTGCCGCCTTATGCGCCAGGCGCTCCGCCAGGCGTGGCCAAAAATAGCGATGCAGCTGCCAGTGAGGCGCAAGTGGAGAAATCCAAGGAGGACGAGGAAAAGGATTGGCTGGGCGTACCGCCGGGACCACCGCCAGATCTGTTTGCCTTTTCCGAACTGGATTCCGATGCCGAGGGCAATACTGACTACGATGGTGAAGGCGAGGAGGAAGAGCTAGGGTCGTTGAAGAAGGGCAAGGACAAGGACAATGAGGCCGCCGAGCCAAATAATCAAAATATCGACGACTTCATGAAGGAAATGGAGCATGTGCACAAACGTAAGCACCGAAAGCTGGCGGCCAAAGAGGACGAGACCGACAAACAGCGGGAGGAGGACGAAGGAGAAGATTCAGATAAGCGCCAGGAACGAGCATCTAGCTCCGATGGGAAATCCGTCACCAGTACCGACAGTGAGGACGACGATGACCACGGTGAGGATGAAGAGATGTCCGAAGGTCCGACCAAGCCACCGTCAGTAAAATCATCCATAGCGACGGCAACGCCGGCTCCTCCGACCGCGCCAACATTACCGACTATTCCGTTGCCACCAGCGTCGTCGGTGCCTGCGCCGCCACAACTACCACAACTGCCGCCAATTCACAATCTCGGGCCACCGGGCATAATGTACCGACCTCCACCTATGCGACCTCCTCACCCGGGTGCCGCATTCGGCATTCGCATGCCACCTGGACCGCCGCCAGGACCCAGGCCACCGCATGTCCTGGGACCAATGCCCCGCATGGGCATCAGGATGCCACCCGGACCGCCACCAGGCCTGCCTCCTCGCCTCGCACATCACAATAAGCAGGGAGGCGGGGCAGGTCCACCGAAGGAGTCCGCCAAGGGCGTGACCACCATTACAGCCAAGCCACAAATCAGGTGGGTTGCGATAGCTCTTCGGGGCACTAGAACATCTGCCAAATGCTAAATATATACCTTACTTAACAGGAATCTGAGTGCGGATGTCACCCGCTTCGTGCCGTCCACGTTGCGGGTGAAGCGCGAGGATCAGCGCCGTGCGGCGAGGCCCAGGCACGCGGCCAACGATGGCCACCACGCTCCCTCCGAGGCACACAGCAAGCCGCCCACCAAGGATGACGCCTATCTGCAGTTCATGAACGAAATGCAGGGCTTGCTGTAGCACTCGAATGGAGTCGTGTACATTGAGTAGTCTAAGTCCTAGATAAAACGAGTCATCTAAACCAAATACCAAACTCGTTTCATTGGTAGCTTCCTATGGAATGTGACTTTTTTGTTTTGGTTTTGTTCCTACTCAAATACCAAACATATAGAGTATAATTTATTATTTTCTTTCGGTTTTAGTACATATTCAATAGATTAAAACATTGCTATATTTACATGCTTGCAACTGCACTGTTACGATTGCAGTATAATTACGACGAAATAGAAAAGCACACACATCGCATCGAATCACTATTTGCCATTGGTTTGGACCGGAGAGGAAGATCCAGCCCGGACTGCCTTCTTGCTGAACGGGCGCAAGTCCACGATGTCCGCCTTGAGTGCCCGGAAGCTTCTTCGCAGCGAATCCGATACTTTTTTCGTGTAACTCGTACTGTTGCTGCACTGGGAGAGCTTGTCGTCGCCATGTCCATTGCGCAGATCGGCGGCAAGCGGCCGCAGTTCGTCCTCCACGGGCGTGGCATCGTTCAGCGTGTTCCGCAGATATTTCCGGTTAAAGTGCAGCTGCGGTGTGCCCCACTTGCGCTCCAGTTCCACAGCAACGGCTCCATCGGACCCAGCGCTGTCGGCGGCAGCTGCTTCCTCTTCCTTGTTCGCAGTGGCCACCTCCGCTTGGGTCACCTCCGCTTTGGCCACCTCGCCGATGGCCTCCTTATAGGTGCGCGTAATAATCATGTTGGTCGGCACGCTCTTCCCGTTGACGCCACCATTCGCTGTCTGTTCTAGGTCCACCGGCTGCGGCAGACTTTGCCGAGGTGGTTTTGCGCGACGCGGTGACTTGACCGCCAGCACACTCACGCGGTAGTGAAGAACCTGCCAGGGTGAACATCGAATTAGTAAATCCTGCCATTTCAGGGCATTTGGTACTGGGAACTCACCTTGTCCTGGTCCAGAAAGCGATTAAGCTCCGTCAGCGGAATGCTGACACAGGTGCCCTCCATGAGGATGTCCTTGTCGTACTCGCTGTGCACGGGAAACTTCTGGGTCATGGACAGCGCCTCGTTATCCGGCTGCAGCACCGTCACCTCGTAGGCGTAGTTGTACTTGCTGTCTCGCCTGTTCGAGGTGCAGGTCATGGTGAACAGAATGCGCTGGCGGTCGTGAATCTCATAGAAGTTGAACATTTCGTCGTGCGCCTGAAAGACGTAGTAGCCGGTGAGCGGTTTCCGTCGCGTAGCCAGATTCCACTCCAGATCGGCGCTGCTCGAGCGGAACAGGCGGTCGTCGTGCTGCTCCTCCAGATGCTCCTTCCACTGCACCTCGCGGCCCTGCCAGCGGCAGTCGCCCCACACGCGGCCCATGAAGCACTTCATCGGCTTGTACATGCACTGCTGTTCGTGCCAGGGCAGCAGGACTACCGGCATCCGCACCTGGCAGCCGCCGGAAGCGTGTCCGCACCGGAAGTGCGCCTTGGCGCACAGCGCCTCCACGGTCAGCGATCGCGAGTTGGTGAAGGGTTCCTGCAGCACAAAGGTATTTGCATTCGCATATAATTAGTCTGTAATTTCGGATAACATGTACATTGTATAACCATATCATGCACTTCTGGCATTGATGAAAAGTATACTTTATCATACTTATCAGCGATACTATGACACGAGGTTTTCGATGTGCTTATGTTGTCTATTGGCTGAAGAGCACACAAGTTTATCTAATGCGAAAGTTTATAACGATTTCCTCTTGACATTTCGGTAGGACACAGTGCTAAAGTTTTAAAGTGCTAAATACATATTTCCCGAATCGCTAGAAGGTAACAAGAGTTAATTTGCCCTATAGGAGCACAAGTATACGTATATGTATCTGGAGCAAGACAAGGTCTATTTATGGTGAGTTGTAGTGCAGATAGTGGGCTGCACTTGAAAATTGATTAGACACCCTCGGCAGGGTAATAAAAGTAATCTCCACTGGAGATCATTCTGCCCTGCGCCTGTCGATGATGGCAATCTGCGACCAACTTCTCCATAGTTTATACCAATGTATATTTGCACGTCACTAGATAAGAGGCACATTGGGGCAATGCGATATTGATAACCGAACACCTTTAGAGGGGCTGACGTCAATGTCAATTTTTACCTTGCAGAGTGGGCACATGAGCAGAATGCGGGTGCACTGTTCGCAGACACTGTGGCCACTCTTGCAGAGCAGAATGGGCGCCTTCATGGCGCCGGCACAGCCGGGACATCTCAGCTCCTCGATGAGTCCCTCGTAGTGGCGGGCGGAGACGGTGGCCGCGGCCGGGGCCGGGGCCGGGGCATCCTCGCTGGGCGTGGCCGGGCTCTTTGCCGTCTGGCTGGGCGTTTGCACGATCACGCCTTCGGGAAAGCTCTGGCGGATTAGGGAGCTGTCGGGCGAGAGAGTTCCATTGCTTGCGGGACTCTTGCCGTCGCCGGAACCGGTACTTCGGGTGCGGCTCAGCATGGGTGGCTTGGGTGGCGGCGAGAGTGGGGATCGCAGGGTCACCACATTGGGACTTGGCAGCGTGGCGTATTTCACGTTCAGGGTGAGCGTATTGGGGGGCAGAAGCTTGGCTGGCTCCAACTTTGCGGGTGCCTCTGGCTGCTCCTGTGCTGCGGCCTCATCTGGTGTTTTCTTCGCCACCTCCTCTGGACTCTTCTGGGACTCGGGTTCGTCCAAGACTTTCAGATTCTGCTCCAGCTCCTTCTCCCGTATCGTCGATCCGTTTGCGCCCTCCGGCAGCTCCTCGTTGATCGTGCTGTTGAGGAATATCCGGCGCTGCTCGTTGATCTGCTCGATGCTCTTCAGCTGGGCCAGAATTTTCAGATCCTCCTCCTTTCCTCCATTGGCCAGGGCGGACATTTTCCACAATGTGTTTGACTAGTTGTATAACCGCCGGGAACAGTTGCTCCAAGCTCAGGGGCCTGAATGTGCTTTTCTTCTGGCGGAATTCTCCGCAAGCGGCCGCAACTCGTACTTTCGTATCTTATCAGGGAGACGCCTAACTAAACTAGCTGGCCCGGCAATCGATTTGGACTTGCGATGCGATATACCAAAAAGCCGCAACCGCAGCCGCAGCCAAAACCAAAAACCCAGCCGAACCCCAAAACGACACGACTCACATGCACACACATCAAGCATACGCCCAGTTGGCCCGTTCTTTTGCCTTCTCCGCCGCGGCCACGAGTGTCTTCCGGACACCGCCAATTGAAATGTTGCATTTGAATTTGAATTATTGGCCATTTGTGGTTTCCTCCGTTCCGGCGGCTTTTCCATTCCTCATTTTCCATTGCCCCTTTCGTTGGCCAGCAATCAATGTCAAGGTGTTGACGGGCAGCCAGGGTCTACGGCTCAGCACAGTGGGACTTCCGTAGGGCGACAGGCATTTTGCTCTTTTCACTGTTGAAAGATCATCATACATTAGATAGGCTTAGTTTTGCCATGCAACAACTGTACCAAGGCATGCACCCTCAAACATGTTTCCTCAGTAATCAGGTGACAGAGTCTCAGCCTCTCGAGTATTCACTGTACCTGCTAGGCTTGCAATAGTTATAAGCTTGAGAGCACAACAACAACTGCGGTGTAAACAAAGGGCCGATGCAACGATCAATACTTCTGTCAATCGCCTTCAATCACGTGTGTCGTGGGGTTTTTAAAAGAAATTCAATTGAAATGAAGAAAAGGAGGCATGTGAATCGAAAGGATATAATATTTATACCATGCCAAACCTTAAAAGTTAAATTAACTTTTTAGAGCCATTTTAGGTTGTCAATTTCTTGTTCTTGTAAATTACTGAATGATTGTTGTGGAAGATAATGTCAAATTATCATTCAAGGCTTCAAAAATGCAATCTTTTTAATTTTGCAGTGAACTAGTTCGATAGTATATAAGATTCTTAAAAATAAATACGTTAAATTTAAGCGAAATTACAATTTTGAAACACGACAGCCCATAAAAGCCCATTTGTCGAAGATAGCAAACTCACTATTAAAACAAAGAAACACAGCGCTAATTTTATAAGGTATGCTTTAAGATAAATCCGCAAACTAGGAAGCACAGGAGATATTTGTTGTGAAGATGGAAAGGTGACATAGACAATGCACGAGTATTTCATGCCGCGTTCCACACAGAAGATCTTATATTTACATACGGAATCTTATCGGACGAGCCACTCAGGTCAGTAAGCTAAATCGCGTAATAAAGATACTCAACATGCACATACGTATGTACGTACGCATATACTATAGCGTCCGGGGTGTCGGGGGAACAATGTCAATGCGTTGACATTGAAGGTTAAATGCCGGCAGAGGCAGTCAGTCGGCTGTGGAATTTCGGTGCGCGCGCAACCAGCATCCGTTCCTATAAGCCAACAATTAGCGGCCTATACCCATGTCGCCGCCACGCCACATTTTGAAACTCAGCCTCGAGGAGCAGCGGCAGTTCATAGATTCCTTCGATCTGGTGATCAGCGACTGTGATGGCGTCGTCTGGCTCCTGGTGGGCTGGATTCCCAATACCGGAGCCGCCGTCAATGCCTTGAAAGCGGCCGGCAAGCAAATCAAGTTCGTGTCGAACAACAGCTTCCGCTCCGAGGAGGGTTACATGGAGAAGTTTCGGCTCATCGGCGCCAAGAATGTCCACGAGGATGACATCGTCCATCCGGTGAAGACCATTGTCAGGTACCTGAAGAAGCACAAGCCGGGAGAGCGAGTTTTCTCCCTCATGTCCCTGGAAGCCAACGAAACGTTGCGTAAGCACAACATTGAATTTGAGTCGCTGGTGAGGAAAAATTTACTCGTTATTACATTTACTCGTATACATTTAGTTCAAGTGCTTCCGTGTGACCATTTGTATTTCATTGCCTTTTCTTCCAGCAAGTCAAGGAGCACCTGACGGCCGCATCCCTGGTGGATCACCTGGCCATTGAGAAGCCCGTGGGCGCAGTGCTGTTCGACATCCATCTGGACCTCTCGTACGTGGAGTTGGCGAAGGCCATCAGGCACCTGCAGGAGAACGACGACTGCCAGTTGATAGCCGGCGGCAGCGATGTCATCATGCCGCTGGCGGAGAATCTCAATGTGGCCGGGTTCTTTGACTTCCTGGAGCACGTGAAACGCTACACCCAACGCGAGCCCACGTTCCTGGGCAAGCCGTCGCCCATTTTGGGCGAGATGTTTGGCGAAATGTTCGAGATTGGGGATTGCAAGCGCTGCATCTTCATTGGGGACACCCTGGTGCAGGATGTGCAGTTCGGCAAGGCCTGCGGCTTCCAATCCCTGCTGGTACTTAGCGGCTGCCTGACCAAGGAGGACATGCTGAACGCCCCGGTGGAAGCCCAGCCGGACTACTATGCCGATAGCTTGGCGGACTTCACGCAGCTGCTTGAAAATATTCAAAAATAGGTTAGGGATCGCGTGTCGAAGGGACTTTACGAGCAACGTGCTACCTGAAATCATCTAACTCGAGAAAAAGTAGTGTGTTCCTAAAACGAAAACCGATCCACCGCAGTGTTATATGTATGTTTTGTTATTGCTTATTCAATATACCTATTTGTAGCCATTGTTGATCTGTAAAGTTTATAAATGTTTACTAGGAAATCGATGAATTTCAATTAATCCGTACAAAATGGAATCGTACTGTACATTTGAGGGTCAGACTTTATTAGTTGAATTTGTAAAATAACGAGACAAACACGATTTCAAATCTCCAGATCTTCCGGATGATACAGTTCCGTAAGTAGGCGGTACACATACGAGGGGGCGTGGCCACCGCTAAGTGAAACAAGGATTCAAATAAAAGAATGGCAAGGCGGATAAACGCACTACTTACGTGTTGGATATGAAGAGGGTGACCAGTTCTGGAGGCACATAATCGAACATGGGATTGTAGATCTTGGCCTCGCGTGCTGGAATCGAATCGTAGGGTATCACATCCTCTGCACAGCCGACCATGTTGAAGGCGTCCTGCTCGCACAGATGCAGTGGGGAGAGTTTGTACATGGGCGCTAGTACAATGACCGGCACGGAGTAATGCTTGGCGGCCAGGGCCACTGTGTAGGCTCCACATGCCGCTCTAAGTCCGCCATTGGCCAGCACACTGTGCGTGCCGATTATCACCTTATTGACGCGCGACATCATTGCGAAGATGGCCGCATCCGGGATCACCACAATCTCCACATTCTTTTCGCTGGCCAAGCTGGCAGCCAAATTGTGACCCTGCAAATGGGCATAAGCAATTAAGCAACATTTCACCAGGTCTATACATGCCAAAAACCGTGTTCGATGCATAGAATCACTATTATAATAATGGCGTCCCATAAAGACTATCAACTCACCCGGCAGGCTGGCGCACACTCGGCCACGATGATGGTGAGAAACTGACGCTTCTTGATTGCCCTTTTGAGGAAGTTCTCGACGCTGCGCGAGTGGCTCAGTGTCAAAATGATCTCCGACGAGTGAATGTGCTCCTCGGCCTGGACGCAGATGTTCTCCGAGCTGGTCTCCAGCTCCGTTTCCACTTCCTGCAGGTGATCGAGCAGCGCCTCCCGCAATCCCTGCTGCGGCACTGAGTAATCTACGCTGACGTTGCTCTCGCTGGTCTGAGTAACTAGTTTGTGGAGCGACAGCGAGGCCTGTGAGTCGTCCGCGAAGTGCTGCACCTTGGCGTGCAGCAGATCGAACTCCTCGCGAGTCAGCTTGAGGATCCTCCGGGCGATGTTCGAGGTAACCGTCTCCTGGGGCAGAGCTGCCTGCAGGATTTTACACTGGTCGCGAACAATCTGCATGAGAGCACTACCGATTGGGGGGAAGGAATGTTTATCAGTTAAAGTGTTGTGTCCTCGCGGGCGATCCGTTGCAACTCACTCGGCGTTCTGCCAGCTCTTGCTCATGATGATGTACTTGAAGATGTCCAGCGTCTTGTTGGTTATGTTGTAGGATCCCTCAACCAACCTGCAGGAAATGTTCCACTGTAACAACCAACTGAATAGCAGTGCCTGTCAACCGGTGACTTACCCCACTTTGATGGCGTGGATCAGCTGGGTAATCTCTTTGAGTGGCTGCTCCTTCATCGTGTCCTGGCTTCTCCGGGTTTTGCAAATATCACGAATGTGGCCAACTGTTACTGTTATTAAATTAGAAAACTATTTACGAAATCGCCACACCGAACTGTGTTATCGATAAACGGGCGAGCAAAAGCACATGCTAGTGATGAACTCGAATAGCCTATCGATTTAAAATTAACAACTAAATGTTTATGTTTTTATTGATACCAACGTAAAATTAACACAACCATTTTCCGGTTGCCGGAAATCGGTAAAACAGGTTGTCTACCATTCACTGGCTTGATTTGTTTTCTAACGCTTATGTCAATTGTCAACATCTACTACTTTTTGTGACGTATGTACATATGTTCAGCGGCAGCTGAATAAATAGCCAACTTAGTGCGATATAAATAAGTTCCGCTGAGCTAAAGCAAAAACATTTATCATACAAATGCATAGAACAAACATGCATGTTCATACACCTTGAACAAGTTCGTTCTCCATTGTTGGAACGCCTTAAACTTTTAATAGTAATAAAGAATTATAATACAAATTATTTTTTAAGCTACAGCACTTCCCGCTTAATGCACTTTTAGCTTTTTTTTTTTTTTGCATGCAACTCTAGCTTTTTTCGCGACTCCCGCCACAATGGCATCACTGTGGCTATCGAAATGTCGGCTTCTGCCGCAAAAGCAGCAACAAAAGTTGCGGGCCATGGGCGTGCATGGTATAGAAAGGGGATTTTCCCCCAAGCGCATATTTAAGGTGTAGGTATTTTAGTGAAACACTCCATGCGCCTTTGAACTTCGATTGCATTCAATTGAGAAGGTAAAGCAGGTTTGCCTTCATGGCCCCCGTGCCAAAACCCTGGCCACGCCCATGGCCACAGCAACAACAACCACATTGGCGGCGATAAAAAAATCGCCGCTGGCAGAAGCTTCGGGCTCTGATTGTTGTTTACGTGTCGCCCGGTCCGGTGGAGTCGTCTTCACTTGTGCTCTTCTGCTTTTCTGGCCAATTTGAACGGAACGAACTGCCGAACGGAACGGTCCGCCGCCAACTGATCTTGGCCAGAAACGTAGTCTTGAGCTTACAAGACCCCCCAAACGCACTTTGTGTACCGAACCCCGGCGTTTGTTTGCCTTCGGTTTCTATTTGGCTTTGGAGTTGAGAAAACAAAAGAGAGCTAAAGGCATAGCAGCAACATGAACAGCATACACAGTGAGTATTTGGCCTTTAGTATGGCGGCGTTGCTCCAGCGTTACTGATATGGCGCTCCTGCCCGCCCCCGTCACATATTCTTATTCCCGTCGTCCAGTGAACGCCAATACGCTGAAGTACGTCAGCCTGCTGACGCTGACCCTACAGAATGCCATCCTGGGACTCAGCATGCGCTATGCCCGCACCCGACCAGGCGACATCTTCCTCAGCTCCACGGGTGAGTGCTTATCCAACAGGCCAGCAAGCCAACAGGTCGTCGGGCTCATTAGGTCAAGCCGGTTCGCCAGCTTAGCAGGGCCACCTTGTCGTCCAAGAGGTACTTCCACGAAACCTCAACGTGGGTTTGTCCACGCAAGCAGCAACATCAGCAGTGAAAGCAAACGAGAGGTGGAGGTGGTGGTGGTTGTGGTGATGGTGGTGGTGGCGGAAGCAGCGGAAGGCGGGGAATAGCCATTCGGGTAGATGTGAAGCTGCCAAAGAAGCTGATAAGCAACCACTTCCACGTATGGCTCCTAATAGTTTGATAAAAGTGTTATGGGTTGGACTTCTAGTGCGATTGCTCAAGTGGGTTTGGTTGAAATTTTGGATTATGTTTGGGTTCTTGCTCTGCCATTAAAATGGATTCTGGATGTGGGATTTATTATTTTGTAATAAATGTTTTAGATCTTAGGACTTCTATGGTGACTCTGTTATAAGTTTGACCAACTTATTTGAAAACCCGAACAACGATACTTGATACTTGTATTAGATATACATATGTATTTGATTGATTGTCTTTATCGCCTTCGTTTGCAGCCGTACTCATGGCAGAGTTTGCCAAACTGATCACGTGCCTGTTTCTGGTCTTCAACGAGGAGGGCAAGGATGCCCAGAAGTTTGTCCGCTCGCTGCACAAGACCATCATTGCGAATCCCATGGACACGCTGAAGGTGTGCGTCCCCTCGCTGGTCTATATCGTTCAGAACAACCTGCTGTACGTCTCGGCCTCCCATTTGGATGCGGCCACCTACCAGGTGACGTACCAGCTGAAGATTCTCACCACAGCCATGTTCGCGGTTGTCATCCTGCGTCGCAAGCTGCTAAACACCCAGTGGGGAGCACTGCTGCTCCTCGTGATGGGTATCGTCCTGGTGCAGTTGGCCCAAACGGAGGGTCCGGCGAGTGGTTCAGCCGGTGGAGCTGCAGCAGCAGCCACGACTGATTTGTCTGGAGGAGCACCTGAGCAGAACAAGATGCTTGGACTGTGGGCCGCATTGGGAGCCTGCTTCCTATCCGGATTTGCGGGCATATACTTCGAGAAGATCCTCAAGGGCGCCGAGATCTCCGTGTGGATGAGGAATGTGCAGTTGAGCCTGCTCAGCATTCCCTTCGGCCTGCTCACCTGCTTCATCAACGACGGCAGTAGGATCTTCGATCAGGGATTCTTCAAGGGCTACGATCTGTTTGTGTGCTATCTGGTCCTGCTGCAGGCCGGCGGTGGATTGATTGTGGCCGTGGTGGTCAAGTATGCGGATAACATTCTCAAGGGCTTCGCCACCTCGCTGGCCATCATCATCTCGTGCGTGGCCTCCATATACATCTTCGATTTCAATCTCACGCTGCAGTTTAGCTTTGGCGCTGGCCTGGTCATCGCCTCGATCTTTCTCTACGGCTACGATCCTGCCAGGTCGGCGCCGAAGCCAACTATGCAGGGTCCTGGTGGCGATGAGGAGAAGCTGCTGCCACGCGTCTAGCTCTGGAGGAATCCGGATTTGCCAACAGTATTTGTCCGTAACCCGGAGGCCGTTCGGTAACTGCATCTGGTGCACTTGATATTCCCCACGTTTTGTGTGTATATATGTTAGGGTGGATATTAACGTCTGGACAATTCGTAGCACTTTCTGTTGAGACGATATTTGTAATGTAAAGGAAACGATAATAATACTTAATTATTTATGTAATTTAAATATATTTAGGGTATTCACTAGCAAAACTAAAGTATAGATGTTGAAATGATAAAGCTTGAATGCACGTTTCATTGATCATTTTGATTGTTACTTTGTAAATGCTAAGGAATGCCAACAGTATTTACTGGACCGAATTCCCGTACCTATTGTATACCTTTTGTAAATATCCACTTGCACTCCAGATTAGACTAAGAATTTATAACGATTTATAGGGTTTCAAGTTACAGTTGATGTTTGGGCGATTCACAGCCAAAACCACTTTTGTTCGAATTACTCAAGAAGTTCATATACATATTTTTACTTGAATGTGCGTTCATTCATTGCCAACTACTTCTTCTTTGGAGAAATTTTAAGAGAAGCAACCCCACTTTTATATTTATATTTGTAGTAAAGTCGCATTACTCGCACAGCGTTTTATGAGTGATTCCAAATCGAGTCAGCGCCGCTCTCAATATGTTTCATTTTGTTTGAATAAATATTATACAAATAAAAGGGGTTTTTATTTGAAAGTCGGTTATTGTCAAGCCAGAACAATAGAAATAAAACAAAGGTGTTATTTGTTTGTTGCTTTATTGGAAAAAAAAAGGCCTATGTGCTTAAGTATTTCCTCTTAAAGAATTTAAGTTCATCGCACTAAAATGCCAGTAACTTTTAAGTGCGACGGTCCCAAATGGTTTTTAATGATGTTAAGACCACGAGCCTTGGCTCACCTCTTTTTTTGATTACTTTCCATCTAAAAAAGAGGAAACCTTCGCTTTTAACCCTTACAAAAAAAAATACAAATTCTAATAAAAATCATAGTTTGTTGCAAATTCCGCAGATATCATTTACAAAGTATGTGCCTTTGCAAGTGTGGGATTACAGAACATCTTAAAAACTTAAGCGCAAAGCCATCCGCCAGTAGGCTTAATATAAGCTTTAGTGGTTACGAACGGATGTGCAATGGCTCCAAATGAGAGTATTGATTAAAGATACAGTGTGGTACATGATCTTAGGTGCTAAGGAGGTGGGGACGCTACTCTAACCAGGCGAGTCTCACGTCATCGGATCGACTCTGCAGGGACATCACGAGTTCGAAGACGCGCAGCGCCGGTCCCAGCTTCAGACCGAAGCCGTTCATCACATCCTGGCGGGTGAGCAGCAGCAGGGAGGCGCCGTCAATGTCCTGGTAGCGGAACACGTTCGCCTCCTTTGGATAGTGCTTGGCAACAAAGTGGACGACCTGTTCCACGGACCAGGTGGATACAGGCTGGCCCTGTATCTCCGCTGAGCTATCAACATCTGCGGTTGGCGTTAAACGTGAGGGCGGAATCTCCTGTTTCGGCTCAAGCTGATTCTCATCTTGATCTTGATCTTGATCTTCAATCTGCATAGGCTCTATCTCCACCAGTTCGACCTTCTCCACCTTGACTTGTATTTCCTCCGGCTCCTCCTCCTTTTTGTACTCTTTCTTCTCTTCCTTTTTCACACTCTTCTCGTCCGATTTCATGGGCGGACTACGTTTCGCTATCTTCTCAATCTTCGCTGGCTTCTCCTGCCCAGTGGGCTCGGACTGGACACGCTTTTTGCGACCCGCATTCGACTTCCTAGACGCCACTGGCTGGTCCTCGCGGCCCGCAGTGGATTTTCTGCCCGCCACTTGCTCCTCGCTGGGTGGACTCGTGTTGTTGCCGTTATTACTTGCCTCGCAGCGGAAGCACTTCCACTTTGGATTGGTATCGACGGTTTTGCTCTGCTTGAGGGTGGGATCATTGCAGTCCGGGTGATAGGCCTCCACGCAAGAGCTGCAAATGGTCAGATCTCGCCCCCTCACGTTGCACACCTGGCAGTAGCGACACTTGTCGCACTTGAACTTCTTGCGCGCCGTGCTCTGATTGTGAAACGTGATCGGCAAACATGGAAAGTGCCCTGAAAAGATCGGACAAAATGTGGGTATTATTGAAGGATTCCACTATGCGATTTGCCAGAGGTATCTATCTATTGTTATATCGTGTCTATCGTGGCCCTCTTGTATCTAGTATTATCTCTTTATCAGTCTGTGCAAACTGATGGCAATCTTACATCACTGAAAGAAAGAAAAATGATGGGGATGCAACTACACGATGAATTAGTACCTGCCAAGTGGCATATCACGTAAATAAGCATGAAAGATAACAAGCTCTCTTTTTAAGTACCACATACATATATGCACAGGCAGCAAATTTGCAGTGTAAAACTTTCTTTTTCTGAGTTAAACGCGACACCCATGAGAATCGGAAAGATTACAAGGATGTTTAAAACCAGTTCTGTTTTCTGTGCATGTTTGCATTTTTGATAAAGTGCAAATTTTGAAAAGATAGCATTGACCAACAATAAAACCATACGTTTTGCAATGGTCTTGCCAAGATTTCCGCAACCAATGCGAATGTGATAATGTGGCGAAGTAAGAAAAGAGGTGGGGATAATGGGGGATATTTACATTTTTGCATGCAGCCCTTGCAAGTGAGGAAGTTGCTCTTATGGCCAGATCCCCGTTTGGGCTCGCTTTTGGCACACTTCTGGCACGTGTCGAAGTTGCGATGCTGCGCCGCTTGCTGCTGCTGTTGCTCAGAAACGGCCGGACTGGGTGTGGAGTCCTGCGAATCGCTGGCCTCTTTGGCTGGTGGTGACTGGATATTGGAGGTGGCCGGAGCTGAAGACACGGCAGTTCCGCCAAGGGAATTGCGGTTGCTGCTGGCCCGGGACACATAGTTGTCCGATGGATCGTATACCTGTTTGGGTTTCTGCAGCAGAGGGATTCATGATCAGGACTAGAGAATTGTAGGGCGCAGGAATGCGGGCAACAGTCACCTTGACGCGTCCAGTGGTGCGAACGGAAGCTCCGGCACCCGAAGTATCCGAAACCGCTGCGGATAAAGTGGCCGCCGGTGCAGTGGTGGCCACTGGAGATTTGGCGTCGTGGCCGTTGCTGCTTGTGCTGGTATTGTGGGTCGTTGGTTGGACCGGCGACTCCTCCTTGTCCTCGTCCTTGGATCGCTTCATGGTCGCCGGTGGGTCCTTGAAAAGCGTTGCAAACAATACAAAATTCTTGGTACTTTGAATGGCGCGATGAATACAAGAATTAGCTGTTTGGTCGATACCATCGATAGTGCGATAGGAGCGGTGAGTGAACGCGCTAAGTGTGAAGGATGCGCCCTCTCCATGGATAAATGTGTTTATATCCGCTTATTCTCAAACTGTTGTATTTAAACTGAAGCATCTAAAATATCATGCTTAATATGATTGACAGTAACTGACTTATATATCATCAGAACTATCTTGCTTTAGTTCTCTTCGATCGGTTGGGTCAGGGGATCAGCTGGTCGCAAAGAACCCGCCAAACCAAAAATAAAAGTTTATCGAAACAAAATTTACCAATATTTAAAGCCTTGCGTAACGCATAAGTTTAAGCTTTAGAACAATCAAATTTATGATGTGCTGGCTTTTTAGAAATCACACCTGAATTGACCAACAACTCCCAAAAAGTAAATGTATTATTTATAAAACTGCATTGAAGATTACAAAAACAAGATATATCGATTTTGATTAATCGACTAATCGCCTGAGGCTATCGGAGCCTTCATACATCGATATCAGAAGGCGGTATTTATGTTACCTATCGGAGCCTATCGACAAATTTCGTGTGTTTTTATTTCAGTTAAATCATCATTATTTGGGGCTGGCCAAGAGTGTGGCCCAGATATTAGGGAGTTCTTCGGTTATAAATCAGTATTCGTAGGGACTGTCGACTTAGTCGTGACCTGTCAACGAAATAGTCCTTTGTGTTCGGATTCGGTGCAGTTACGTAGTCGCAGCCGGTCCGGGATTGGGAAATAATGTTGAAGGGCCTGCGGCATGTGCGGAATGCGCTGCATCGCGGTGGCTCCCAGTTGGGCCAGATCCGCAGTGCCACAAGCCAGCCCCCAAGGATTGGGCGGGAGCTGTCGCTCCTTCAACTTAGCCGGCGGCAGGTATGATGAGAGGGCTACCCCAATCCTCCAGAAACTTACGTAGGCTGTTTCTCCCTTGTAGGTGATGCAGCTGCAGGCGGAGTACAAGGCGATTGTGGGCCTAATAGCTCGCTCCCTGCAGCTGACCCCCAAGGAGGTGCGATTGATGCACCTGCGCAGCCTGAGCAGCGACGCAAAACCTCCTACTGCCACGAACGGCAAGACGGAAAAGCCTGGACAGGCGGAAAAGAAGAGTGCCAAGGCTAAAGATGATTCGTCCAAGGAGAAAAAGCCAGTTGCCGCGGCGGAAAGTGGCGATAAGAGCAGCAGGGCGCCAGGGGAGGAGACCGCCAGTGCCGCCACTAATCCTAGTCCTAGCAGTTCCGTGGGTGAGCCCGGCGACGATCCCAGCAAGAACAGCAACGAAAATGATGAAAAGATGCGTTCTGTACTGACTAAGGCCGTACTGTGGCTTTTTACCATCTACATGTTTGTGGCCTTCTTTTCCCTGCTAATTACACCGCGTTCCGAGAGACCAGAGGTAAGCCAAAAGTTTGCAGAAGCTAGTCAGTTAATTAATCTTTCCCATTGCCCAGGGTTCCACGCGCTATGTGTCGTGGAACGAGTTCGTGCACCACATGCTGGCCGTGGGCGAGGTCAAGGAGCTGATCATAAGACCCGACATGGAGATGGTGACCATCATTCTGCACGAAGGAGCCGTCATCAAGGGTCGGAAGGTGTCTTCCTCCATCTTTCACATGGCAGTGGCCGATGCCAACAAGTTCGAGGAGAAGCTGCGTGATGTGGAAAAGCGTTTGGGCATCAAGGATGGTGTGCCGGTGACCTACGACCGGCAGACGGACACCACCGGTCGCATTCTCATGCTGCTGCTCGTCTGCGCCCTGCTTATGTCCATTGCCACACGTATGAAGAGTATGAAGAGTCCGCTGAGCATGGATTCATTTGTGAGTAGTGGTGTTTAGACTGAAAATCCGCGCATCTCAAGCAGCTCATTTGTTTCAGAACCAAATGGGCCGAGCCAAGTTTACGCTGGTTGATCCCTTTGATGGCGGTCGCGGTGTGCTTTTCCGGGACGTGGCCGGTCTCAGCGAGGCGAAACAGGAGGTGAGGGAATTTGTGGATTACCTCAAGTCGCCGGAGAAGTACCAGCGGCTGGGCGCCAAGGTGCCGCGAGGAGCCCTGCTCCTGGGCCCACCGGGATGCGGCAAGACGCTGCTGGCCAAGGCGGTCGCCACCGAGGCCCAGGTTCCGTTCCTCAGCATGAACGGCTCCGAGTTCATCGAGATGATTGGCGGCCTGGGAGCCGCACGAGTGCGTGACCTGTTTAAGGAAGGCAAGAAGCGGGCGCCATGCATCATTTACATCGATGAGATAGACGCCATCGGTCGCCAACGTTCGGGAACTGAAAGCATGGGACAGGGCAGCTCTGGTGAATCGGAGCAGACGCTCAACCAGCTGCTGGTCGAGATGGACGGCATGGCCACCAAGGAGGGCGTGCTGATGTTGGCCAGTACGAATCGAGCTGACATCCTAGACAAGGTACAGCTCAATCAAATCGTTTGATATTACCATACCAACGATCCTTTTCCCATTTTTAAGGCCCTGCTGCGACCCGGTCGCTTTGATCGCCACATTCTCATCGATTTGCCCACGCTGGCGGAGCGCAAGGAGATCTTTGAGAAGCACCTGTCTTCGGTCAAACTGGAGTCGCCGCCCACGAACTTCTCGCAACGCTTGGCACGCCTAACACCGGGTTTTTCGGGTGCAGACATCGCGAACGTGTGCAATGAGGCCGCCCTGCATGCGGCGCGCAACACACAGAAGGAGGTCAGCAGCAAGAACCTTGAGTACGCCGTAGAGCGCCTAGTTGGTAAGCTGCTCTCAAGATTCGCACAACAAGATGATTTAAGTATTTAACTGCTAACTTTGTCAAGGCGGCACTGAGAAGCGTTCGCATGCCCTGTCGCTGGCGGAGCGCAAGGTGATTGCCTACCATGAATCGGGACACGCCCTGGTTGGCTGGATGTTGCCCAACTCGGACATTCTGCTGAAGGTGACCATTGTGCCGCGCACCAGTCTGGCGCTGGGCTTTGCCCAGTATACGCCAAGCGAACAGCATTTGTACAGCAAGGAGGAGCTGTTCGACAAGATGTGCATGGCGCTCGGCGGCCGAGCCGCCGAGAATCTAGTCTTCAACCGCATAACGACGGGCGCCCAGAACGACCTGGAGAAGGTGACGAAGATTGCGTACTCGCAGATCAAGAAGTTCGGCATGAACGACACCCTGGGTCCCATCTACGTACGCGACGCGGATGAGACGGAGGGCGGCGGTGCGATGGGCAGCGGTGGCAAGAAGCCCTTCTCGCGGGCCATGGAGAGCATGATCGACAACGAGGCGCGACATGTGGTGGCTAGCGCCTACCAAACCACCGAGGGCATACTCACTACGCATCGCGATAAGCTCGAGAAGGTTTGTGGGCACTCCTTTATCTGTTTTTCTGATCAACTTGTTTGCCCCAAGAATTGGCCTTTGAGATCAATAGATTTGTTTTTGAAATGCATTGACCTTGAAAATTGATTCATTTGATACACGTGATTGGAGAACGTTCAACTATAAAGATAATTTACTTAACATTTCTCGCAGCGTTAATTATAGATGATTGTGAATATGATTGATAAATCAGTACTTAATGAAACGGGTTGTTCCAGAAATTGTCATTCAAATTTATTATACTTGCGTTGATAAATGTGCAATTGAACTCACCAATCGCTTGTATATTTCAGCTGGCTGAAGCGCTGCTGGAGAAGGAAACCCTGGACTACGACCAGGTGGTGCAGCTGATTGGACCCCCGCCTTACGATCTGGGCAAGCGGCAAGTGGAGAGCGTGGAGTTTGAGCAGTCACTGAAGAACCTGGGCACCGACACGGACCCCACAAAAGCCTGAGATCCCAAAGCGTCGTAGCCATACTCTTCATTCGCCACGTACTCCGCCTAGTCGCTCACCTTTTCGCCCGCCCCTGGCTCATGGGCGTTGAATGTAAATAAAGTTGTTCACCTTTTTACATGACTCCGATCCGTGTTCATTATGTAATAACCCGCTAATAAGCCGCGTTTTTGCGGGCAAGGCGAATCTTATCAACCTAACGGACAGTACACTGCAACGCCAGTAATGAATGCCCTCGCCAGCGAGCGGCACACAAATTGTTATGTATTTTTTGTTGATCCGAAGCAATATATAAAAGGTTTTTAGAAGAACTAGTATTTTATTTCAATGTACATATGCACATCCTAAGGATTGCATTAATTTCGAGTTTGCTGGCGAGCTAGTCACAAACTGTTGACCAGCTGTTGACTCGTCCACGCCGACCTAGAACCTGACACGCTCTGTCACTTGCTCAGTGGCCGGTTCGATGGTCACCACATGGCAGGCGACGTCCGTCAGTCTGAGAGGAGCGCAACATTGAACTCTACTTCACTTGACTTGCTCTAAAGTTGGCACCGAGCGGCCTCTTTGGGGGATCAGAGCTACTGTATGCGTGTGGCAGCATTCTCCACAGGAGAATCGATGGGAGATGGAGAAGAGAAACCAGTTCTCCATTGCAACCCAGTTGAGAATCTCATTCGGCTTTCGCTCACATCCCACCGAATTCGGTTATTCGGTTATGCCGAATTCGATCAGGTAAGTAGGTAACTTAGCAGATTTAGGTATAGGTGATGATTTATGTAGGAAGGAAACTGCCTTCCACTCGACTCGCATGAGTTCAAACGTACATTTAATGGAAGTAGTATGATCGCTGCGATCAAAAGTGATATTTTTCCAGTTTTCCCAGTACACATTAAAGTAAAGTTTCATGCCGGTACGCCGCACTTGGGCGCAATTAATTCAATCTGGTCGTAAAATTGCACTTGAACTGGCTCCCACCAGAGGATAAATAGGCCCGGCTTTTGGCTGGATTCCGTCAGTGCTCGCTCGGCTAAATCGGCGTACAGTGATTACGGACTACGGACAGCGAAACACGGAGAAATGCAGCTAACCGGTGCCTCTATGTGCCTTGTGTGGATGGGTCTACTCTGCTGGGTGTCCCAGGGAGTCGATGCCTCCGAAGGATTTCGTGAGTTTCCAATCGTGCAGCCAACATGTGCCACAGTTTTCGCATAGGTTTCCTAACTAGTTTAAGCTGGTGAAAAGTAACCTATGTACATATATAACCATCTTGAAGCGACTCCTTATGTTTCTAAACCGCTTACTCCACACTTTCGAATGGCAGCATCGCCGCTGAAGCGCTGCAAGCTCGAGGATGAGACCTGCTTGGTGGCGCAGGCGCAGACCTTTTTCAAGGCCTTCAAAAACGGCATTCCGGAGCGGCACGTGGGCTCGCTGGAGCCCATTGAATTGGACAGGATCCGCATCGAGAGCGGCGGACACTCGGATTCGCTGCAGTTCAAGCTGCTCATAAGCGATGCCAAGCTCCACAATCTGTCCACAACGGCGATAGTCAAGGGCCTGAAGGGATTCACCAAGGACCTAACCAAGCCACTCAAGCTGACCCTGCTCATGGAAAACCCGGAAGTGGAGGTGCATGCCAAGTACGATGTGGACGGCAAGCTGCTCATCCTGCCCATCGTCAGCAAGGGCGACCTGACCATTCGGCTGAAGGACGTGCAGGTAAAGACGCGGATCACCGCGGAGCCAGTGAAGCGCTCCGATGGCCACACCTACCTCAACGTCACCGACTGCAAGGCGCTTTCCAAGATCAAGCGGTGAGCATGGCCGGCCGCCTGCAAGTCCTGAAAGCAAATGAAACTCACAACTCCCCATTTCAGTGGCCAGTTTGACCTATCGAACCTGTTCAGCGACAACAAGGAGCTGAGGGATAGCACCCTGAAGGTGCTGAATCAGGAGTGGGACACCCTCGCCCTCGATGTCCAGCCGAGGGTCAACGATGCCTGCTGCAAGGCCTTCAAGAGCATCCTGCAGGGTCTGTGGGCCAACATACCCTACGACGAGTTCTTCGAAGCGGAATAAGCGTGAAACATGCACATTGCAACCTTGCCTCTCCAGTTATACTACGTAGTTATCCGCAGCTAAATTCTCTTCCCGATGGAAACCACACTGAGCCAGGTGTGGGCGTTGGTTTTTACATTTAATGTACAATAAATTAAACAGATTCTATTTGCAACACTTAATATTCTGATAAAACGTAGAGCAGTCATCACCAAGACGCTTTGTTCGGCTTGAGATCTACATCCTTTGTTTACAGGGGTTCTGGGGATTCTCCAAGGGCGTCTCCCGCGTCAGTCGTCGTGCCATCCCATCTACGTGGATGCGTTCGTGGTGAAGCGGAGAACTTGAATGGGAACGGAACAGCGGATTAGGAATGGGCAAACAGGACTGGCGGGTGCCAGACGATCGGACGAGGCAACTACTCACTCGTTTCCAGGACCCGGCTGCTCCTTGGTGCATGCTGCTCGGAGCGTCCTAGGGATCGACACGGTGCACTCGCTGGTGTACGTTGGCCAGCAGCAACTGCGGGTGCGGCCACTAGTCATCTCCGTGCTGTGTCTGATCCCCCTCCGCGTGCTCCACGACCTTGCCGGCAGAGGGGCTCTGCGTAGAACAGAAATGGTTTGCTTGGTGCCGTGCCATTGAATCGCATGGTGGACATACCTTCAGCTTTCGGCGCTTGGGATCCTTTTCGATTTCCGGCGGACTCTCCGATTCGTCCGTGGTCTTGATGAAGGACGAGTAGAACGACGAGAAACTGGAGCCATCCATGTCGTCGCTGTTGCCATTGCTGTCCGTGTATTTCTGTGGATGATCACATGCTGTTCACACCGACCATGACCAGTGCACCTGTTTCGTATACCCTACCTTGTTGTCCGCGAGATTGCTGCTGCTGCAGGGCAGGTCGGAGTTGTACTCGCCCATCACGTAGTCCGAGGCTTCAGTCTTGCAGTGATCGGCTACCGCTGGAGCACTGGGGCTCGGCTCCGCATTGAGGAACTGCGAGGAGAACCGCTGCATGTGGGAGGGAGTGCTGACCGAGTGGAATGCGCCCGGCATCTTCCTCGTCATGGACGCCGGCGTGGTCTGTGTGCGATTGTGGGGATTCGCTTGGGTTAGGACACTTCGGTACGGCCCTGGCCACTGACTTACCGTGTACATCGTCTTGTTGAACGCCGTTGGCGTGCTCAGTTGACGCTCTGGAATCTGGAGCGCGTTGGTCATACCGGTGAAGGGCATCGGCTGGTACATCATGGCCGTGGCAGCGGCCGCCGCCGGGTGCGTGTAGAAGAGCGAGGGATGCGGATACATTACGCCGGCCATGTACTGCAGCGGCATGGCCTGGGCGGCCGCGGCCGCCGCAGCCGCCTGCTGCGAGGTGGTGGGCATTTCGGGGCCACCCTTGTGCGGATGCCTGTGCATGCGGGGGGAGCGCGTGGGACTGCTGGGCGTCAAGGAGGCGGGAATGTAGTAGAAGGTCGGAAACAGGCTGGCGGAGGAGAAGCTGCTCTGGGTCATGGCCGTTTGCGTGGAGTGAGCGGGCGGTGTGATGCCCACCGAGAACGGTGGCCAGAGGTTTATGTTCTGCGTGCAGCTGGGATAGGAGGAGGGTCCTGGCCTGGATCTGCCAACCGCGGAGATCACGCCCGCCGCCGCTGCCCCTCCTGGTCCTCCTCCTAGGATCATGGCGGCTCTGCCTTCCTGTGCGCCCGCTAGGCCTGTTCCGATTCCACCTCCGACCGCCATACCGGCACCTCCCGGCCCCAATCCGACCATGCCCGCCACTCCTCCACCAGCGCAAGCCGCTCCCTTGATCGCATCCATGCCCAGGGTCAGCTGCTGCTTCGGCTTGTTGCCCTCCCCCTCCCAGGAGTGGGATCCGCCTCGCTTTATCCCGTGGCCCGGACCACTGTATTCCAACATTTTAAGTGTGTCCGTGGCGGACTTTTTGCTCTTCTCCCCCATCCGCCCGCGCGACTCGCGGTGCTTCTTCAGCATGAACTTCTCCATCTCATCGTTGTGCTTATTGAGCAGGGATTCGGTCAGCGTGAGGTGCTGTATGGTGACGCCTCCGCCTCCGCCTGCGCCTCCTCCTCCGCCTCTGTAGGAGCTGGCTGTGCCGGTTCTGGTGCCCGAATTGGTGCCCGAATTGGTACCATTGCGAGTGCCGGTTCCCGTGCCAGTGTCAGTGCCTGTGCCCGTTCCTGTTCCTGTCCCAGTTCCTGTCCCAGTGCCCGTTCCCGTGCCACCCGTGCCACCCGTGCCCGCAATGCTCGTATTCGTCACACTGCTCATGTGTATGTTACTGGCGGTGGTGAAGTTGCCCGAGGAGCCACTGCCGCCGCTGCCCCCGTGAACGGGACTCATCGGACCGCTAGCGCCACTGACACAGGTGCCACGAGTCTCCGGCGGCTCCGTTTTGGGCGGATCGAGCTCTGGCGGCGCCGTGACCGGCTTGCTGTTGAAAAAACGCAGCAGGTTCTCGTTATAGTTTAGCTGGTTGTAGCTGGGCGGCGTCTCGGTGGAACTCTTACTGTCATAGTAGTCGTGGTGCGGCGAAATCTCGCCGAGCATCACGCTGTCACGCTCCGAGACGGTCAGCTCGTTCTCGTGCGGCAGCTCTAGCTTGAGATCCGACCGCGACACCTCGTCCATGAGGGTCTCCATGAAGTTGGCCAGCGCCTGGCAGCGGCGTGAGACCTCCTGCTTGACCGTGTCCGACGGCCGGGACACCGTTTCCGACAGGCGCCGCAGGATATCCTCCTTAATCCGCGTGTTCCGGCTGTGTGCCTCCTCGGATATCTTGTGTTTACCCGTGAGCGCCGCCTCGAAAACGTTGAACGACTTGGGTCCTGGAAGGCCAAACGACCTGTTTAGATGTTCACTGGGGGAATGGAGTCGGCCGGCGAACTCACCCTGAAAGACACGATGGTGTCCGACCACGAATTCCAGTTTGCGGGACCATGGGTTGACGAAGCTGGTCCACTCGGTCTCCAGGAGGACGTAGCAGCCGTTTTGGATGAGAAAGCGGTACGGCTTGCTGCAGAAGGAGGCGCCCGCCGTCTGGCCCTTTTTCATCACCAGTTCGTAGGTTTCCCTCATGGCGCACAGGTCCTCCTGGTGGTAGAACTCCAAGATACTGCGCCCAATCAGGTCCTGCGGCAGATAGCCCAGTGCACTGACCGCCGCGCTGTCCACGTGCGATATGATACCAGTGGCCGTGTGGCGAATGGCGAACTTGGGGCTCTTCTGCGAGAGAATCTCGTTGGGAACTGGGGAGGGGAAAACGGGTCGATGGTTAGATAACAGTATGGACAGAAGTAAGCAGGCCCAGGCCCAGGAACTCACTCTTGTAGCTGCTCTTGATCGGAGTGGCGCAGATGACGAGCAGCATGTTGGTGCCATTGGAGACCATGTAGTTGACGGGCCGCGCCTCCTCCGGTGCCTCCTTGAAGGTGAGTCCCAGGCGGAAGGGTTCGTAGCTCACGGGTCGGCCGATGACGCCGAAGCCGCCGGACTTGAGTCCGCGGTAGCGACGCAGCATCACGCAGAAGGTGCTCTTGGTGTCCTTGGGCGCGCTGCCCCTGGACTCCGCGATGGGGATGCCCGTGGTGATCTGGCTGGCGAAGGTGGCGCGATCCTTGAGGTGCACAAAGTCGATGAAGGACCTGCCCAGCCACATGTCGCGCGGATAGCCCAAGACGTCGGTGATGCTGGGCGTGGTGTACAGCACGATGCCGTCGTGCATGGAGATGACGCAGCAGAAGCTTTCCTCCTTCAAGCGCTCCGCGCGCTGCGCTGTGCCCGCCGCTGTTGCACTCACCCCCGTCGCGGGCTCCAGTTTGCCCGCACCTGCCTCATGGGTCTTGTCCAATTTGGGCACGCCGCTATCCAGCCCGGCGGCGTGACCCACTGCGCCGCAGGCGTCCATCGAGGACGGCACTATGGTCACGGATAGAGGCGAGGGTATGGGAAAGGTCTGTGCCGCCTCCGACTTGGCCACGCCCTCGACTCGGTCCCGCTCCGACTCGGACCCGGTCCGGTCCTCCTCCTCCTCCTGCTGCAGCTGTTCCGTGGCCTGCGGCTCGCTGTGATCCTCGCCGCGCTGCTGATCCTGCAGCTCTCTGCAGCTCTGCTGCTCTGCGCTCCCACTGCCACTGGGCCGGGGCTTCTCCTCGGCTCCCTCCAGGCCCGTCGTCGCCGAGATCAGGGACTGCGCCTGCCCCGCCCCCTGGCCCGCGCCCTTGTTCTTCTTCTTCTTGCGCGACTTGTCCTTGTTGCGCTTGATGATCATGTCGCTGCTGCTGGCCTGCGTCGAGGGCTTGCCCCCATAGCCACTGCTGCCGGAGGAGTGGCTGCCGCTGAGCCGGGACTTGGAGCTGCCACTGGAAGCGGATGGGAAGGGGATCTCTTAGTCACTGCCACGCAGGATGGTGCACACAGCGCTCCAACGATTGCTGGAGTGGACTCACCTGCGCTGCGACTGGCTGTTGCTGCAGCTGTTCGAGTAGGCCGAATCGGACACCTTGGTGTTGTGTGTGGACTCCGTGGACTCGCCGCCCTCCATGGTGCTTAGGTTCTCCAGCCTGCCGGGTTCAAGTGTAGCGAGATTCTGGAAAATCGCAGATACACCATTAGCATCTTGACTTATCCTTAAGAGGAACTCGAATAGTTATAATCAATTGTGTGAGAGCTTTCCAGTACTCATTGCTCCTAACCATCTTGCCACTTTGTACTCACTATTGAAAGGTAACCAAACTGATTTCTGTTTTATAAAGAACTTGTGTCCTGAGTACTGAGTACCTGCTGCATCAACGTCCCACTACGTAGTGGATTCTATTTGCACTTTCATTCAGCGCAAAGCTGTTGCATCAACGTGAGCCGATTGCGTTGTGAGTAGTTTCACTTCGGCCGGGTTATGAAATGAATCCCGATTCCCCAGATTCCCCATATTCCCCATATTCCAATCCAAGCAAGCACTCTAAATTCCCAATGGCTGGCTAGTTCCCTTCTTCACGTTGTTCGCCAGTGGCATTGTCCACTCCACCCCACCCATCCTAACGAATGGAAGGCAGCCAGCAGTTGCACGTGTTCCGACTGCCTTTCGGTTTGTTCTTACTCCCAATTGGCCAGAGCTTGGTTATGAAATCGTCACCTTGACTTGCACCTGATTCCTGGCTACTCTGTGGCCGGATTTAGAATCACTTAGCACCACGAACACAAGCTCGGCGCACGGGGGGTTGCCTGCAACGAGGCTTCACTGTGGTAATTACTAGCGCAGCGGGAGCGAGATGGCACTGAGCTGCATTCACGTGCGGCGCGATGTGCCTAGGTTCTCCCGCCGCTCCGCCAGCGGATGTCGTTATGCACTCGCAGTGCAGCGCAGCTTCAGATACACAGATACGCAGATACGAGATACCTAGGAAGAGCCACAGATACGTTTCTGGTGGACAACGGGCAGCGCAGAATGTAACCTGTACCCCAGTGGGAGAAACATTCTTTCGCTGACTTGGTGGAAAATGCAATTGCACAAGAACCCGTCGAAGAATTTCACATTTTCCACTATGTCGTAATCGTTCATATAATCGTGATGGAGTTGGGTTTCAGCGATTGCATAAGACCCAGCTTCATCCTCGGCGATTCAGCAAATTCAGTCAGACCCAAAACTACTACAGACACACAGACATTAGGGTGGACCTGGTTCCCTAGTTCCCGATTCCGCGCTCTTTAGGGTGCTTTCAGAAACCAAGATAACCAAATGGATATCACCTTTGATAGCCTGTGCTCGGTGAGCATTTAAAGAGCAACGGAAGCCCAACGCCACCAAGGCTTGTGTAACTCGGTGGCTTACCACCGAGTAAGTGGGTCCACTTTGACGGAGATTCGCGAAATGCCAGCAGCGGAAAAGGCCAACGTTTCGAATGGAATCCGCCCGGATGCTGGGATTGCCGGGATTACTGGGATAGCTGGATACCATTGGTCGTGCGTCACTTGGCGGATGTTAGGTAATGCAGGCCGGGAAGCGCCGCTGACATGGATAACAGTCGCATAACCAGGTTTAGCTTGTGTAATGCCTCTGCAGCTCCCAACTCGGTTGACTTCTCAATGGACATCTCAACTGGCTCTTGGGTCCACTGGTACCACGCCGCGTATGCGCAATGTGCCCTGACCCAGTTTGGCTGCGCGACTCGACCGGCTGGATGCGTTCACTTCAGTGACGCAGTGTGGGGCAGTGCGCACTGCACTCCAGCTGAGCGGAGGGCAAGCGGGCGGCAGTGGCACGCCAGTTGAGTGCGTGCCACACTGCGTATGCGTATTACTGCAGTCAGAGGCTGCTTTTATTGGAAAACAGTGGAGGACAATCTCAGAGCGCCGTTCAGTAGGGTCAGGTACATGTGGATATGTATGTATGTGTTTTGGGCTTTTGTTTACGCTTTGCTTTGTGCAACGTGCGCTGCGCAGTCGGCACTTATTAATAAACAGCCTGTGTGTGTGTGCGCCGTTGGATGTTATGAACCGCGTTGTTTATGTAAGTAACGCTCGACGCGTTGTTTTGTATTGGCAATATGATAATGTAGCTCTCACTCTATCACTCTCTCACTCTCGCGCGCGGCTGTTGCCGTTGCCGTTGCCGTTTCGTTCTTGCGATTTTTCACTGCAGCTTTATTGCAACAACGTGACAATTGCACTTACTCTCTCGCTCGTCGAGCTCTTGCTCTCCGCTCTCCGGTGTGGATCGTGCTCTTCTGTTTCGGGCTATGAATCTCACTTCTGTCACTCCTTTACAACACTGACACTGGCACTGGCACCACCAATAAAGTTTGGATTGTGATCAACAAAAAATTTAAAAAAATGTGTCTGCGCGGCTCGACAGCTCGCTGTTTTGATATATCTCGGGATACGGCGCTACTTTCAACGGTGCAACGACCGCGTTGTCGACCTTATGGCTCAAAATTCGCACAAACACTAGTGCTCGCGCCGCAAGCTCAGTTCTATAAGCCCCGTGCACGGGCATTTCCAGCATTTTCTCACACTCACACTCACTCGCTGCTCTCTGCCAACGCTGAGAATCGGAAAATCGTAGTCGCATTCGCTCGGGAAATCGCTGCTCGGCCGAGGAACTCGGTGTTCCGGACCCAAACATTAACCCTTGGGCCGAGCTTTTGCGTGCAGTTCCAGCTAAGCACGCCAAATGGCAGTGTTTAACCCATGTTTTCGAGAGAATGCCGAGATGTGTTCTTGCCATTCAAACAATACACACATATTTAGCTTGCCAGTACTTAACTTTCAATTGCAAGAAGCCCCAATTATAGCAGTAGATGTATATTATTATTTTATTGAACACCGCGTTCTGTTTGTTTATATTTGCCGCGGTGTTTCCGGCACGTTCCAAACCAAGCCCCACGCACCAACTAAGGGTTAAGGAAAGCTGTGGTGGAATCCCTTGGCTTTTTGGGGCACCTGGCAGCTGTCAGCACGTTTTTCGAAGGGTGTTTTCCGGCTAGCCGGCTGGGCGACGTATTTGCGGGCCTAGTCACGCAGTTCGCCACGTGAGCGGTGGCTACGGATTACTCGCACTCGCATTTCGCAACGGCATTACTCACCCACTGGCTGGGGTCCAAGTGCCGCCAGCGGTGCAACAGAGTGGCTTTCGCACGGAGGCAGCTGAAAGTGGCGCCAAGCTTTAGGGGGCTCCCAGCCCAACCCAAACCGTTCGCCACCTGGAAGCTGGAAGCTTTGGCTGGTCAGGTGCACACCGGCGTGCGCCGTGGCACGTACGGAGTCGTGTGCCAGGGACAGCTGATTTTCCCTCGCTTTTCCGCTTCCGCTTCCGCTTAGCTGGCTGTTACACGCAATGGCCCACAGGTGGCGGCACACATGCCTGCAAGCAGGGGATTGGCTGAACTCCGAGCGGTATTGATACTATTACTAAGTATTTACATGTTATTGCTATTTACAATTACTGCGCGCTGAATTTGGCTTGGCAACATAGTGGCTTGCTGGTATTGATACTACTACTAAGTAGTTACATATTATTGTTGTTTGCAATTACTGCGCAAGATTTTGCCTTTTGCAACTGAGTAATGAAAGGGTCAAATAAAAATGCTTTTAGCTACCCCCTTAAGAGCATTAATATTATTGCGGACCCTCAATATCTGGCAGATTGAGCACTTTTTATTATCCTAATCGCATCGAAGTGTCGAAGGACGTCCTTATGCCTTATCAGCCGGCGCATCGGCCTGCGGTGGCTTGGAATAATTGAAATCTATTAATTGGCGGCTTTGGCGACGTCGAGTGGGTGTGAAAACCCATTCTACCCGGCCCACTCCACACGACGCTTCTTTGTGGCCACGTGTGGGTGCTTGCCGGGTTTGCTGGGCACTCGCTCTTATCTTTGGCGGCCACACACGTGCCACAAAGTCACAGACGCCTGCCCGAAAATGATAAAGCGCGTTCGAATTAGCCACCAAACTGCTGCTAATTTGATTTTGATGCTGCGACTGTTGACTTTCCTCACTGGGCCACTCGCTCACTCCGCCCTTTGAGGTGATGTGATGTGATTTCATTTGATTGCCGCTAATCGGATTCCGGGTGGTGGTTTTGGGTGAGTGTCGGTCGGACTGTGAGCGGGATTAGAGCCGGGTTCCCAAGGCCCACCCTTCGAGCGCCCAAGTGACGAGCACGAGGACCTGCCCATGAATATAACTGCGATCAGAGTACGGACCATGTCAGGTGGCACTACTGGCACCTCAGCTCCGCCCCAGCAGTACACTTACCGACCAAATTGTAACCATAATGGATGATCCATGTGCGTAATAGTATAGTGGCATACTTTCCAGCCTCCTGGCAAGCGAAAGTTTCCCCTCAAGCTGCGGATGCACAGTGCCACAGCTCGAGTACCACATCCCGGCCAGAACCCCAAACGAAGTTCCATGGTCTTGGAAAACCTACTGAATCGTCCATGTGCGGCGTTACCTGCTCCACCCGTATCCCCGAAAAGTGCACATTAGATGCCAGGAAGTCCAACCCCCAGTTCCCTTGACTTAACTCCGCCCTCCGGCGTCTGCGCACTGCGTGCCTCCAGCTCCGGAAGCCCCTCCCGGGTTCACCAGCGGATTCCGCGTTAATTAATAAGAAAAATCACAGTTCAAGGCGTGAAAAAGGCGAGCAGTCCAGTGCAAGACGACGGAGGCGTGGAAATTTCAACGCCTTTCGCGAAACTTTGACGGACCTTAATCCCAAGTTGGGTTTAACATCTTCGGAGTGAAAAAAACGAGGTAGCAGACATTCTACGGTGATTTGCACTTGGCAAAGAAATGGAGGAGTGTGATAAAATCTACAAAAATGCACAGCGAACACTGAAAACTATACATGTGAGCTATAAGTTCGGTGAAAAGCGAATCTAGTGGACACTAGCCTTTCCCGTCGCACTCGATTTGAAAGCCACACCAACCGAACACGTTAGTTCGCTTCCGATTTTTGTGATGCTCCAAGGGATCTGGTCGTAGAAAATTTTCAGTAGTGCACAAATTGGGTTTAGTTATTCGAATCGCGATGAGCTACACAAACCTCCTGCGCCAGCAGAATGTGGTGGACGACTGCCAGCGAGTGAGCTGCAATCGCAGTCCAACGGCCACGCTAACCGGCCGCTGCGTCATCAGCCTGGACATCGTGATCGGCTGCCGGATGGAGCAGTGCGACCCGGACATGCCCTACATGCTGGAGCCGACGTGGGGCGTCTATCTGCGCTCCGGCCGGGATGGCGGCGACCTGTCGCGCTTCGTGCGGCGCGTCACCTTCAAGATGTCGCCGCGTCTGCCGCTGCGACTCCACGTGGCGGACAGCGCTCCGTTCGAGATCGGTGAGGTGCTGGGCACCGACTTTCCGGTGGAGGTGCAGGTGCAGTACACGGATGCCCGCATGTCCGCCACCTCGTACATCTTCCGGCCGCGGGTGGTGCACGAGGGTCACGCCGGCATCTGCGAGGAGATGCTCGACAAGATGATATTCGTGAATCCCACGCCCTCGATGCGACACAGTCTGGCGCCCGTTCTCGTGCCAGGTGGTTCGCCCAGGGCCAGGGAGCTCAACCAGTCCGCGATGGAGCTTCCCGGCCCGGAGATTCCGGGTGAGCGCAAAGAACAGGACCGCGACCGGGAGCAGGTGGGCGATGTGGCGCGACCTCCGCAGCCGCCGGCCAAGCAGCTCAAGAACCGCCTAAGTGTGGGCATGCCCCAGCCGCCCATCGGCAATCGGTAGCACAACTATTGGACAATGTTGGAGGAACAACCGAGCAAGTTGCCTGCAATGGCATGCGAAAATGTGTGCAGTTGTTTGATTGGAATTTGATGTGTTTTGGTCTGCCCATATAAGTTATGAATTTCAAATTAAAGTATGTTTGAATCAGCTGCTAATGCGCATACCTTTTAGTTTATAAATATGCGTATTTACTTTCACACTTTAAGCTGACTCAATTATGTGTTGGCTTACATCTGAAATAGGCAACCAAAACTCGTACATATGTACAAGCCCAGGTGGAGTACGCCCATTTTGTGTGTATGCCTCGTCCGGGGGTGGATGCTGCTGGATGATTGGCCCCGCCCTCTGTCCAAAGGGGGTTGATGCCCAGGCACACACACTTGCAGTTGCCCAGTCGACTGCTCACTTTGCTGCGGCGCTTCAGACGCAACAGAACGCACGTATCCTCTGCTCCGGAGAATCGGAGAGATGGCCTGGCTACCGAGCAGCTCGAACGGAGCGGACAACGCGGACGAACGGAGCACGGCCTCGAGCGGATCCTCTGGCCATAGTCAGCCCAGTGAGTCACCGCGCTCCGGGCACCTGAATGGTAACGGAGGCATACGTGACTCCGCCGGCGGCAGGCATCCGCCCGCCCTGCTCCGACATGCCACGCCCCACTTGCAGCCCAAGACGGAGTCCGTCTCCGACGGAGACGGCGACGCGGAGCTCTCCGACTTCTCGTTGAACGACACGGAGGAGGACGAGGAGGACCTTCGCGACTACATCGTTCTGAATGGCAACCAGGCGGATGGTGAGAATTTAGCCTCTAGAGCTCTAGATATCCAGCATATTGCGAAAGTCTTTATTCATACAAATATGTATCTCTTACACCACACCAGTTTTACTCGCATGTACATCCCGTAGTTCATAGTAATATATATATTAATTATAACTTATTTTTCGACTAATACTCCATCTTAAAAACCTGGTGCCGCCCGCAGGAAATCGCTCACTGTCCAGTTCGCCGCGCAGTCACTCCCGCAACGGACTGCTGACGGCGCCGGCCAGCTCGGGAAGCTCAGTCGGCGGAAGCGGCGGTGGTGGAGGCACTGGCTCCGGCGGCAATGCATCCAGTGGCGGTGGAGCCACTGGCGGCGTGCGCAAGGTGTTTACCAACACAAGGGAGCGATGGCGGCAGCAAAACGTGTCCGGCGCCTTTGCGGAGCTTCGCAAGCTGGTGCCCACGCATCCGCCGGACAAGAAGCTGTCCAAGAACGAGATCCTGCGCTCGGCCATTAAGTATATCAAGCTGCTGACGGGCATCCTCGAGTGGCAGCAGCGACAGGCGCCCTCGCATTCGATCAGGGCTCAACTGGAGCCGAACAACAACGACAATAGAATGGCCAACGGTCATGCGGCGGACGTGGAGCTGGACAACCCAGATGTGCCGCCTGTGCGGCACATCAAGTGTGAACGCACCGACGGCCAGATGCAGCGGAATGGACACGGTCACGGACACGGACACGGAAACGGGAACACGGGCAACGACCTGCTTATGATTGCGCCGGGAGCCATTGTCAAAAGCGAGCTCCTTCTGGAGTCACCACTGCCACTTGGACATCCGCTGACCGGGCCACCCCTGCAGCTGGCCACTGCTCCGCTGTCCATGGCGGAGACTCGGATCAGCGGCACCGCATCCGGCGTAAAGTCGGCCAGCGGGCGGAGCAGCAAGCGACGCCTCAAGCCGGAAGGTGGGGCCACCGATCTCAGTCTGGGTAAACGCCGCAGGACGTAGAAAAAATAATCTGCGAGATGGAATATTCGAAAGAGTTGATACTGGCTTTGCCAAATCTTTTTTTTTTAATCTACCAATAAATTAGCAAGTTAATAAAGCAAATTTCAAATTCGGAATTACTAGTTATAGTTACTCTTGTTTTCCAAAAGTCATCCTATAGCTCAATATTCTCGTAATCAAATTTCAAATCGATTGAAATCAGCAATAATATAAATCGTTACTCTAGGATATGAGCGATATGTTCCGAACCATATGAACCAAAAATCGAAAAATGTTTTGTTTTATGAAAAAAAAAATCAGTATTTTGTCGATAGCAATAAAAGTAGTTGTCCAAAACTAGAATGTCATACCTCGTTGAATTCGTAACAAAATTCCCTATCGACCTGTATTCAAACAAAAAATTTAAAATTTTTTGCCAATTTTCGCAAATTTTGAAGATGGAAAATGGAAAAATGGAAATTTCTATTTCGTGTTTTTTGGTACGAAATAATCAGTATTTTGTCGATAGCATTAAAAATAATTGTCCAAAACTAGAATGCCATGCCTCGTTGAATTCGTAACAAAATTCCCTATCGACCTGTATTCAAACAAAAAATTATATTTTTTTTGCCTTTTTTCGCAAATTTTGATGATGGTACCCCTTATAGAAAACGCGAAAAATTCTAAAAAAAATTTTAGGTAAAAAATAAACAGTATTTTGTCGATAGCAATCAAAGTAGTTGTCCAAAACTAGAATGTCATACCTCGTTGAATTCGTAACAAAATTCCCTATCGACCTGTTTTAAAACAAAAAATTATATTTTTTTTGCCTTTTTTCGCAAATTTTGATGATGGTACCCCTTATAGAAAATGCGAAAACTTCTAAAAAAAATTTTAGGTAAAAAAAAAACAGTATTTTGTCGATAGCAATCAAAATAGTTGTCCAAAACTAGAATGTCATACCTTGTTGAATTCGTAACAAAATTCCCTATCATCCTGTGTTCAACCAAAAAATTAATTACCAGGAGAACAGGAACTCCAGAATGTGACCAATGATCTTTTGGTTTTCGGTAGCAACCTGCTACTGATTATGATCGCCTGGTAATTCAAACCGAAAAATCTCACAATTTTGCCATAAAAATGTAAATTTTGTAGCCAAAATTGTGAGATTTTTCGGTTTGAATTACCAGGCGAACAGGAACTCCAGAAGGTGACCAATGATCTTTTGGTTTTCGGTAGCAACCTGCTACTGAATATGATCGCCTGGTAATTCAAACCGAAAAATCTCACAATTTTGCCATAAAAATGTAAATTTTGTAGGCAAAATTGTGAGATTTTTCGGTTTGTATTACCAGGCGAACAGGAACTCCAGAAGGTGACCAATGATCTTTTGGTTTTCGGTAGCAACCTGCTACTGAATATGATCGCCTGGTAATTCAAGCCGAAAAATCTCACAATTTTGCCATAAAAATGTAAATTTTGTAGCCAAAATTGTTAGATTTTTCGGTTTGAATTACCAGGCGAACAGGAACTCCAGAAGGTGACCAATGATCTTTTGGTTTTCGGTAGCAACCTGCTACTGAATATGATCGCCTGGTAATTCAAACCGAAAAATCTCACAATTTTGCCATAAAAATGTAAATTTTGTAGGCAAAATTGTGAGATTTTTCGGTTTGTATTACCAGGCGAACAGGAACTCCAGAAGGTGACCAATGATCTTTTGGTTTTCGGTAGCAACCTGCTACTGAATATGATCGCCTGGTAATTCAAGCCGAAAAATCTCACAATTTTGCCATAAAAATGTAAATTTTGTAGCCAAAATTGTTAGATTTTTCGGTTTGAATTACCAGGCGAACAGGAACTCCAGAAGGTGACCAATGATCTTTTGGTTTTCGGTAGCAACCTGCTACTGATTATGATCGCCTGGTAATTCAAGCCGAAAAATCTACAATTTGCCATAAAAATTTACATTTTGTAGGCAAAATTGTGAGATTTTTCGATTTGAATTACCAGGCGAACAGGAACTCCAGAAGGTGACCAATGATCTTTTGGTTTTCGGTAGCAACCTGCTACTGATTATGATCGCCTGGTAATTCAAGCCGAAAAATCTACAATTTGCCATAAAAATTTACATTTTGTAGGCAAAATTGCGAGATTTTTCGATTTGAATTACCAGGCGAACCGGAACTCCAGAAGGTGACCAATGATCTTTTGGTTTTCGGTAGCAACCTGCTACTGATTATGATCGCCTGGTAATTCAAGCCGAAAAATCTACAATTTGCCATAAAAATTTACATTTTGTAGGCAAAATTGTGAGATTTTTCGATTTGAATTACCAGGCGAACAGGAACTCCAGAAGGTGACCAATGATCTTTTGGTTTTCGGTAGCAACCTGCTACTGATTATGATCGCCTGGTAATTCAAGCCGAAAAATCTACAATTTGCCATAAAAATTTACATTTTGTAGGCAAAATTGCGAGATTTTTCGATTTGAATTACCAGGCGAACCGGAACTCCAGAAGGTGACCAATGATCTTTTGGTTTTCGGTAGCAACCTGCTACTGATTATGATCGCCTGGTAATTCAAACCGAAAAATCTCACAATTTTGCCATAAAAATGTAAATTTTGTAGCCAAAATTGTGAGATTTTTCGGTTTGAATTACCAGGCGAACAGGAACTCCAGAAGGTGACCAATGATCTTTTGGTTTTCGGTAGCAACCTGCTACTGATTATGATCGCCTGGTAATTCAAACCGAAAAATCTCACAATTTTGCCATAAAAATGTAAATTTTGTAGGCAAAATTGTGAGATTTTTCGGTTTGTATTACCAGGCGAACAGGAACTCCAGAAGGTGACCAATGATCTTTTGGTTTTCGGAAGCAACCTGCTACTGATTATGATCGCCTGGTAATTCAAACCGAAAAATCTCACAATTTTGCCATAAAAATGTAAATTTTGTAGCCAAAATTGTGAGATTTTTCGGTTTGAATTACCAGGCGAACAGGAACTCCAGAAGGTGACCAATGATCTTTTGGTTTTCGGTAGCAACCTGCTACTGATTATGATCGCCTGGTAATTCAAGCCGAAAAATCTACAATTTGCCATAAAAATTTACATTTTGTAGGCAAAATTGCGAGATTTTTCGATTTGAATTACCAGGCGAACCGGAACTCCAGAAGGTGACCAATGATCTTTTGGTTTTCGGTAGCAACCTGCTACTGATTATGATCGCCTGGTAATTCAAACCGAAAAATCTCACAATTTTGCCATAAAAATGTAAATTCTGTAGCCAAAATTGTGAGATTTTTCGGTTTGAATTACCAGGCGAACAGGAACTCCAGAAGGTGACCAATGATCTTTTGGTTTTCGGTAGCAACCTGCTACTGATTATGATCGCCTGGTAATTCAAGCCGAAAAATCTACAATTTGCCATAAAAATTTACATTTTGTAGGCAAAATTGCGAGATTTTTCGATTTGAATTACCAGGCGAACCGGAACTCCAGAAGGTGACCAATGATCTTTTGGTTTTCGGTAGCAACCTGCTACTGATTATGATCGCCTGGTAATTCAAACCGAAAAATCTCACAATTTTGCCATAAAAATGTAAATTCTGTAGCCAAAATTGTGAGATTTTTCGGTTTGAATTACCAGGCGAACAGGAACTCCAGAAGGTGACCAATGATCTTTTGGTTTTCGGTAGCAACCTGCTACTGATTATGATCGCCTGGTAATTCAAACCGAAAAATCTCACAATTTTGCCATAAAAATGTAAATTTTGTAGGCAAAATTGTGAGATTTTTCGGTTTGAATTACCAGGCGAACAGGAACTCCAGAAGGTGAACAATGATCTTTTGGTTTTCGGTAGCAACCTGCTACTGATTATGATCGCCTGGTAATTCAAACCGAAAAATCTCACAATTTTGCCATAAAAATGTAAATTTTGTAGGCAAAATTGTGAGATTTTTCGGTTTGTATTACCAGGCGAACAGGAACTCCAGAAGGTGACCAATGATCTTTTGGTTTTCGGTAGCAACCTGCTACTGATTATGATCGCCTGGTAATTCAAACCGAAAAATCTCACAATTTTGCCATAAAAATGTAAATTTTGTAGGCAAAATTGTGAGATTTTTCGGTTTGTATTACCAGGCGAACAGGAACTCCAGAAGGTGACCAATGATCTTTTGGTTTTCGGTAGCAACCTGCTACTGATTATGATCGCCTGGTAATTCAAGCCGAAAAATCTCACAATTTTGCCATAAAAATGTAAATTTTGTAGCCAAAATTGTGAGATTTTTCGGTTTGAATTACCAGGCGAACAGGAACTCCAGAAGGTGACCAATGATCTTTTGGTTTTCGGTAGCAACCTGCTACTGATTATGATCGCCTGGTAATTCAAGCCGAAAAATCTACAATTTGCCATAAAAATTTACATTTTGTAGGCAAAATTGCGAGATTTTTCGATTTGAATTACCAGGCGAACCGGAACTCCAGAAGGTGACCAATGATCTTTTGGTTTTCGGTAGCAACCTGCTACTGATTATGATCGCCTGGTAATTCAAACCGAAAAATCTCACAATTTTGCCATAAAAATGTAAATTCTGTAGCCAAAATTGTGAGATTTTTCGGTTTGAATTACCAGGCGAACAGGAACTCCAGAAGGTGACCAATGATCTTTTGGTTTTCGGTAGCAACCTGCTACTGATTATGATCGCCTGGTAATTCAAACCGAAAAATCTCACAATTTTGCCATAAAAATGTAAATTTTGTAGGCAAAATTGTGAGATTTTTCGGTTTGTATTACCAGGCGAACAGGAACTCCAGAAGGTGACCAATGATCTTTTGGTTTTCGGAAGCAACCTGCTACTGATTATGATCGCCTGGTAATTCAAACCGAAAAATCTCACAATTTTGCCATAAAAATGTAAATTTTGTAGCCAAAATTGTGAGATTTTTCGGTTTGAATTACCAGGCGAACAGGAACTCCAGAAGGTGACCAATGATCTTTTGGTTTTCGGTAGCAACCTGCTACTGATTATGATCGCCTGGTAATTCAAGCCGAAAAATCTACAATTTGCCATAAAAATTTACATTTTGTAGGCAAAATTGCGAGATTTTTCGATTTGAATTACCAGGCGAACCGGAACTCCAGAAGGTGACCAATGATCTTTTGGTTTTCGGTAGCAACCTGCTACTGATTATGATCGCCTGGTAATTCAAACCGAAAAATCTCACAATTTTGCCATAAAAATGTAAATTTTGTAGGCAAAATTGTGAGATTTTTCGGTTTGAATTGAATAGTAGCAGCCTGCTACTTATTATGATCGCCTGGTAATTCAAGCCGAAAAATCTACAATTTGCCATAAAAATTTACATTTTGTAGGCAAAATTGTGAGATTTTTCGGTTTGAATTACCAGGCGAACAGGAACTCCAGAAGGTTTTCGGTAGCAACCTGCTCCTGATTATGATCGCCTGGTAATTCAAGTCGAAAAATGTACAATTTGCCATAAAAATGTAAATTTTGTAAGCTAAATTGGAAATTTTTCGGATTGAATTACCAGGCGAACAGGAACTCCAGAAGGCTTTCCTGTTTTGTTTTATTTGCAACTTTTTTTGAAATTTTGATGATGGATCGAAAATGGAATTTTTCTATTTTGTGTTCTTTTGATAAGAAATAATTAGTATTTTGTCGATGGCATTAAAAATAATTGTCCAAAACTAGAATGTCATACCTCGTTGAATTCGTAGCGAAATTCCCTATCGATCTGTATCTAAACAAAAAAACTATAATTTTTTGCCAATTTTCGCAAATTTTGATGATGGTACCCCTTATCGAAAATGCGAAAATTTCTAAAAAAAATTTTAGGTAAAAATAAACAGTATTTTGTCGATAGCAATCAAAGTAGTTGTCCAAAACTAGAATGTCATACCTCGTTGAATTCGTAACAAAATTCCCTATCGACCTGTATTAAAACAAAAAATTATATTTTTTTTGCCTTTTTTCGCAAATTTTGATGATGGTACCCCTTATAGAAAATGCGAAAATTTCTAAAAAAATTTTAGGTAAAAAATAAACAGTATTTTGTCGATAGCAATCAAAGTAGTTGTCCAAAACTAGAATGTCATACCTCGTTGAATTCGTAACAAAATTCCCTATCGACCTGTATTAAAACAAAAAATTATATTATTTTTGCCTTTTTTCGCAAATTTTGATGATGAAAAATGGAAAAATGGAAATTTCTATTTCGTGTTTTTTGGTACGAAATAATCAGTATTTTGTCGATAGCATTAAAAATATTTGTCCAAGACTAGAATGTCATACCTCGTTGAATTCGCAGCGAAATTCCCTATCGATCTGTATCTAAACAAAAAAACTATAATTTTTTGCCAATTTTCGCAAATTTTGATGATGGTACCCCTTATAGAAAATGCGAAAATTTCTAAAAAAATTTTAGGTAAAAAATAAACAGTATTTTGTCGATAGCAATCAAAGTAGTTGTCCAAAACTAGAATGTCATACCTCGTTGAATTCGTAACAAAATTCCCTATCGACCTGTATTAAAACAAAAAATTATATTTTTTTTGCCTTTTTTCGCAAATTTTGATGATGGTACCCCTTATCGAAAATGCGAAAATTTCTAAAAAAAATTTTAATTTTTTTTTTAAACAGTATTTTGTCGATAGCAATCAAAGTAGTTGTCCAAAACTAGAATGTCATACCTCGTTGAATTCGTAACAAAATTCCCTATCGACCTGTATTAAAACAAAAAATTATATTTTTTTTGCCTTTTTTCGCAAATTTTGATTTACCCCTTATAGAAAATGCGAAAATTTCTAAAAAAAATTTTAGGTAAAAAATAAACAGTATTTTGTCGATAGCAATCAAAATAGTTGTCCAAAACGATGTTGTCATACCTCGTTGAATTCGTAACAAAATTCCCTATCGACCTGTATTAAAACAAAAAATTATATTTTTTTTGCCTTTTTTCGCAAATTTTGATGATGGAAAATGGAAAAATGGAAATTTCTATTTCGTGTTTTTTGGTACGAAATAATCAGTATTTTGTCGATAGCATTAAAAATATTTGTCCAAGACTAGAATGTCATACCTCGTTGAATTCGTAGCGAAATTCCCTATCGATCTGTATCTAAACAAAAAAAACTATAATTTTTTGCCAATTTTCGCAAATTTTGATGATGGTACCCCTTATAGAAAATGCGAAAATTTCTAAAAAAATTTTAGGTAAAAAATAAACAGTATTTTGTCGATAGCAATCAAAGTAGTTGTCCAAAACTAGAATGTCATACCTCGTTGAATTCGTAACAAAATTCCCTATCGACCTGTATTAAAACAAAAAATTATATTTTTTTTGCCTTTTTTCGCAAATTTTGATGATGGTACCCCTTATCGAAAATGCGAAAATTTCTAAAAAAAAATTTTAGGTAAAAATAAACAGTATTTTGTCGATAGCAATCAAAGTAGTTGTCCAAAACTAGAATGTCATACCTCGTTGAATTCGTAACAAAATTCCCTATCGACCTGTATTAAAACAAAAAATTATTTTTTTTTTGCCTTTTTTCGCAAATTTTGATGATGGTACCCCTTATCGAAAATGCGAAAATTTCTAAAAAAATTTTAGGTAAAAAATAAACAGTATTTTGTCGATAGCAATCAAAGTAGTTGTCCAAAACTAGAATGTCATACCTCGTTGAATTCGTAACAGAATTCCCTATCGACCTGTATTAAAACAAAAAATTATATTTTTTTTGCCTTTTTTCGCAAATTTTGATTTACCCCTTATAGAAAATGCGAAAATTTCTAAAAAAAATTTTAGGTAAAAAATAAACAGTATTTTGTCGATAGCAATCAAAATAGTTGTCCAAAACTAGAATGTCATACCTCGTTGAATTCGTAACAAAATTCCCTATCGACCTGTATTAAAACAAAAAATTATATTTTTTTTGCCTTTTTTCGCAAATTTTGATGATGGAAAATGGAAAAATGCAAATTTCTATTTCGTGTTTTTTGGTACGAAATAATCAGTATTTTGTCGATAGCATTAAAAATATTTGTCCAAGACTAGAATGTCATACCTCGTTGAATTCGTAGCGAAATTCCCTATCGATCTGTATCTAAACAAAAAAAACTATAATTTTTTGCCAATTTTCGCAAATTTTGATGATGGTACCCCTTATAGAAAATGCGAAAATTTCTAAAAAAATTTTAGGTAAAAAATAAACAGTATTTTGTCGATAGCAATCAAAGTAGTTGTCCAAAACTAGAATGTCATACCTCGTTGAATTCGTAACAAAATTCCCTATCGACCTGTATTAAAACAAAAAATTATATTTTTTTTGCCTTTTTTCGCAAATTTTGATGATGGTACCCCTTATCGAAAATGCGAAAATTTCTAAAAAAAAATTTTAGGTAAAAATAAACAGTATTTTGTCGATAGCAATCAAAGTAGTTGTCCAAAACTAGAATGTCATACCTCGTTGAATTCGTAACAAAATTCCCTATCGACCTGTATTAAAACAAAAAATTATTTTTTTTTTGCCTTTTTTCGCAAATTTTGATGATGGTACCCCTTATCGAAAATGCGAAAATTTCTAAAAAAATTTTAGGTAAAAAATAAACAGTATTTTGTCGATAGCAATCAAAGTAGTTGTCCAAAACTAGAATGTCATACCTCGTTGAATTCGTAACAGAATTCCCTATCGACCTGTATTAAAACAAAAAATTATATTTTTTTTGCCTTTTTTCGCAAATTTTGATTTACCCCTTATAGAAAATGCGAAAATTTCTAAAAAAAATTTTAGGTAAAAAATAAACAGTATTTTGTCGATAGCAATCAAAATAGTTGTCCAAAACTAGAATGTCATACCTCGTTGAATTCGTAACAAAATTCCCTATCGACCTGTATTAAAACAAAAAATTATATTTTTTTTGCCTTTTTTCGCAAATTTTGATGATGGAAAATGGAAAAATGGAAATTTCTATTTCGTGTTTTTTGGTACGAAATAATCAGTATTTTGTCGATAGCATTAAAAATATTTGTCCAAGACTAGAATGTCATACCTCGTTGAATTCGTAGCGAAATTCCCTATCGATCTGTATCTAAACAAAAAAACTATAATTTTTTGCCAATTTTCGCAAATTTTGATGATGGTACCCCTTATAGAAAATGCGAAAATTTCTAAAAAAATTTTAGGTAAAAAATAAACAGTATTTTGTCGATAGCAATCAAAGTAGTTGTCCAAAACTAGAATGTCATACCTCGTTGAATTCGTAACAAAATTCCCTATCGACCTGTATTAAAACAAAAAATTATATTTTTTTCGCAAATTTTGATGATGGTACCCCTTATAGAAAATGCGAAAATTTCTAAAAAAATTTTAGGTAAAAAATAAACAGTATTTTGTCGATAGCAATCAAAGTAGTTGTCCAAAACTAGAATGTCATACCTCGTTGAATTCGTAACAAAATTCCCTATCAACCTGTTTTCAAACAAAAAATTATATTTATTTACATTTTGAAATTTTCTTTTTTCGAAAATCCGAAAAAGATAAGGATAGATAGCTTTGTTTATTCATTTTAAGCCGTGCCACCTTTTTTGGCAAGTTACAGCGAAAAGTTTCCACCCAAGAATGAAGAAAAACGCATTTGTGTATATTTTTTGTTTTTAATTTTTATTGTTTTTAAATTAATGTTTTCTTTACGCATTTGTCTCGTGTGTCATTTTCATTTCCACTTTGAAATTGGGGTTTCCTGTTGTTATTGTTTAGTTTAGTTTTGGGTTTATTTGTTAATTAAGTTTATTTGGTTTGGATTTCTCATGAGGTTGTTGCCTCATAATTAAAGCGAAACGCTGAAGTTGTTCATCATATATAAGTTTGTTTTTCTATGCATATATATGTTTGAATATATATTTATTTGGGCTGTCATTTTCCGTCTGTTGACAATTTTAATTAATTTAATTACAAATAAAAAGTGTGTGTGTGGGTGTGGGTGTGTTTAAAGATTTATATAACTTGTCTGCTGTTTACTTAGATTATTTCTAAAATGTTTGGGGTTTAGTTTGAAAATCTTCGGTTTTTTCTTTCTAATTTATTTGAAATTAAAGACGTATGTGCGTGTGAGTATGTCTGAATGCTCGAATGTGTTCTTGTGTATGTGTGTGTACATATATGTATATAGTTAAATTTAATTAGTTTTGATGCCACAAAACTCAACGTTCATTAATTGTATAAATGTATCATTTAGTTAGTAAAAAAAAATATGTTCTCGTACAATATATAAGGAGTTCTATGGAAATACATACAAATAGACTTGGTTTTTCTTTTGCCTCTTAGTTTTTTTGTTTTTTTTTTTGTCTTTTTTTCCTTTGTTTACTTAGTTGTTTTTTAATGGGGTAAGGTAAAGTGCTGGGACATAATCGCAGACATAATTTCCGAAACGAGAGCTAAGCAGTTTAACTGGGTGGTTGTCATAGGTATATGGTATATAGATAGATACGAACCAATACTATAGTTGCGCAGGAGTTTCCGGTTGATCTAAGGCCCTTACATACTAAAAACATCATCGGTTTCATTGTATTTTACTTCAATTTGTATTAAATTAGTTTAAATTTTCAATTGCAGCTAAATGTCCTTTGTCGATTACTTTTACATATATCATATATCAAGATTGTGGCTCCACTATCTCATTACCTCATTATTTTCATTGTTTATTTAAGTTAATGGGTGGCGTCGCGCGCTAAAAGCGTTTTACTCATTCATACATTCACTTACTTGTTGCTCAATTTGTTATATTTCTTGTATTTATGTATAGTGTTTTTAGTGTGTACTGCATTTTGACGATCGCTTCCTTAGATTATCGTAGTTGCAATACGTTACTGAAGAACAGGCCACGGAAAATGTTGCTATTCGTGGAGTGTTTTTTTTCCTCTTTGTTTTTTTTTTTACTTGGGGAGTTTCCGGTCCAGGATTAGGGGTTTGGGGGGTGAGTGGTTGGAGGTTTCTACTAGGATTACTACTCTTGTTAATATCTCGTATATATATCTATGTTTATATAATATCTATATCGTATTTATATAGATGCACTTGCGCGAGTTTAGTTTATGTTGTATCCACCCTTTTGCTAGTTCTTCTTTCTTTGCCGCCTCCTTTAATTGTTTACTTTTACTATGGATTGCTAACTGCTGTGATCGTTATATATTTGTATAACCGCATATATATAAACGTTAAATGGGCAAAAATTTTGATTTATTTCACTAAGTATTCTTTCAATTTTCTTCTGCATTTTGTTATTATTATTATTTTTACTTAAGGTTTATTACGTTCCGCGAGCTGTTTGTTAAATGTTATTTACTATACTGAAGATTGGGACGCGGGCGAGGGGTATTCCAATTATTTCTCAACATTACATTCGGGATTTCTCTTTGTTTTTTTTTAATAGTACAGATAATTATTTTTAATTATTTATGCATAGTTTAAAGTGGATTTTCGGTTTACTTTCGATTTTATGCTAAATATTTGCTTGCGCCCAATGCATATAGCTAGATATACATACATACATGTGTGTGTTTGGGTGTGTGTGTGTGTGTGTGTTTGGGTTGGTGTGTGTGAGAGGATGGGGGTTTTTGTTGTGGGCGTTCTGTGAAGTGAATTCCTTTGCCATTCATTTACGCATAGCTTCTGCTGGGACATCCGACATCTCCTATCATTTTTCGAGTGTAGCTGCGTGTCTGTGTGTGTCTGTGTGGTGTGGTCATCCCGCTCTTGGCCGAAATGGGTTAACTGGCCACTGAGCGGAAAACCTGCTAATAACATTACATTTAAAGAGCAGCTTGCGCACGCTAACCCGACGCCGCTGCCTCGGTTTCTGGTGCTCCTCCTCCAGATGCGGCTGCTCCACTGTCGCCAGCGTCGTTATCTCCGCCATTCCCGCCGCCTGATCCCAATCCCGATCCCGATCCCGATCCGGATCCGGAGCCCGAGCCGGCTGCCTCTCCGTTACCGCTGCCGCCACTGCCGCTGCTGTTCAGGGCGCTGTTCGACTGCGAACCTACAAAACGTCATCCAGAGAAGGAGAAAGATGTACAAATGTGGTTTGGATTGCTATTCGTATGCATATTAGCTTTATGTTTGGGGGAGATTCACTTGAGGGGGGCTCCAAAACAGGACGCCAGTACTGAAGCAATTTCCCAGGAGCGCCATTACAATGCACTGCCCATATTAGCAAACAGAAATAATATTGAAATGATATCTAAGGAAAACAAACAAATGATTTGAATTGAAAAACTCATGTCAACCTGAAATGGCAAATAATTACACTTAAACCTACATACATGTATGTGGCATGGAATATGATATAATCGGTTAAGTCCCAGGCATCCCGAGCCCAAATAACTTCGGGGAGCTCCAGAAGGGAAATGATGATGTACGAACGCGTACACTGAACGAAAAGATGTGTAGATGATGGTGATGGCGGTAAAAGGAAAGGCAACAACAAAAGGTTTTACTTTGTTTAAATATTGTATTTGTTTCTCTTTTTATTTGTTGGATTTGTTGTATTCATTTATTATCATTATCATTATCATTACGGCTTCTTTGCTCATTATTATCAACGAATCTAAATATTATCATGATTATTACAGCATTACATATACAATTGTCAGTGTATGCACGTGTCTGTGTATAGTGTGTGTGTGTGTGTTATTTTGTTGTGCATTTAGCGAATCTAAAAATAAGCTAACGTTTTTCATTTTTCGTTATTTTTTTGTATTTTTTTTCAAGATTTTCCAGTTGTTCTCTTTCATACTCGCGTGTGCCTAAGTTACTAGGAAAATGTATGCGTGTGTGTGTGTGTATTCATTAATCGTTTATAATTAGCATAATAATTAGTTTAAGGTCGATTATAATAAGCTATAGAAATAAATATAAGTGGTTTGCTCATTCTTCCTCATTTCACTTATGCAATTCGCTTCGTTTCTTCTTCTCATCCTGCCACTCTGACCAAGAAATTGTTAATAATATTCAGTGGCAGCTCTGTGCTGTGCGGGGCGGAAAGAGGGGCAGCGAGCGGGGGGTGGGGGAGGAGATTTTGGGGCGGGGCAGGGCGACACTGACTATGTATGCGAACAATCATAATGGAGCTCTACGGTGGCGGCAACCCAACCCGGAAATTGGACCTTATCTACATATTGCAACTAAGCCGTCGGTTCTCAGGCGCCAGCTCTCATCCTCCTCCGATCTGTATGTGTCCGTATCTGGTAATTGGTATCTCGTACCTGGTACCTTGTATCTGGTCAATAACTCATCTACTGGCTAAATAATGGTATCTGTACATATATATTTTAGTGCGAAAAAAAATATATACGATAAGGGGCTTCTTAGCTTGCACGATCTGCTTTCTTTAGCTTTCTTCAGCTTTCGCTGCTTGTCAATCGGGTTTCTCGTTTGTTGCGCAATAATGATAGTGTTATTTAATAAAAATAAAAATAATTTATTTATTCAGTATGTATGTATACATAATGCGTGTTGACAAAAAAAAAATATATAGTTTATAGTCATAATGATTATATATATTATATAGGTATAGTTTAAACAGTTTCGCATTTTTTGCATTTTTGCTTTGTTTTTTTGCTTTTCTTGTTTTCTCTATCGTTCACTTCTGCATTAATAATTTCCATTAAATTAAGGTTTTAACATAACATTAACATTATGCTCTCGGGGCTTTGCTTTGTTTCTCATTCTCATTCTCCTTCACTTAACTTCATCTTCGCCTCCTCTTCTCCTCTTCTGCTCTTCAGCTCTTCTGCTGCCTTCCGCAGCTTTCTTCTGCTCTCTTCAGCTTTCTTTAAGGTTGTGTGTGTGTGAGTGTGTTGCATGCTGCACGTTGCAAGACCATGCCATGATTAACCTACGCAAACTCAACTGAGCGAAATGTCTAATTTCGCTATTAGTTAGCTCTTAGTTAGTTAGTTCTAAGCTCTAGCAACACAAAACTCGCCCTCCATTGGATTATCATCAGTTATCATAAGTTAAACGTACTAAATCAAGGTGGTGTAAAAAAAATATGCAGTGACTCTGTTCAATATACATATACATCGTTCATCTTCAGGCGTCAAAAAATTAGAGGGGGGTGGGGGTGGGGTTTGGGGTTGGGTGGTACAATAATTAACGAAGAGAGTGGGTGGGCGGAGGGGTAGGAAGGGGGTACACTTAAAGTATTAATTAAAAGATATATCGCCACGCGCCGGCAGCGATAAAATGACAATCGATCAGCGCTCGCTCTACTATTATAATTATTGTGTGTTTATTTACCATTATCATGTATTATATTATTATGCTTATAAGTTTATTTTAGATTTAAAATAAATTTAGTGTTTTACCTAAGTAAAATGTTTCTTTTGTTATATTTTCTGCCTTTGCTTGTTGTTTTCTCGTTTCTTGTAGTTTTTAATATTGTGTTTGCTGCTACTGCTGCTGCTACAGCTTTTTTCATCAATTGCATTAATTAATTTAATTATTGTTGTGTATATGTATATAGGTTGCTGTGGTTTCTATGCTTGCTGCTGCTGCTGGATTTGCTTTCTCCGTTCATGTTTATAGCTATTATATATAATTGCTGTTCTTGTTGTTGTGGGTGTAGGTGTTATATATATAATTATTACTATATATATGCTTGGATATATATATTAGTGTGTGTATGTATGTTACTATTGCCCCTATGAATCTGTAAATAAAACAAAGGAAAACGAAAACCAAATTAAAATCAAAACTCTTTAGCCGTCTAATGACCAAAACCAAAACAAACATGGCTTAATGAAATCAAACGAAAGCAAATGAAATTGATTAAAATGCAATGAAATCCAATGAAATCGAATGAAATCCAATGAAATCCAATGAAATCGAATGAAATCCAATGAAATCGAATGAAATCGAATGAAATCCAATGTTAATCGAGCGGTTCATAGCGATAGATAGCACGGACACGATCATTACATATATCCCGATTTATTCGAAATAGGGCAAGTAATATCAATGCAGGAATGGATTTTCTGGGCATGGATATAGTAAGCAAACCTTGGAAAGACATTTTTAGTGCGACCTCGTGTTCTCCACTCCTTTAAACCAACTTCTTTTGACCAACGACCGATTTTCTAACTTGAGAGCTTCGACTTGGAAAAGCATTCACAAAACCCCATTGAAACTTTCAATTGAGTAACGATTTGGTTGTAACTTGGAAATAACTAATTTATATTTAACTGAAAAGATAACTATAACAATTTTTTTTTTTTTGAGAACGTCTGTTTCGCTCTAGTCTGCGGGATGATTCTAGAAGCCTTCAGATATTTTTTTTGTTTCAATTCTTGATTCTTGATTGCCACTGTTTACCCACAAATCGAACGCTTTCTTCTACGGGTCACTGGATCTATGCGTATCTTTCCCCGGGTTTGCTTGGGTTTAGAAAGTGCTTGATGGATGAATGGATGAATGGATGGATGGATCAAGGAACGGTGCGGGGCTTTTTCATATGTTGGCCACATTGCGCAGGAAGGGCTTCCCTAACAACGGCAACTTGCAATGCGGGCTCAGCAGGAGGTGGACAAGATCTAAGGATCGGGCGATGAATGTAGTATGAAGGGATTGTGTACAGCAAGCAGGTTGCCAAGATCACAGTATCGTATCGTAATTGTAAAATATGGCAACTGCTTTTCAAATCGATTTTGATTCGAAAAAGCGGAAGCTGTCATATGGCACACGTGTTAGGAACTGAAGATACAATACAATAAGTTACGATACGATACTGATGCTATGAGTAGCGGTGGAGGAAGTGGGGATTGGGGGATTGATTGGAGGTGAAAAGGAGCAGGAGGCGAGAGGCGGGAGAAGCTGCTTGGCCAACCGCTTACTCACCTGTTACATTGGCGCCGCCGGCGTTAGTCGCGCCTATAGCGCCAGCTGCTGTGGCAGCTGCGGACGCCGCACCTGCTCCGCCACCACCACCGCCAGCGACGGCGACATTGGCGCCGGAAGCCACGGCGGACGGCGCTCCGGATGCTCCGCCGCTGCTGCTATTGTTGCCAGATCCGGGTCCACCGGCACTCGCTCCGCCGGTTCCAGCTGTTGCTCCACCCGAACCGGATCCCGCGGCTGCTGCTGTGCCCTGCGACTGTGACTGGGCGGATCCTTCCGCCGATGCACCACTGCCCGTTGACGAGACGCTGGTGGAGCCGCTGGCCGCAGCGGAGGCTGCTCCGCCGGCCGAGGATCGATTGCCGCCAGGTCCGGATGCGTTCTGCAGATGCTTGGGCAACAACTGCGGCACTAGGCTGGGCTGTATTGAGAGCTCTGCGAGTGGAAGGCAAGTGTTAGCGAGTGCATACTGGTTGGCTAACCGATAACCCATAACCGATAACCGATCTGGTCACTCACCATGCTCTGTGAAGTTGAACAGCGGCGGCATCTCGCGACCGTTGGGCAAGGTGTGATTGCCCTCCATGCGCAGCTCATCGAAGAACGGATGTGCACAGGCCTTGAGCGGTGTGATCCGGGCACTGGGCGTGTACTCGAGCAGCAGGGACACCAAGTTGATAGCTTCTGTAGGAGTGCGTATACGGAAAACCTGTGAGCGGGAGTAGATCAAATTGGGTTAAATTGCGTGTTCATCACCAGACATCTTTGGGGGATTGGGAAGGAGTTCAGCAACAGGGGCGGGCGGTGAGGCAATCATCGTAGAAATGGACAGGACACAAACGAGAACACAGAGGAAGCGCGTTCGTATTTACAGACTTGATCGTCCTGTTTCGGATTTCACATCACACTGCATCTTGGTAGACTTGAGTCATATGAAAAGCGAAACAAAAACGACCATTCTTCAAACAAACGTCGGCAGTAGGCAGGGCAAGAAACCAAAAACAATCAATTAAATTCAACTCCAATCAAATCCAATAAATCAATCACTTAAGCCAATGTATGTATAACTTCTTTGTACAGCTGGGAGAGCTGGCGAAAAGCTGAGCATGAAACTTAAAGCCATGGAACTGCCTCTCAAGCGGAATCTGAATATAATTGTACCCATCCCTGTGCAGTTGAGCATGAAATGCGTATTGATTGAAAGGTACTGCAGTTAATAGCTTAGAAAACCCAGAAAGCTTTTGGATAAACCAAGTTCATCAGTTGGGAGTTCAAGTATGGCAAGAATGGATATTTGGAAGCCCCACAATCACTTGAGTAGTCATGACATGACCTAGATTTCAATGCATTTAATCCCCTGCATGATTTGTGGAGCAAATGTGGCTGCAATTGGCATTGTGCATATTTAATTTGGTCTTTTGCTTAACATTTTTCGTTTTCCGTTTTCGACGTGTTCAATTCGTTTCTTGGCTTACTCTCAATCGTTGTTTCTGGTTTAGGGCGTTTGGAAATTGGGTGCGTTCGAGTAGTGACTGCAACGAGTTTGTATGTACACACAATTTTCGGTTAGAAACACTTGTGGCAAAGTAACAAGGTGTTTTTTTTTTTTTTTTTTTTTTTTTTTTGATGCTGTTCTAGGGGAACTCCCCCGCGAAGAGTGCAGAGGGGCGGAGTGGGGTCACATGAGCGAAAAGCGCGAGGGAAATTGAAAATCATAACCGATCTAAACGGGGTCCTGGTAAACCTAGCCACTTACTTTCTGCCATGGATGACTCTTAATCTGGGGGAACTTGAATTCCGTGTAGTTTGGATTCATTTCGCGTATCTGTTCTCTTGTCGGTGTGCCCAGGACCTTGATGACCTCGACAAGCTGATCCACACCGGAGTCCCCAGGGAAGATGGGCTGGCCCAGCAGTAGTTCGGCCAAAACGCAACCGGCACTCCACACATCTAAAAATGCAGCGGCGATTTCATTACATTTAGCATTGCATTTCCCATTGCGCACAGTGTTACTCACCGATCTTTGTTGTATAATTGATGGCGCCAAAGATGAGCTCGGGGGCGCGGTAATACCGGGAGCAGATATACGACACATTCGGTTCGCCGTGCAGCAGTTGTTTGGCGCTGCCAAAGTCACAGAGCTTCAGCACAGCAGTCTCCGGATCGAGCAGAAGGTTCTGCGGCTTGATATCACGATGGCAAATGCCCAGCGAGTGGATGTAGGCCAAACTTCTGAACAGTTGATACATGTAGAGCTGTCCAAGGAGAGGAGAAGTTAGTTCTGAGCTCGCAGTCGTGGCGTGGAGCAGACTCACCCGAATAAAGTTGATTGGTATCGTTTGCTTGGTTTTGGCATATTGGCGAGCCACTTTGTATACAGTTTCTGGTATATATTCGAGGACTAAATTCAAAAATACTTCATCACGCTGCGAATTTGCGGGAAAAACAAACGAAAAACGATTAGTTAACGATATCAGAGCGGTTCAGTTTCAGGTTCAGGTTCAGGTGTATTATGATCCATGTGGATGCGTATGGAAGTCTGGGTTTTGAGGGGAGCTGACCGATGCAGTTGCGAGCAGTCAACATGCGTTTTATTTTGATCGGGGTTGTACGGTCGGAGCGGCGACATTTAACTGAATCTAGCAAACTAGCATAGCAGCGGGATTTGGTTCACGGGAGTTTGTACCATGCGGTGTGATCTTCTGTACGTTGTATTGCACTTTTGTACGTTTCTCTAATACATAGCAAGGATTGGTATCGGATTCGTTTATGAGAGATAGAGAAAGATCAAGATCGAGTGAGAGCAAGTCGCTGAATGATCTGAGCTGGAGAACTGATAACTTTGAGATCTGGGATACCTGGGGCTTCAGCACACTCGCGAATATGCCCAAATCGATGGGGAACTCGGCCAGCTAGTGACCGATTTCGATTTCGTTTTCGGATTCGGATTCGGGTTCGGTTTCAGTACCAGTATCAGTTTTAGTTTCAGTTTCAATATGCAAGTGAAAGAGATTCGTTTCAATTCGGTATTTGTGCAACTCATAAAGCTGTAAATGCTAAGCGCAAGCTCAGATCAGCTGAAAATAAATACTTAGTACGGTTTAACCATCAATAAATTAGCTCAAAACTAAGCGCAACTCTTATTTATACACACACTTCATCTTATATCCACTTGGTTGATAGTAGATTCGCAACTGAAAACGTACTAAGTAATTACCAATGCTGGCAACTGCAGCAGTCCAACTCGCCCCAAAAAAAAGGGTGCTACTTGATCAATAGTGACCTTTGGCACGTAGTTCTCTTACCTTTTCACCACTCGAATAGAAAAAGTACAAAAGCTTCACAATATTACAATGCTCCAGTTTGCGCATAATTTGCAATTCGCGATTCTGTGGAAAGAAACAATGTCATCGTTAGTCTGGATCCAACACATAGAATTGATGCGCACCCACCTTAAATCGTCTGTCTTGTAAAACTTTTTTGATTGCCACCAGTTCGCCGGTATCGCACAGCTTTGCCTGGAACACGACGCCGAAGCTGCCATTGCCGATGACCTTTGTGTCTGTATAGGAGACCTCTTGTACGCGATCGGTGCCTTGGCCGGGTGTTGCAACAACTGTTGTGATTTTAGAACCATCGCGACCTGTGGGGTGGCAGGGCAGAAGCAAATGTATTTCGTTAGATGAATGTATTTGGGTGTGCGGCGGAGGTTCCCTCATCGTATGCATTCCAACTTATCCTAGGCACACACACACACACAATATATATATACACAATATATGTAGTAAATATAGATGGTTTATACACCTGTCGTCTCCCAGGCGCCCTCCAGCTTCTCCTTGCTCCTATCGACCTCCTTTGGAATGGACAGTGCAACACTGTGCTCGGGCCACAGGTCGTTCAGCTTGCCGATCAGTTGTTTCATGCCTGCACACAAATCAGACACGAATCACACAAGATAATATACGATACGGTCAGGATGATATCGGATCAATCATCATCTCTGATCAGGTATCATCTCGAAACACAAAACAGCGGAAAAGATAAGTATCAGGATAAGTATCGCTAGGCGCGATTTGGAACTACAGGTAGAAGAGTTTGGATTGATGGGGCAGGGCAGGCAGTATTTGGCAGTTAGGAGTTCAAGAAACGGAGGTAAATAGATGTGGACAGTGTATTTCTTTTGAAAATGGAAAGTCTGAATTCATAATGTCACACCTGTATCTCATCTCTACTATCGTTTGTGAAAACATTAAGCATTATAGACTAAAATAAGTGCGTAAGAACAGAACTATAATGGTTCTGCTGAGTCTGATTTTCCCTGCAATATGCGAGCGAACCCTTTTGCATTTTCGTTGCTAATTAATTTTGGCATTGGCGCCAAAGATGCCGATGCCATGCTCATGACGATCATGACGATCACGACGACGACGGTGATGATGATGATGGGGCAGCTGCTACTGCCCCTCGCATCACTGTCGATTTTGGTGGTCACACAACTTTAGAGGTTCGTACTTGCTGGCTTGGAAATACTATCTACCTATATATGTATGTATATCTTTCTATCTACATTGAATCCATCGGCAAAGGATGCCACTCGTGTGTTGTCTCTGTGCGTGGATCACATTGTGGGGATGTGGGGATATGGGGATGTTCGTCTGGGTCCTATTCTCTGTACTTGGGTCCTTGTACTGCTTTCCTCCTCCTCCGCCGCCGGCACTGGCGATGCTGGCACCACTGCCGCTCCGGTTCGGTGGTTTGCTTTTCTTCAGAGCGGCGGCCACTACCAAGGACGATGAGCAGGCGGATTGGGCCGCCTTGGCCGCTGCCGAAAGGGGTTTGTGCTTGCCATTGGCCTTCGACTTGCGATCTGCATTGGAGGACTCGGAGGTGGAGGAACTGCTGCTGGTGGTTTCGCTGTCCGACTCAGATTCGCTGCCAGCACTGGAGGAGCTGCCCGAACCGGATGATTCGGGCTCCGATTCGGTGGGGCTTTCGTTGCAGGTGCTCGCCTCCTCCTCCTCTTCCTCGCTGGAGGATCGACGCTTGTTCTTTTTTTTGCTCGCCAATGGGATGGGTGGTGCTGCACCACCACCACCACCGCCAATGGAGCCCCTTTTATTCTTGACGACCTTGGCGGCGGGCGGTTTGCTGGCGTCAATGGAGTTCTGCCTGCCGGAGGTGGTGGTGCCAGAGCCAGCACCATCCGATTCACTGGCCTCGTTCACTGACCCACTGCCTGGTGGCAGCTTCTTCTTGCGAACTACTCGCACCACCTTGCGGACACCACGCGGCACCGCCACGGGCACCACCTGTGACTTATCCACCTTGAGCGGGGGAGTACTGGGCACCGCTGGTTTACTGAACCACTGATGCCTTACACAGCAAAAAAAAAAAACAAATATATATATAATCAAAGCTTGCGCGGAATGTCAGCTAAATTAGAGCCTATTCTCGAAACTCATTCTTGGTCAGAATATAATTTTTACAAGTGAATCTTATTTTGGCCACAGAAAGCATAAACAAGACCGATATCAATGCAACAAAATTCTCGAAGCAGGCCGATTGATTTATTACAGTGTATCTTGGAGAATATACAAAGTGTATATACATAAGTAAGCAATTGCTTTAATTCCTACTTATTACGCAAGCTCACACTTAAGAGCACTGTTTCACAGATACAAAATGTATCTTTTGAAATGGATAACCTAACGTGTCCAACTTTCCAGTTTCGAGTGCAAAAATAGGCTTTAAATCGATGCCAAATATTGCTTCGCTCCATACAAACTGAAAATGCAATTTCTCTCTGTGTACGGCGGTGTGGCAGGCTTTGGCCTAGTTTTATTTTCGGTCACTTGACGTTTCGTTCGCTTTTGTGTGCAGATCAATCGATCGATCGATCGATCTTCAAATAGCAAAAATGCAAACACGCGGCACCACCGAAACAACAACAACAACAAAGTCGAATATCACAGTAAAAAAAATAAGAAAAAATAAATAAATTGCAAACCGAAATAGTACGATCTTCGATTTTTCGGATGTTCTTTTCTTATTTCGTTAAGGAGCAATACAAGGAGATAGGGGAGTGCTGCTCCGATCCGATACTATCCGATCCGATACTATCCGATCCGATCGATCCGTTCCGTTCCGCTTTCGATCCAACGATCCGATCGCTCGAGCTACCGCTGCACAATTGGCGACAAAAAGTGGAAGCAGGCAGAGGACAACACGACGAACGGCGGCTGTGAGAGACGCAGAGACCGAAGAGGAGATTGCCACTCTAATGGCACACGAAGGGCGATCGGTTGGTTCCACATGCGATCCACACGAATGCGGTCCACCGAATTCTTCGATCGCTTAAAACGCGCTTGAAAACATAAAAGCCTACACTAATCTTTCCCCATAATTATCGCGTACAATTTGCTACGGTTTTTGGGGGGAAAATTTTAATTGAGGGAAAATTGCGATAAGGCCAAAGAAGAAGACCCAGAAGACCCAGAAGACAGAACGACAGTCGACAGAAGAAAGACAGTGGCAGCCAAGCGTGGTCAAGCATGCGACAGCCACGCCCCTTATAGCCCCTGCCCCTTCCGACGACAGACAACTGACAGTTCAATGCGACGGAGAAGAAAGAGGCAGTGCGGAGAACGAATATTCGCCAGAAGAATTCGAAGAGTATACGACGGAGAAGACCAATCAAAGGATACACGCAGCACATGCAAGTGCAAGTGCAAGTGCAAATCAAATTTATTTCATTTTAATGAATCAATTAGAATCACAAATGCGACGAAAATGAAAGCCCCCAAATAACATTGACATTGTTTCTCAATGCATCTGCAACAGAGGAGAGATAAGATCATATGCGAAATGTGTTCAAAGTTAGAAAGCTTTAGTAATGCTGCACTACACCAGCAATTTGGCAATTGATAATACAAAAATATTTGCGTGCTTGCTTGTAAACCAATTTGCCTGATTGGGCCATAAGCTTGGTCAATCGATATTGAAATAAATGGCCTTCGAAAGCATTGAAAGGATCCATAAAAACATGAAGAGCTATATCATTTAGTCGAATAGATTTCGGCATTGAACATATATATACCATGTGCATTTATCGATTTGATCGATTCATCAATTGTCAATCGCTGCTGTTTAGTTCCTCCGCCGCCATTCCCACATTAATCAATTGAGTTTCCACAGGACTGCGACCTGCGCGACCAAATCAATCAAATTATCAATAGGCAAGAACACACAAAGACACACACCTTCGCCTAGGCAAACATTGAAAACCTATATCGAAATGGTGGAACAGTTGGAGCTGTTCGAGTGGCAAGGCAATTTGTTGTGCCGCCACCGTCGACGGAAACTAATCGATATACAAGCATTTGGCACCACTCACCCGCAAAAGGGGGCGTGGGCGGTTGTGGGCGGCGAGGTGGCATGCAAAATGCCATGACGCAGTAGCAAGTTGCTGGTGTGTAGAAGAGGGGAGGGGGAGGAAAGGGTGTAGCAAGTGGGGCGAGCAATAAATGGAAAATGGAAAGGGCTCACCAAACTATAATCGGGATCTACACCCCGAAAACTCGCATTTTGCAACCCCACCATCATTAGGTATCTGTGTGGAGTCATCGCCACAGTTGAACACGACGGTTCCGTGCCAAAAACGAATTCAACTTCAGGTTTAGTTGAACCACGCCCACGATTTGGGCACCCCTATCCAGTAGAAACGCCCACTGAGTTATATACTCGTCCCTTGAACGTTTGGATTCAATGGAAACCTGTGTTATTTAAAGGTTGTGGAGCGTTAGTTCTTTGGATTTCCCCACATACTTTAAGGGATAATGGAGCCCTTTTCAGATCAGCCAAGCCTGGAACGTCTGAAGGGTAAATGTATGTATAGCCACACCTCAGTTTTTAGAGTAGTTTTCTATGTGTGATTCGCAATCTTCACCTTGCCTTTTGCTGACAATTAAAAAATATACCCTATCAGTGCCATTTTTGCTGTGCGCTAATGCATATGCAGTATATAGTAGTTTGCATATAGACTTCATTTAATTGAATTGATTTTATTTTATTCTATTGGCTGGGAAAGCAATCTGTCGATCACGGTTTTTGGGCAACAGAGAGGGGAGATCGATGAGAGTGGCGGAGGAAGAGGGATGGCCAGATGACGACACCACGCGGGCGGAGATCACGAGATGCCCCAACAATCTGCAGCATTTGGCAAACTTATAGAAATGAAACCACCACCTACTGTCACCTGCATCATTATCCCCAACGGGTCTCTTTTAATCGCATCGCCTCTGCTGCATAAGTAGAACTTTCCATTGCATACTTTTGAATGCCACAAATAAAATCGGGCACCACTCTTCGCATTCGTATCCATCCATGTGAAGCCCAAATACCGCCCATCAACTAACCAATCGTTAGAAGACCTCAAAGTGCCCAGAAAAATGCAAATATACAAAGTCGGTGGCGGGAGAAGAAGCCATTTGGACGAAGAGAAATCAATAAGTCGTGTGGTGCATTCTAAAGAGAACTACTAGTATCTTGTATCTAGTATCTAGTATCTGGGTAGGGTATCTGGTATCTAGAACCTATTGAGCATGCTCTTTTTGCAGCTGATCAAACAAGTATTGAATTCGAGTTGACATAACATAAAATAAAATAAAAGCAAATTAAAATAAAAGCAGGCGCGAATCGGCGGCAATGGAAAACAGCTGGGCAAATGCTAAATGAAACATTTCCATCGCTGTAACTGACGAAAATAGCAACACTAATCAGTTGTTGGCATCGCCCTCAGTACAAATACACAAATTGCAGTATTGTCCATTCCTAATCAGTTTCAATATGGAACGAACAACGAAACTGCATCTGCATCTGCATCTATGCAGAACTCCCTAGCTTAAAAACAACCAGAACTTGAGTCGCATTCCCTGAAAATATGAAAAGCTCATGAGCTCAGCAACAGGTTGCACGGATGCCTTCTACTTCCAACCCAATCAATAATCATAATCTGAGTAGCAAATAGTACTAGCCTGCTACTACTGAGTAACAACAACATATTTTTCCATTCAAAAGTCCAAATCGAAAGTGAGGCAGGGCAGGGTAGAAAGGAAATGAGGTGAGAGGGCGGCGGCGGCTATGCAAAATACGAACAAATAAAAAAATTTAAAACAGAAACAGAAAATACAGAGAGACACGCCTCCGTTTGGTCACAGATTTGGTTCACCAAAATACGAAATGTATTCAAACTTGTACATACTCGTCGTCTTAGCTGGCATATAAGTATAAATACATTTCACAAGCTGCTCAAAATATATGCATGTTGTTGGGCTTTGATATTTTTGGAAAAGTTTTTTTGCTCTGTCATCCGTTTTATGAAACGAGCGCGTGATTGTCGAGCGCTAACAAAAAGAAAAAAACCATCAACAGCTAACGCGCCGTAATCTCTGCTCCCGAATTCCCAATTCCTAGCATCTTTCCATCCTACCAGGGTATACCGGGGTATATATGTGCATATATATACATACATATGCGCTATATATAATCAGCGCTGTAAGCAATATAGCCGCGTGCTTCTTGATCTCTTTACTGCTGATCTCCGATCATCATGCACAGGCTGCCTTAGCTTAACTAACCTCTAACCTCTGCAAGTACAGCCAGCACTGCTGGGGAATTTCTGCCTGTGTACCCACCATATCCACCATATCCACCACATCCACCATGGCCAATGAGGTCTGTCAACCTTCCTCTTATCAGTCAGCATCTGCGAAAGCTGCAAATCACTTCCACGACTTGCCGGATGGGAAACGAGACGACGACTTGGTGACCGTTGATGATATGGTGATGATACCGAGCTGATGACGATACGAGCACGCTGTGACACAGTGCCTTCCATGCCAAACGATGCAATCGCAGCAAAGGGATTGCCACTTTTCGCACCGCAGTGTTAACGCATCGCTAAGCGCACGGGCCAAGATTCCACAGAATGATGCAACTGACAACCAGTTTATCGCATACCCAAATGGGCCACTTGGCAGTGGGAGCTTGAAACAACGAGCTGTAAATGGTAAATGGTATCCTATCGAATGGCACAAGGTGCTAACTGGATCGCGCTGGAAATTCGTTGGAAAAGTTATATTATCCATAATCCATGCCGAAAACTTGTCGGTCACTTTGTGCGCACTTATACAGTTTTTCTACTATTGTAGAGCACGGGATAATAGTATATAATATACACTTAATCCGAAGTTTGCCAGTCATAAAGTATACTGTGTAAGTGAGTAGGCGAAGAAATCAACATCAGCTGGCGTAAATCAGAGCTGACGCCACTCACCCCGTCCCCGTCCTTGTGCCTCCTCCTCGCCCAGCCGCCCATCGTCGGATTTTCTTATCAACGACAAATGCAACAACTGAGAAATGGCCTGTTGTAGAACTGGGCGAGAATATTCCGCTTCGGCGGCTTATCGGCCGCCTGTCGACTGCTTTCCACAATAAAGCCAAGATCACATTTTACATATTATATATGAAGAATGTATGCATGGCAATAAAGGGCAGAATGAGAATCCATATAGGCGTATATCCCCTCGTTTATCTCAGCAGAGCAAAGGGCTTGACAAAGCTATCGGAAAACTGGAAAAATGGAGAAATGTACTCACTGGGTTATTGACCCAACTTCCCTAGCGGAAAAAAATGCCACAAAAGTTCACAAGAAAAATATGTGTCATGAAACGATTTAGTATTATTATGCATCATTTCATGCATTGACTAAAGAGAATAGCAGCCCAGAACTTTATCACTTTACATTAAATCTACGAAAAATTTTCCGTACCCATAAACGTATCTCCATATAAAAATACTTATCTATGTGTGCATATATGTGTGTGTACATAGAACAATCTCACCCGATACGATAACCCTCAGGAGTTATGGGGAATTTGTGTTTCCATTCAATCAACACTTACCTACAAATAGAAGAAAGGAAATGAAAGATTTTAGAAATCACAGTTTAAAACAATTGATAAGACGGCCTCTCCCCTTTTTGATATTTGCTTGTACGGGAAAAGCCCGCTAGAGAGCTCCGAAAAAGTATCTCTATCCGTTGAGGAAAATCTCTATTATCAAAGAACAAAGTCTGCGGAGCTTTGAAGTCTATAACCCATAGTCTATACTAATGACTATCTTACTTAGCTTCCACTTCAGTTTAAGTTTAGATCCAAGTCTAAGTTTAAGTCAAATCTTAAGTCTAACTTCGAGTTTGAGTTTGATTTTAAGTCTAAGTTTTAGTTTAAGTTAAAGTTGAAGTTAAAGTTGAAGTTTATGTTTAAGTTTAAGGCATATTTTACCTAGTATATTCTTGAACTTTTGCACCACTTTGGTCCAACTGACGCAGGACTGTGTTCTGGCCAATTTGGCAGTCTTAACATTCTCGCCACTCCCATCGCTGTCCGCATCAGCATCCGCATCCAGATCCACATCCGCTTCGCCATCGATTCGGGGCTCGGCTCCTTGCTCCACATCCTCGATGTTCTGCGTCTGATGATCGATTTCAGGGCGGGTGGTGATGGTGGTAGCATTGCTCCGGGGGATTCGGTCGTAGTGGTTGTCGTGGCTGTGGCGGCGCATCTTGACGGCACCACTGTCCACATCGCTGGTGGCAGCCACATGGACATCCTCTTCCACATCCACAACGGGATGGTGGTTGTGATTCTGTTGGTGGTGGCTGGGGGGATTGGATGGATTGGAGGGATTGGGGGGTACCGAGTTATGTTTGCTCCTAGAGCTAGTATCACAGTGTGCTTGTTGTTTGTAATCATCTTTGGTGTCGTCCACCATTGCTCCGCTGGCCGCCAAATTGGATGCCACGGTGGTGTTTCGCTTCTTGCGCTGCTCCTCGCTCCTTCTCTCCCGTTTCATCAACTGCTTCTGCTGCTTGGCTAGCAGTTGCTTCTGCTTGCGGGCGAACTTCTCCCGCAATTTGGGACTGCCGAACTCGTCCAAATAATACATGGTGTCCTGGAGGCCATCCTTGCGATTGATCAGCTTCGAATCAATGTGCGGATCCTCGCTGATCTTGAGCAGCGGGAAATATATGTGACCGTCGGTGGCCAGGCTCTTGGCATCCCGTCGACGGGCAATGGCCGCCGCCACTGTCAGTTCCGCCTGATCCGGTGGCAGAAGTCGATTTTTCGGCTTGGCATCCATCACGTCGTCGTTGGCCGCCTCCTCCGCTTGTTCGGTCTTGCTCTTGAGGTTGATTATAATACCCGACTGATTGTCCGACTGGTTGTCGGCCTCCTCGACATCGTCGTCCACATTGACGCCGTCGTCCTCCTCGTCCTCCTCCTCCCCCTCCTCGATCTCCGATCCACGATCATCGCAGTCGACGTCATCATCACAGATATCCACCTCATCGATGCGATCCTCGACATCGAATCCCTGGGTTCCGGTGCTGTTCGTACTCTTGTACTTAATGCGGCTGCGCAAGATGCTGTTGCCCTGCCCACTGCCCACCGCGCCGCCCACAATCACGGGTGTGTCCACGCTGCTGCTCAGCTCCAGGGCGGAGGAGGCCCTTACTCTCTGCTGTTCCTGGGCCTCGGAGCAGTTGCTGCCCAGGCTCTCGCTGCTGCTGTTCGACTGGGCGCCGCACTCCTTGGAGCTTGTGGCATTGTGACTGGCTTTTCCCACGCCCTGGATGTCCTTGGCTTTGGCTTTCGATTGACGGGTGGTGGTGACACCATTATTTTCAATGCCGCTGTCCTGGCTGAGCAGCAATTGCTGGCGCTGCTGCTTCTGCCGCCGCTTGCCGCCAGGTGGCGCCTGGGGCAGGCTCAGTGAGCCACTGCTACTGCGTGGTGGCGGCAATTGCAGTTGCTGCTGCGATGCACTGGAAACAATTACACCGCTGTCCGCCGAACCCGTCGATGTTTGCGATGAGAAGCGCTCGGTCAGCGGTATTTTAATCGGCTGGCTTATCACGTTGTTGTTATTATTACTGTTACTAGTGTTATTATTATTGTGGTTATGATTATTATTGTTGTTCAGTGTATTATTTGTGTTATTATTGCTGGCGGGCAATAAATTGAGAGCTGGTGCAGCTCCTGCTGCCTGCGTGGTTGTTGTTGTTGCCATCAGGTTTTTAATGGTCTGTTAAATACTCTAGGCGTTTAGAGTATTTCCTTTTCGGTTTTAAAAAACTTATCAAGCGTCTTAAGCGGCACAGTTTTTCAGGATTTGTATGGATACTTTAAATCACTCGTTGATTTTAGTTTAGTTTCTTATATTTTTGTTGGCGCTTCACAGTCACATTGCCTAATATTTTTCAAATCGGTTAAACAAATTAGTGGTTGTTTTCGATTTCGTTACACGAACTGTTGCTGTTTTTGCTGCATTTTCAAAAACCAATTTGTTCTATTTTAACTTTCTGACTAAATTTAGACCAGCAGTGCGATTTGTTAAAACCGTAAAAACTATAGGAGGAAAGCCAAACAAAAAGCATTCAAATTTAAACACACTCACACGAAAAACAAAAATACCAAACAAAAAAAAAATGAACAGCAATGGGAGATCTTTGTGATTTTCAATATTTTACTGTCTATTTGGGTTATATTTATTTATTTGTTCTGGTCTGGTCTGATCCGTTTTTCTTAGCGTGCAACATGTGCGGCCGCCTTTAAGGTCGCGAATGAACTGAGAACTCGAGAAGCTCAAACGAAACCGAGAAACAGAAACGCAGAGAGAAAGAGAAAGAGCGAAACAGAGCGTAAACGACAACTCAAATTCCAAATTATTATCGCTGACGCACGCCAACACACATACACATATCTATGTATGTGATGGAAGGCGGAACGAGTGGCAATGGAACACAACGCACCGAGAGAAAGAGAAAGGGGGAGAGGACAGAACAATGAGCGGGGCAACGAATTCAGATTCAGAGCGAGATGGCGAGCAAACTTTCATCGCTCAAATATACAACGTTTGACAGCGAAACACCTGCAGAGGTGCGGAACGCTGTGGAATGGAACACAGATGCATCTCTGGGGGCGTGTAAGAGATGGCACCAAACGAAAATGATAAGCTTCTGGCATCAAGCTTCTTCTTCCTTTATTCCTCTTGCCGCCGTAAAGCCTTTATCTTATCACTACTTTAAACCGCCATTTATCAGCATTCAAAATACTACACTAAAAGCCCAAAAAAGAAACAACAACAATAAAACAGCGTTTATTTTTTTTATTTACTTATATGTATATTAACGTGCCTATGGGTGGGTAGGTTTTTGTTTTTGTTGCCGGGCCCATTAATTTACGACTGCACATACTTATCAAGAGACCTAAAGTGCGGAGGTGTTAAATCAAACAAGAATGAATTATAAATTAAGCAACAGCTTAACGGCATCTGCAAATATGAGCTAAAAACCGCACTGCAACAAACAACATTATTAAAGACGGAAATTTTAGAATGTATTTTAGTTGAATGCGAAGAATTTATAGAAAATTGAGGGAAAAAAATGTATACATGACAATTGGTGTCGTATCATTCCATCTATAGATGTGGACTCTGAATAATAGTTCAATAAAGTTAAAGGTGTTTCGAGGATAAGGAACATCGCCGCATTACTGCGGATAAGGGGAGAGTCCGCAAGTCGTATTTAAATGAGATTGACTCGTTTGCAAAGAATACTACTACACAAGGTGTATAGAATGTAAACATAAAACAAAAAAAAATCAGCAATGGTCAACACACAGTGCGCAATAGACCAAAGACAAGCCCCATCAAGGAGGCAACACAATTATTGCAGGATTCTCCGTCCGTAGATCCAATTCCCCCTAAACGGCGAACGGGTTGGTTTCAGGTTGAAAGCGGTTTTGCAGACGATGGCAAGTGTCTAACAATAGGCGGGAGCCGGGGGAAGAATAAGGGGAAGTGGGCAGTATGGGAAGTAGTGAAGGGTGCTTAGGTCAGTTTGTTGGCTTAAATGGTTAGGTCATGCCATGGCACACAAAAAACAACAAGAAACGGGGAAATAATAATAAAGAAACAGAAACACGAAACCCTGCTAGTTGGGGGATGAACAAAGCTACATACGGGGTGATGCAGTTTGGGGGATGAATAAAGCTACCTACAGGGTGATCTACTTCGTACAGGGTGTTGAATGGATCATGTCGCCTGGGTTATGATTCGTTTCAAAACCTGTGTCTAATGCAAGAAAAGAGCTCGAAGCTTCAACTTTAAAAAACTTGATTGCAATAACGATTTCAACTTTGTTAAATATCATATAATTCAGACTATACTCTTAGTTAGGCCACACACGTTCACGAACTTTCTTCCGTCAACCCATTCACCTCTTGCACTTTCGCCCGTAGACGAAACAACCCCTACTAACAGCAACCGATTCTGGTTGCCACTGCGTCATTTGCTTTAATGTTATTGACTTGACATTGGAGCTTAGAAAAGTCGCAGAGCCCCAATCCCAAACCTTAAAAACATAATGTATACAAGTTATTACTTGCTGTACACCATCGAATGACCACTTGTGGGATTGAGCAGAAGGTGAAGGTGGCTTATTAGGCCGTATAGGGACATTCACTTATTAGCCATTCTGGATATAATTCAGTGTAATAAATAACAACAAATTGATAGTTTTTCTATGGGACACCTGGGAATTATTATGTTAATTGTACGTCACGTTACGTACAAACAAGTTTCCGCTGTAGGCAGTATAGTTTTTATGAAAGGGATATATTAATAGATTGAAATCGGCTTTCGAGAAAAATGCAACAAATTAGAACTGACTTCCGAGTACCACGTTTAAAATGCACCACAGGACAATACTGCTTATTTCCCATTTCAATCGATATTAGACACGTGCCGGTGGGTTCCAGCTTCGAGTCAACTTCCATTTAAATAGCAAATGAGTTGGCTCGGGCCTTAAGTAGTGGGGTTTTCACAGAGAAAGGCTGAGAGGCCTGTGAGCCAAGCGGCTGTGGTGGTTCTTGTTTACTTGGTCTTGAACTTGCATGTCGATAGTGCGCTCTGGCATTTGACGTGGTTGGTATTATTAACAGTGGTAATTGCCCCAAGACATGCTCGTACAGGCTATTTATACCGGCTGGTAAAAATATTGATTCCGAATGCAGGAAAAATGTCAAAGCCAAACATGTTTTACCATTCGCGTACCGTGCCCCTTTTTTGAGGTCTAGGCTATCAAACTGAATCGAAAAAATCTAAAAATAACTATAGACGCGGCATTCGAAATCGAAAGTGAAATACAAATAAGCAACAAATAATTAGCAAAAAGGAAAAAAAAAAAAAAAGGAAACCCAAAAATACATCGAATGCGTTCCAATTCCACTGTTTCATCAACGCCTGTTGCTTGCACGGCAGCGCCATCTGTTGGCCACCTCGACAACCGCGCGAAAGTGAAAGTTTCAACAACGAGCGCATAGAACAGCATAAAATAGAACAAACGATGAAATGGGTGAAAAGAAAATAGCAAACAGCAAAACATTTGCATTTCATTTGGGTGAGAAATAAGTCGAGAATATCATTAAATAAGGCGAATTGAAGAGCAAAGCGCCACGGGAAATTCTGCGCATCTACATATTTGCCAAAGACTCGAGGAATACCAACAGTCAACAAAGAACCAACTAACTGAAAGTGGGAGGCTGATAAACAAAAGCCCGCCCTACGCAAAAATACGAAAATATTCATACATACGCACATATGTGCGTATACATATATACATATGTATATGTATGGTAAAAAGCTTGGACATGGCTATCGCTATCGTTGACTTCCTTCGCCAGCTGCTAATGACCGAGTCGGCAATCAATAATTAGAGCTGACCAGGCAATTAACCCATGACAGACTACTGCACATCGCATCACACCGACCGTCGATTAACATCTTAAAGGCATATGACTTCGATAGCAATGGCGACGAACGCCGATTACAGCGATAACGATAAACAAACTTAAACTGGTTGCAAGCGGAAATTGAGTTCACCATTTTTTCCCAAAATTACAAATCTTCTTCCATCATATTGGTACAAATTTCAGGCCAAAAAAATTACTTTATTATGCTTCTAGAGAAAACCCTTATAAATTGATACTAGCTGTTTGCATGGGAAAAACGACAAAGAAAAGACAATGGGTCATTTCATGCACAAGGAAAATTATGGCGCACAAAGCCACCAAAACACAAAGCCGTCAACGAAATGGTAAAAAGCCAAAGACAAAAAGTCGAGTAGAGCAAGCTCTGGAAAATTGAAGGAAAAGGAAGTGAACAGCACAAAGGAGAGGTGATGGGGAGAAATACGAATACGAGGAGGAGGGGAAGAGGTGGCAAAGCCAACACGCGATTAGTGAATGTCCAAACACTGGAGGCAACCGCCACCCAATTACCAATTACCACCCACACCTTACCCATCTAGTACAAATGGCAGCAAGAACAACCAAAAACTGGTAGAAACCGAAACAACAGGCGAGCTCAACGTCCAAACTGCCGTCTCGAAATGCGATAATTTGTGGTAATAATAGAAAACATGTAAATATATATATAATATATATTCAGAAATCATCCACTTTATATGTAAATAAATGCATGTATAATGAAAACAATCAATATTGGTTGATTAGGCATCGGCGTATGCGTTTGCTCGTATCATTAGAACGGCAATTATATGATAATTATTTAACCCACTTATATGACAACAAAGTGATAACGTGGTAACGAAGAAACTTGCAGAACAACGTTATTCGCTCCGAGTTCAAAGCGCTGACATTAAATATATGTATGCTATACATTAAAAGCAAACGCATTATCAATTGTTTAGTTATTTCAGCTGAAAATCAATAGTTGCAGCAAGAGATAAGGGCCAAACAATGGAAACACAAATATAACCCAAGGCGAGAAAACACAAACGAGAGCACTACTTACAAAGAACCTATAAAGAGCTATAATATAGTATCGCTTACTGGGTATATAGTATGTGTATACAAGTTCTAAGAATATTATGTTGCTGAACTGCCAACCAGTTCCAGCGAGCCACCATTCCATGAAACTATGTATGTATGACCAATCGAATAATAACGCAATCCGTGTCACTCCTCCAACTTAAGATCCCACTGCTACTTGAAATTCACTTTCAGTCCTGAAGACCGTGCACTCAATACGACCAACAAAAAACCAGCGGACTGAATGTCAAGTTGTCGCCAAAGCAAAGAAGCGATTCTGGAGTGGATTTGCTGCTGGTGAGAGGCAACAGGAGGGACGACGGACTCAACTTGTGCCAAAACCGCACGTGCAAGTCGCAATTCATGGCCCAATCTTATCAGCAAATAAAAAGTAACAACAACAACGGTTCTAGCAAATTGCCTAATTAATCAAAAATAATATAAAACGCTTAGCCGAATGTGAACTTTGGCCATGTGTGTGTGTGTGCTAAGTACTTTTCCCTGTTAGTTGGGAACGGGGAAGAGAGAGTGGGGGTTATATTGAAGCACCTCGGATCGTGTATCGCCTATCTATATGGCTCCGTCGCATTTAAGTATGCATATAGAACATATATAAGTACATGGATTGTGTATACGAACTGGGAGAGGAGATTAACTTGCGATGATAAGCGACAATCCACTCTAAAAACCTCACAACATATATGTATGAATCCCCAAAACCCCCTCGAAAAACCCCTTCGTGTTGCCAAGTCCTTTGTTTTCGTTTTT